ACACTGGGCGGTAGTTGGCCGGATTTGATTTGGAGTTCTTTTGTTGTTGCTGTATATAGCAGTACTCTCAAGGCAGGGTCAGTATCTATTTTCGTCTGATGATCGATTCAGTTTGTGAAACTCAGAGTTACGAAAAACAACAGCTCGTTCTTCTGTCTGTGTATTCCGCTCTTTGCTTTCGGCAAATTGATCCCTCTACGGACGGTGGATGAACTTCAAGTGGGGTATTCCTTTTCCTATGCATGTCTGGCAAAGTTCCTACTTTGTAGTACTAGTAGCATCTTTCACTGTCTCAGTGTTGATTGCTTTCCTGCACTGTTTCTAGCATTTCCTAGTAGTGCTGCATGCCATGCCCCGGCAGTGCGGGTTGACCTTATCACCTTTGTTAGAACTGTTATCTGACAGGGGCGTCGGAAAGTATTTTAGTGTGGTACGGTCAGCCATCTTAAGTATAATTTACTCGTGGCGGAGTGGTGGCTGAGCCGGAATTTTGAAAAATTGGAGCCCAGATGAATGTATTTTACTAATTCATGGGGTACCTGGGGCAAAAAGTGGTACGGTCAATACCGTAGTGGCAGTGCCGTGTTCGACGCCTCTGTATCACCTCACCGCGGCCTCAGTTTCCTAGGGCATGCCACATTTCTATGTAGAACGTGCAGAATTGCACCGGTTTTGCCCTTCATGACATCGTTCATTCACCGCAATCATTCATTGTCTACTACCTCTATCAAGGAGCTCTGGCGGAACAAAACAGCAGCCGCCTGAAGGGTCTGACAAGATCAAAGCTCAACGGGATTGTCCTCACTATGGTGGTGATGTGCATGTGGAGTGGGTCGGTCCAGAGCGCATTGTTAAGTGGTGAAGTGCCTGACTTTCAAACGTAATGGCCAAGTTTGCTGCTATAGTTTTCTCTTCTCAACTGAGTGGCACTTCAAATCAGTATAACTCCAGAACGGCTAGGCGGATTTGGATAATTCTCGCTGATTGCCTATAATATATGCCGTGCTCTGGAGAAGTGAATAAGACAAAAATCGATTGGCCAAGCAAGTTTGCAAATGGTGTAAAGTCACAAAGGACGTGGACCCAGTTGCATTTCGCCTGTCGTTGGTCCAGCCACTGGTTGGTCCACTCGTCTATAGAGCCTCAGTGACTGGAGACAAGAACACTGTGTAGGTATGACATATCCCATTCAGTTTCTGCATCTGCTAGACTTGGCCGATAGTCATACCGAGAGTGAGTCTGCTGTTCTTAACTGCATGCAGATAAGGATACAGAGAAAGTAGAATGTGTGCGTTTTTTTCCTCCGGGCTGTGACAGTTGGAATATTTACTGCTACTGTACTGGGCACACTTGCTTCTCCGCCTGCGGCTCTTGACCCCGCAGCCAGACGACCAACGCACAAAACCGGCACGATAAACCCTGCCTGAGTTGGCTCCGCGGCACTCAAAGTGATCATGAACAATGCGAGTCGTGACTCAAGATGATCATGATCCAAATCGCCACTGTTCAAGATTCGTAACGGCATTCTCTCAGCAACTTTATCCCCGGCCTCATCATACTCATACTATAGTCACAGCCTTTCTCTCGTTGTAGATTTTGATTGATTGATTGGTATACTTGTTTATTTAAAAAGGATTGACCTAAGGCAAAGGCTGCGGGAGCCTATCGAGAGATACTCCTGTGTTTGTACCGGTGCAAGTACATGTAGTATTATAACTAGGGGTGAAACGAGTATCTATCTTGACCAATCGATCACTCATGCTTATTTTTTTTAACTATTTTATCAAATTCAAAAGCGCTAGATTTGTGAGTTCTCGACCAACCCGGAAGAAATTAATTATCTGTGAACATAGAACAAAAGTCGCCGACGTCTAGTACAGAGTGTAAAGTAACGATTTTCATCAGTACTTTCATATCTCATCATAACTAACACTACCGTACTGGAAATATATGTTGCCGCAGTGAGGCCATGAAGCGTTACATTGGCACATGTTTGCCGCACGCAGGGCGTTACATGCAAAGTCGCACAGGAGCCGTTACACAGGTTTCTATTGCCGCAGTCCTTTTTTTGCTATTGCCGCATCACTTTTTTGCTATTGCCGCATCATTTTTTTGCTTTTGCCGCATCATTTTTTCTTTTCATCCACATTGAAGGCACAGAAATTCAGTTGCTATCCAACTGTTACAAACCCGACGGCAAAGGGCGACAACGATATCAATAGAAGACTGTATATTTTAACTATCAGAGTGATCTGTTCACAAAAAGATCATCAAAAGGAAAGTGACATAGGGGAAGAGCGCTTCCTCCAAAAACTACTGTCACTCACACAGTTAATGAGTGTACAACATAATACTCTTCTTCGCAAAACGACCTCGGGAAAGAAGAAACCATTGAGATCGCCAACCACTGAATGATGCGCCTTCGAGTGTCAGGACTTCCTGCTGCGTCCAGTTTTGAACTTTTCACCACGCGGTACACATGCTTTCACAGTTTTCAGCCTTTTTTTGCAGTGCAAACTGCAATGAAAAGATCGCACCCCGCCGGACGAGCGTTACGAACTTGATGAAAATTTGTCACACTAGCCTGGTCGCGCGTTACGCCGCACCCCCCTGCGTTACGCGTTACGCGGCAACATATATTGCCAGTACGGTACTTGCCGTGGTGATCGCATCGTCCAAGTCGTGAAATACTGACTCAAAGGCATGCATAATGCATGAATACCAGTGGACGAGCGGTACAACAAAAGCTTTTGAAAAATGGAATGCCAAAACTAAAAACAAAAAAACTAAAAAACATTGAGTGCAAAATTTCGAACGATTACTTGAATTATTCGTGCAATTAAGAGTATAATAGATGCAGACATGGCCGGACAACAACGAGTTGATGGAATTTTTAAGGATTTTTATGTTATTCAAAATCGATTTTCGTGTTCCGCTCATCAGTGAATAGTATCGGAACTGAGGGTACTGTGTACAAAAAATAGAACATTTTATAACAGCATAATTAAAAGTGTGAACAAAAAAGGCAGTGCTACAGCATTACATAATAGGTGTCAAACATAGTGCTAACATATATAACTGAGTGCAGGCACAAAGCATGAGGTGATACAGTGCAACATGACACAACATTTACATCTGATAACCAAAAGTCAGCTGTATTTTGTCACTTGTTATCACGTCCAGATTGTCTTAGTGTGTACGATGATTCTCACTTTTCTGTTTTGTGCGGTGCAAGTTATGTTAAGCAGTTGAGGTTCTGGAAGCTGTATGTATTCGTGTGCATAATCCTGTTCTTTGTAAACAAAAGAAGCATGTAGTCGCGCTAAAGTTGTTCTCGTAGCTGGTTATCAGATGTAAATGTTGTGTCATGTTGCACTGTATCACCTCATGCTTTGTGCCTGCACTCAGTTATATATGTTAGCACTATGTTTGACACCTATTATGTAATGCTGTAACACTTCCTTTTTTGTTCACACTTTTAATTATCTTTACTTATAAAGAAGAGGCATCTGTGACGTGTGTCTGTGTGTGTTTGTGTGTCACGCTCCTTATAAAGAAGAGGCACCTGTGACGTGTGTGTGTATGTCACGCTGAAGCGCTGCGGAGCAGCGCTGCCCTGAGCACGCGAAGCGTGCGAACAGTGTAGCACAGTGTAGCTAGCGGCCGCAGAAGAAAAGGATACAAAAGATCTGCACTGACTGCACTCTGCATCTGATCTGCAGTGAAGAGCGCATCGCACTTTTGTTCGTAAGTTTATGAATTTTTTGAGCCGCTTCATCCGCCACCAGGTGATGGACAACCCTGACCAGCCTCCCGAAGGCGTAACAGACGTCCCTCCTTCTCCTTCCAACCATGAAGAACCTTCCTCACCAGGACTTCAGCGGTCTGGCCACCACCACGTGCTGAGCAAGTGTGCTGTTCATGTACTTGCTTCACCCGCATGCCACATTCGGCCAGGCAACGCTGGCCTGGGGTGCTGCTAGTGCTGTTATAAAATGTTCTATTTTTTTGTACACAGTACCCTCAGTTCCGATACTATTCACTGATGAGCGGAACACAAAAATCGATTTTGAATAACATAAAAATCCTTAAAAATTCCATGAACTCGTTGTTGTCTGGCCATGTCTGCATCTATTATACTCTTAATTGCACTAATAAAATTGCTTTCTCCACGCCGACTCTTTGAATAATTCGTACTAATCGTTTCACCCCTAATTTTAACCTCGTGTGTGTGTGCGTGTGTGTGTGTGCGTGCGTGTGTGTGTCACTGTGTGTGTGTGCGTGCGTGCGTGTGTGTGTGTGAAAAGAACGTGACTGTAATAGAAATGATCAGTAAGAAAGTACAATCATGTCATGTAGTAGTGGTTCTAAAAAGAACTTGAGAAAACTTACAATGTCGATTTGAAGCTTGAGGAGATCATGGTGGAGGTTGAAATCACAAGTACCGACGTTCCATAGACAATTGAGCAGACAAGCGGCCCCCACCGTGGAGTCTGCCCCACCGTATAGTACACATGATGTATGCAGAATGTCGATCGTCCGTTTTACTTCGCTATGTCAGTACTATTACTTATTAGGTAGATACTTAGTACCTTCAATTACCAAGTGCCGAACCATCCAAACTTCTGACATTCCGCTTATCCGAGGCTGTTCTCTTCCCCTTTAAAAATAGTTATGGACTTTGGTACATGTAGTTGAACTATAATTATTGTGTGTGTGGTACCGGGCAAAAAATAATTCGAAGCCTCAATCAATCACAATCATTCGAACTGAATGGTTTTTGAACTGTGCGTTCACCATGTTCACACTGCATGAGAGTCTGTTCATTGTGGCTTGTGACGAGTTGTGTCATTCAAAAGGCAAAACTCTACGAACGCGACCATGTACATGTACCAGACTAGACTGTGCAGGGATACGCGTCCCGACGCGTGCGTAGAGATACCGGTATCTCAAGACATGACTGATTCACACTTTTTACTTCCTGTTTCCTGGTTCCGAAATACAAAGTGTGAATCAAAGTGCATAATGTTGGAACACTGATAATTATAATTATCACTTATCAGCAAGGACTTCGTTGCATCGCTGCTTGTAGTTCTCTGCTTGTTCGTATCCAGTTGGTGGGTTGTGTAGCTTTATCATAATGGACGCACTTGGCGGTTACCCCAGCAAGAATGTTGTTTCCTTGCCTTTGCTGCATATTGCTTTCGTAATTGTTATTTTCTGCGTCGGAGCTCAGGGACAATTCTGCTCTTTCTTCGGAAATAAATCACCCTCTCCGCAACCTGGATTGCGGAACTGTACGTGGTATAAGGAAAGTTCGTGCTGTGTGAATGAGGAGATCAACTCACTATTTAGCCAAGTACGAATACCAGCTAATTCCAATGGAAATTGTAGCAATTACATCACCTACTTGATGTGTTATGTGTGCGATCCCAGGCAAAGTAACTTCTATGCACAGGAACGTCTGACTGTGTGTGAAGATTTCTGCAATGATCTACTGAGTGCATGCCAAGATGCTAGATTACAAGGAGTACGTTTGGGAACACGCTATGGCACTAATGGAAGTGCTTACTGCGCTGACCGCCGATTCCAAGTTTCCTCCAGGACAGAAAGCTGCTTTACGCTAGAAGAGAGCAAGAGAACATTGGTTGCCAGCAGTTCATTGTTGAAACCAAGTATTCTGTTAGTCCTGCTGCTACCGTTGATTTTGGTATTGAGTGGATCATTCAGTATGACTGGTAATGCCGGTCAGAGGATGACATCATTCCTGTTGGTAGCCGTGGTAGTGTTGGTGATCTGCAGTTCAAGTTCAGCTTTAGTCACTGACAACAACATCAAATCCATGGCATCGAGCATACAATCTTCTCTGGTCACCACTGCTGGCAATGGTATACAGAGAGATCAGCTGCAGAGTCTGTATGACAATGCCCAGAGCGGTGTGGAACAATTGAATGCCACCCACATTTTGCGCAGTATTGAGCTAAAACTGACTGATCTCACAAAAGATCTGAGCGAGGCAACCAAGGCAGTGATGGATGCTGTACTTTCAGCACGTAGGTCTGCTGCAGCTCAACCAACAGCATCACCAGCTGCCCGGTCTCTGTCGGCACTCTCATCGTCTGTGTACCTGGACGCAGATAGTATCTTTGACCGAAATCAAGTACAAGTCCAGTACAACAGGTAAGGCTCAGCTCACGAGTCTTCTCATTCTAATACAGTCGACCTACCCTTATAACGATAACCTCTATAACGATATTACCCTTATAACGTTATTTTTCTGCCAAACCAAATCACTCCATTGACTTGTGTACACAATGCCTCACCTCTATAACAATATCCCTATAACGATATTACCCCTATAACAATATAAAATGGGCTGACCAATCGACATTTTCCATTTTATAACAATATCTAGCAGGGAATATGTAGAGCCCACTATCCAGGTAAGGCATGCTTCACTTGATAAGTCGCTGGGACACGACGAAATGCAACAGGGGCACCAGTGGGCACCTTGCTGTATACATAATGTGCATGTAAAATGATGTACATGTATATCAATTTTTTATGCTATGAAGAGTGTAAAAAATGAACAAAATCCATGCATTATGACGTATGTGTATGAAATGAACCAGTTACCCCTATAACAATAATTATTACCCTTATAACAATATTTCTTGGTCTGACGCAAATATCGTTATAAGGGTAGGTCGACTGTACATGTATTGCACCTTATCATTTTTGTGTAGCGGTTTCAAAATGTCCTTCAGCATTTGAATGCCCTCCATTTTGAAAGGTTCCGTTTGACCGAATTTGTTCAATCGTTTCAAATTCACCACAGGTCTCGTCCTGCCGTCCTTTTTTGGGCCTGCAAACAACTGAGATATGAAGCTTTGCTCGTTTATCTCTTTCACCTCGGAGATTGCATGTTTCTCGGGGATTTTGTGGACTTCTCTGCTCAGAGCAGCTGTTTCCTGCTCGGCAAAGACTAGTTCTTTGGGTATAGTTTCTTGTACTGGAGTCATCAGCCAGTCTATGTGGTAACCCTCCGCACTATTCAGAACCCACTTGCCGAAGTTATTGCTTGCGAGGAGGCGGTGGAACAACTTGTCACTTGGGTGACTGCTGTCGCCAGTCGCCTGGTCACCGTGCCTGCAGGCTAGTACAACTTTTACAGCGTTCCTGTCACTCGAGTTGAACCTTTGAACCTTTGAGTTGAACCTTGGTGTGAAAGTTGTAGCCTGTAGGCACGGTGATCAGGCGACTGGTGTAAGCATGAGCACGTGGCCGCATATTCACCCGTGTTCGACTGGACATAAGGGCCGAACACTGCATTGCAGTCTTTTCGGACCAAAACCAGTCGACTCAGCGTCCAAAAGACTACAACATATGGGCCAATCGCGGTCATTCGTGCTTTTATAAGAACGAAACGGCGCCTTTAGTGACATTTTGCATACAAATCCCCATCTAGTAGGGCGCAGTCACCCAGTTTCGGTGGAAGTGTGAGTTTCGGTGGAAGTGTGCGAGTTCGATTGGGAATAAAGGAGGAAGGGAGCGTCTCAGCTTCCTCGGACCAAGACCATTCGACTCAGCACCCGAAGACTTCAACTGGTGAAACTTTGATTCTAGGGTGTACTATGAAGAAAAAAAACTACAAAATCTAGCTGTCGAGATAGAATACTACGGGCCATCACGTTGATATGGGACGGAGCATTCTGAAATGTAATGCCTGCCTACCTGCTTATTTGCATAATTGTATTATTATCTCTTGTTGACACAAGTTCACAATGGCGGAAAACTCATCTCTTGTTGAGGTGCCTATTGTTGTGGTTTGGAAGACATGTTGGCTTTGTGACAAGTAACCAGGTGCGTACTCTGTGTGGGACACAGGAGCATGTGCATCCCTAAAGTCTTTCAACTTCCGTTCAGCGTGTAACTAGTTACATGTTTGGACCGAATAGCCTAGGGAGTGTAGCTCAGTGCCCTCTGTGAAGCCAGAATGTGCATCTCCCCCCCCCCCCCCCATGCCTCTTCATCTGTTACTCTCTTATCTGCAGTACCTTTCGGCGGCACGTCAGCTTTCAGCAAAGCTCCGTGAAGATTCCGGAAGATGTCGACCGCGTCTCAAGCGAACTGTATGACGTTGTGGACTGGAGTTCCAAGATTGACAGTGCATTGAAAGCTATGGAGACACGGCGCAATGCCAGGTAGAGTGACAGAGTGCTGCTGCTGCTGCTGCTGCTGATGATGATGATGATGATGATGATTTCATTTCCAGACATCAAACCTGTATTCATGTGCCTGTAGAATGTCGTGTTCTGAGAAAGCTGTAAAAGCTGTAAAAGCTGTAAAAGCTGTAAAAGCTGTAAAAGCTGTAAAAGCGGTGCAAACCCTGCCGGTGTCATTCTCATCACTTCCTTATACAGGTAGACTCCCTTTAATTCGAACCTCAAATTGCCAGGCCCTAACTTCTAATTATCCGGAACTTCTAATTATCCGAATGCAGCCCCATGCACTGATATGTATGTCAAAATGCTTGAAATCGCATGCTGAATACTTTTTGCACATTATTTTTTATTTGCATCAACGAAACATAGGTGGTCGTACCGTGTACCGGTCATGTACAACGGATACGCGTAACAGCAGTGGGATCATCAAAACACTGGATCGACACAAAATCATTTGACATTATTATCTTCATCTTCTACGTCTTCTACTTCTAGTGAAGAAGTTGTCAGCCACTGCAGCTTTCCTGAAACAATAGGGCTTGAAAGTGCTACGTCACTCCATAGCAATGGCATAGCAACAATTTGAAAAATTCGAAAACTGGATCCACCTGGATCCAGTATTTGTATGGATCCAAGCACATTTCAAGCGGTCTCACTCACAGCAAGGTGATGTTGCCAGTGAAACTGACTGATTTGGCTAGTGGGGGCGGGGTGACAACTGGTGGCGAAGTAAAAGTTGCACCTGCATACGACATGAGTGGGTTGCTATGCACCCACATACTGAGGCAATAGCAAAGTCACACCTTAGTGGATCCAAAATAGAAATCTGATGTCAATTTACTACTCCCAGGCCGTTTTTGACGTCATCACTTTCAAGCCCTATTTCAACGGAAAAGAACTGCGCTGCCTAATCCACGTCATGAAAGGCCGTCGGACAGCAGCACGTCGTTCCGAAGAACGGAAGTGAAGCATAGGCATAGACAATATTTACGACAATAGTGTTATTGTGCGCCAACATCTCCGTGCACGAGCTGGCGCGGCAAGAAAGGCCATCGAGATCCGCGAAGAGAGTCAGCTACCTGGAAGAAGTCGTCTTCAACAAAAGATGCAATTTGCCTCGCACGCGCTTGAACCAAATTTCGAGAGAAGGTGGGTTTCTTGGAACGCTATAGTCGATCCTGCAGCGGACCATCGATCGATTTTGAGCTACTCTTGGCTAGAGAAGAAGAAAAGAATGAACTTCGAATTACAAGGATAGCAACTCAACCTCACTTCGAAATAAGCGTTCAAAGAACATAGTCAATGTACTGTAAACAGCTCTTCTGTACGAAGACTGGGTTCGAATTATCCAACCGGCGCACTTTTCGTACTTCGAATTATGCATTCGATTTTGACTTGAAGTGACTTGCAGAAGATCGGTACGACGAAAAAGTTCGAATTACACGGAAGGTTCGAATTATACCGTATTCGAATTAGAGGGAGTCTACCTGTACAAACATGCACAGTAACACCTGACAAGACGACCACCTCTCCCACAGGACCACTACAACCGGGACCAGGGGTATGATCATTTCTGCTAATATGAACCTGGACAAGGGAAACACCTACTAGTATACACAGCGGCCACATTCTGAAGTTCTCGTTTGAGCGGTCGGCTAGGATAGGTTTCACTGTCATGTATACTTGTCATAGTGTTTGTGCCTTGCAGGTTTTCTTGTTTTCTTGTTTTCACATGTTTTCATGTAGAGTAAAACCTGTAACTAACAACCACCCCTTGGGGCCAGAGAAAGCGGTCTTTAGTGACAGGTGGTCCTTAGTTAGAGGTTTGCACCGCACAACCATATACGAATGTGAGATCGTCCGTGCCTGGCGAAGTGGTCTGTAGTACCAGGCTGGTCGCTAGTCACGGTGGTCTTTAGTTACAGGTTTTACTGTGCTGTAAATACAGGTGATGTTTGCCACGTAAAAACTAAATTTGTTTTCTGATTTTGCAAGGGGCTCCGATCGCAAACGTTGCGACGTGTTACGTGAAGTTTAGAGCATGGCCATAGTGCTCTGCAAATATTTCCTACCGTGAACTTGTTGGTTCTGAGAAATAGCGAAAATTAGTGACATAAATATTGAGCACTTTTCAGTATTATTATTTGAAATGAGTGCAGTTCAGATTTGCTTCCGCTGAGCTTGTTGCTAATACAATGCTTGCCAGAGAAATCCGACCACTCACTTGAGTTGCATAGCGGATGCGCGAACTAAACTGGATTGCTTTAGTTACCCTGTATATATGCCAATACTTTTAAAACCCACATCCGAAATCCGAAATCGAAATCTTTGTTCCCACGCTGTACAAGCGAACGTAAGTGAGAGAGAGAGGACGTTTTCAGACTGAGTTGGATCCTACCAAAAGACACTTGACCTTCTTGCAAAGTATTATAAATATCCTGATTAAGCCTTGCCTGGCTTGTATCTGCTATTCTCAATCTGCATACCGTAATGTCGTATATAAAAGCAGGTGCTTACGGCCGTATAAGCTGGGGTTCAAACTAGGGCTCAAACGGTTAGTCCGATTAACCGGTTGCAGACCGGTTACGAAGAATTAACCGATAAAGATAAGGGATACGCAGTAACTTTTCAGTCAATTTTTCAAGTATCAGGTCGTTGCAAAGTATGCACTTTCACAGGCTATCGCACGCGTACGCAATTTCCGGGCTGTCAACTCGGTCATATCTTATTCTGGTCTCTTGGTGTGAGAGTATGTATGAATGAGCATGCAAGAGAATGTACATGTGTGCGTTGTACTGAGTAGGGTACATTTTTTGAATGAGTATAGTCAAATATACGGTTAAAAAAGAGTACGCAGGATTGCTGTGGCTTATAAGTTATACCGTATTTTCCCCAATAAATGTACAGTACTTTTATTTTTTCAAAGGTGGTCAGACCTGTACTACTATAGGAGACTGTACTAGTATTGGAGACGTGTACATTTATTGTTTCTGGGAAGATTGATTGCCTGGGTTGGTTGGCAAACAACTCGTGATAATGATGCTGTAAGGCTGTAAATACACCCAACCATGGTAAGAATCAGTGTACAAAGATACAAATATGATGAACGGGTAAGAAAAACGAAGTAAGATGGACCCTGGTATCTGTACCCCACTAATCCATCACATCGTTCCGGCATGTACTATTATTAGAGACGTGTCCTTTCATATTTTCGATCCACACCCAACATGTACTACAATTGGGGGCGTACTAGTAATGGAGACGTGTACGTTTAATGGGGAAAATACGGTAACCGTTAAACCGACCGTTAGCTTAGCAGTTAACCGTTAGGGGTAAAACCGTGACCGTTTGAGCCCTAGTTCAAACCATGCTTCTATTCAAAACATGCTCCTACGTCAAAATCTTCAGTCTACACTGTACAGTGCACATTGTCATGCATGTAGTGTGCACATACATGTACTTGCACGTATGCTTCTAACGTTATTCAAATCGTGCTTCTGTGTCACGGCGCTCTTCAAAAAATCGGCTTCTATACGGGTCATGCTTTTATACGTGACACTACAGTTCGCATCATCATTATTTATTATTTTATCCTCTTTACGTATGTATGTGTGTGTGTGTGTGTGTGTGTGTGTGTGTGTGTGTGTGTGTGTGTGTGTGTGTGTGTGTGTGTGTGTGTGTGTGTGTGCGTGTGTGCGTGCGTGCATGCGTGTGTGCATGCGCGCGCACGTGTGTGTGTGTGTGTGCGTGTGTGCACGCGTGTCTATGTTCCTTAGGTGGGCTTACTTTGGTTCTGAAACTGGAATGTACCGAATTTACCCGGCCTTAGAGTGGCAGAATAACTTTGCTGGTTTTAGCGTGGACTATGATCCTCGCCTGCGGCCGTGGTACATAGCTGCAACTTCGGGCCCGAAAATTGTGGGCATCTTCCTTGACTGCAGTATGTCAATGGAGGAGAAGCAAAGGTCAGATTTATCGTATCACATTACCTCCAACTTCTTCTCTTCCAAGTCGATGTTCCCTGACCTTTTTTTGCTGGGCCCCTTTGCTTATAGTTGTGGAATGCACAGAAGACTCCTTCTTTCCTTTCCTCTGTTGTGTATGGATAAAAATCAGAGTTGAGCCTTAACCGTGAACGTCCCTTTTCCGGAGGCAACATTGTATACTTGTGCATTCACTTTAGTGCCCAACTTCAGGTATATATATTTATCTTCCTTGATGTCAGGTATACATGTAACTGCTGTAGCTGCATACCGGTATGTGACTTTGTACATGAAGTACAACAGTTCTTTGAAGTGTATCTGACAGTGTGTTTGAGGTATTTCCACACTACTCTTGTACCGATATGCAACTGAGTTACTCTTGTACCGATATGCAACTGAGTTACTCTGCTAGTTACTCTGCTAGTTACTCTGCTAGTTCAGCAGTGGCTGATGAACTACAGTGCTGGCAACTGAAATCCGACCCCCTGACCCCCTGATTCGGCCTGAGCGGTGCGCTCGCGTCGCAAAGACCCGGCATGGGCATTATGGGATTGTAACACTACGAAATAGAGGCCGCTAGAAAGTAAACACACTGCTCCGGGGTCGGATTTCAGTTGCCACCGGTTACCATCCCTGGCAACTTGTGCAATTCCATGCCGAGATGCAGTATTGTTCATTGCTAGGCGCATGCAGTACAGGCAGGCTACTGCTGATACTCATCTCGGAATTTTGTTGCTCACGATCCGCTGTCTTACTGTACTAGACAACCATAACGCTCTCTTCAACGATACCTGTGTGCATTTGCTGCAGGTGGGAGATGGCAAAGAAAGCTGTGAGTAGCATCTTGCATTCATTGTCTCGTGACGATCAGGTCAGTGTAGTATGTGCCCGTGGTGACAATGTGTCTCCTGGCGGACGTAGATTTCAGTATAATCCAGTAGTTCTTGGATGCCAGAAGGACAAGATGATGCGTGCAACTGCCTCCAACCGCATCAAGCTCTTGGAGGACCTGGACAGCCAAAACCCGATGGGCAGTGGAGTCAGCCATAGGTAGGGGCCTGGATGCTAGCAGTTTTCTGATATACATGTACTGGTGTACACTGCGTGCTGCGGCTTGTTTTCTACTTTGGGATAAACCAGTGGTCTGTTTGAGCATACTGGCACTGACTCCTTGCATGCTTGGCTAGTCTCACATTGAGTAGAAGTGTGTTACTGAAATATGTGTCTCATGGCGGCTGTTTTATATCCTAAGACTACACAAGCAAAGTGCTGTGATAACTCCTCTATTTAGCATTACAGTCATGGCACTGTTGTTCCTAGTTACTTTTAGCATATTTGTATTTTAGAGCTTCCAGTTCGAAGTAGCAATAGTGTATTAGTGTGCTGGGCCTAGCATCCTGCTGGAAACCTCTGAGTTTCTCGCAGGAGCGTTAAAGGGGAAGTTAAGGCAAAAAATAAAATTTCACCAGTTGTAGTCTTCAGGGTGCTGAGTCGAATGGTCTTGGTCCGAGAAAGCTGAGACGCTCCCTTCCTACTTGAATCCCAATCGAACTCGCGCACTTCCACCGAAAGTGGGTGACTGCGCCCTACTAGATGGGGATTTGTATGCAAAATGTCACTAAAAGCGCCATTTCGTTCTTATAAAAGCATGGATGACCGCGATTGGCCCATATGTTGTAGTCTTTTGGACGCTGAGTCGACTGGTTTTGGTCCGAAAAGGCTGCAATGCAGCGTTCCTCCTTTATTCCCAATCGAACATGGTTGAACAAGCGGTCACGTGCTCCTGCGTACACCAGTCACCTGGTCACCGTGCCTGCAGGGTACAACTTACTAGCCTGTTTGACCTTTTTTGGGTGCAGTCCTGTCACTCGAGTGGAACTCGAGTTGAACCTTGGTGTGAAAGTTGTCGCCTGCTGGCGTGGTGACCAGGTGATTTGGGCACTCAGGAGCACGTGGCCGCTTGTTCAACCATGTTCGATTGGGAATAAAGAAGGAACGCTGCATCGCAGCCTTTTCGGACCAAAACCAGTCGACTCAGCGTCCAAAAGACTACAACATGTGGGCCAATCGCGGTCATCCGTGCTTTTATAAGAACGAAATGGCGCTTTTAGTGACATTTTGCATACAAATCCCCATCTAGTAGGGCACAGTCACCCAGTTTCGGTGGAATTGCGCGAGTTCGATTGGGATTCAAGTGGGAACGGAGCGTCTCAGCTTTCTCGGACCAAGACTATTCGACTCAGTACCCCACTACAACTGGTGAAATTTTGATTTTAGCCTTAACTTACCCTTTAAAGATTCCCAGCATGGACTGGATTTATTTTGCATGCTTTATCTACTTTGGGTGTATGTGTGTGTGTGTGTGTGTGTGTGTGTGTGTGTGTGTGTGTGTGTGTGTGTGTGTGTGTGTGTGTGTGTGTGTGTGTGTGTGTGTGTGTGTGTGTGTGTGTGTGTGTGTGTGTGTGTGTGTGTGTGTGTGTGTGTGTGTGTGTGTGTGTGTGTGTGTGTGTGTGTGTGTGTGTGTGTGTGTGTGTGTGTGTGTGTGTGTGTGTGTGTGTGTGTGTGTGTGTGTGTGTGTGTGTGTGTGTGTGTGTGTGTGTGTGTGTGTGTGTGTGTGTGTGTGTGTGTGTGTGTGTGTGTGTGTGTGTGTGTGTGTGTGTGTGTGTGTGTGTGTGTGTGTGTATATGTGTGTATATGTGTGTATATGTGTGTATATGTGTGTATATGTGTGTGTATGTGTGTGTATGTGTGTATATGTGTGTATATGTGTGTATATGTGTGTATATGTGTGTATATGTGTGTGTGTGTATATGTATATGTGTGTATATGTGTGTATATGTATGTGTGTGTATATGTGTGTGTGTATATGTGTGTGTAAATGTGTGTGTATATGTGTGTGTGTATATGCAAGATTCCTTTTGAGTCTCTCTCCCCTCTCCCGGGGAGACCCACGTGACCAGTTTTGGCAGTGAGCAAGTACAAGTGTATATGTATATGTGTGTATATGTATGTGTGTGTATATGTGTGTGTGTGTGTTTAGAGCTGCTCTAGATACACTACTTAGCTTCTTTCCAGCAGCGTCGACCTGCCAGAAAGTCTTAATATTCGTGACGGACGGCAAGGATATGGATCCGGACGTATTCAAGAATGTCTGTTATGATAAGAACCGCGGCTCTTTTGGATGTGGTGCTTTAAAGACTGATTTTGCATCACTGTACAGTGCAGTCAACACTGCTCACACTACGGTAAGGGACTGTTATTTCACAAATTTTCGGTGTACTTTTATTTTCGGTGCTTTCAATACATCTGTATCCAGGGAATTTTCTAGAACCGCCCCAACCCCGGTTTTCAACCGGTTTTCGACCGGTTGAAATTGTTGGCGACCGGTTGAAAAGTTACAAATCAGTTCCAACCGCCCGCACTTTTCTGTGGGTGAATGGAGCTGTGAATGGTCAAACGCTTTTTTCTGGACGGATACTTCCAGCGAAGCCGTGTGGGCTGGTACTAGGGTCACGAGTTTGTACTCCAGCGCCAAGAAATCTGTTAAATTGCTGTCGAGTGCTATATTTGGGTTGTATTTTGAAAAAAATTCCGGGGCACCCCCCCCCCCCCCCCACTCTTCATTGGACCGTAACCGGTTGGAAATTCGTCCTAGAATACACCCTGGACCGTCACTATCATACCTAAAATTTCAATACACCGAACAAACACTAACACATACTTTTGAAGTATAAACCAATAGGGAACTGCTTCTCTGTACCTAAAATTTCTGTTCACCTAACCTGGCCTTTTGCCCTCATACCGAAAATATTGAGCACCGAAAAATTCTGAAATTAGAGTAGATGAGAACACAATGGTGACAGGTGTATAATGGAATCTCTCCACGCGTTGTGAATACCGTGTGCTCTCTGTCTTCAATGACGGCATTTGCTGCTCATGGCGTGGATTTGTTAGACACTTCCATTGATCTTTGACTGTTGTTGGCATTCATGTTGTGTGCAGAAATCAATTCATGTTGTGGGAATTGAGACCGGTATGGAGGGATCCACACTGCCAGGTACACTGGCTTGTAAGAATGAGGGTGTTTATATCCGGTTGAACTCAACAAGCAACATCCGCACCAGGCTTATGCCCTACTTCAGTTATCTCGCACGGCTTGCCAACACAGAGTCCGATGCCATACGCCCGACAGCGCCCTATGTAGATGCGTCTGGTCTAGGCCGCATCATCACACTCTCTCGAGCAGTTTACGATCCACACGATGCGCGGTATGTGTGATTCAATGGCGTGTGTGTTTGTGTTTGCTTAGTGATGTTTTACTCCTGCCATAAATAGTTTTGTGTGAAATCTGAACTTGTGCACTTGGCTTTTACTCTCGCGAAGCATTCTCAACGATAACATTCGTCATGTGTTTGTTCTTCGTGTCCACAAAGTGCGCACTTTAGCACACAAAGCACAGAAACAAATGGATAATCCGATGAGACCTTTCTAACGATTACTCACCATAATCTATACAGTAGTGATATGAGCAGCAGCAAACAAGTCCTCAGATCTACCTTTCTACAAGCTGGTCAAAGCAGGAACAAAAATAGGTGGTCAAAGCAGTAACAAAAATGTCACCTAAGCGAGTGCGAGTGGCACCAGCTACATAGTGAAACCATTGATAGTTGATACACGGCATAACATCATACAACATTGGCACTATGGTACTATGGTACTACGGTACTATGGTACTATGGTACTACAATGTCAAAACAGTGACAACATTTGCACATACGTCATCTGCACAGAAACACACACACACACGCGCGCGCACACAAACACACTCAGACTCAGACTCAGACATGCCCATCGCGGAAGCGATGATAGCGAACAGCTATGTCAGAATAGCAAGTTGTGCTGGGATTACACCATTCAACAGCTTGCAAGGCTGATGAATTGACTACCACTAATTTTAGCCTCGTCTACACTACATAGCTGATTGAAGTGTTTTTTTTCTGGCCAGTGAATTCCTATTTTTCTTTTTCACACACACACACACAAAGTAAAGCTAGGAGAATGAGAAAGAGAAATACGTGTGTGACCATAATCGTCAGGAATTGAACCCGCAACCTCTCGATTGGAAATCGACTGCACATACCACTGCACCATATGGGCACACACATACACACACACGCACCCACACACACACTTGTGCTTGTACTTGCTCACTGCCAAAACTGGTCACGTGGGTCTTCCCGGAAGAGGGGAGAGAGATTCAAAAGGAATCTTGGAAAGATGACTCAATTGGCTATTGAACCGCCCAACGGCCGACACCCCTTGAAATCCCCAAACTATGGGTGGACTTGGAAATGATCCCACTTATGGGTTTTGGTGCTCGATAGATTTGCACCATGTTATTAATTAATTGAGGAGCAAGAAAAGTGTTACCAAACAGTCTGAATGCCAAAGGAAAAGAGCGAAGAGAAAGAGAAAGAGAGAGAAAGAAAAAGCAATAAGGAGATCCGTAGATATGGTATGGTCCGCACAGGGACGTATGTGAGCAGGTACACTGAACCTGGGAGACGTATACAAATATGGGGTGCATAAATAAACTCTACTGTACGGGAAATGTGTACAAGTCAATCTGAGGGCATGCAAACCGAATGTACAACCATGACGAATAAGAGTCCTGCATGACGGTTGAGACTGCAAACTGACATTTTCCGGGGTTGATGACCAAACCATTGTCGGCAAGGCGTTGGAGGACTGCTCGGCAATTATTATGGGTTCTGTGGGATTCCATGTCCCTGCTGGGAACGAGAACATCATCCATGTACTTCAAAAAGAAGTAGAAAAAAGAAGTAGCCATTGCCACAATCCAGACCGCGTAGGACATCGTCCAAGAACCGTTGGAAAGTTTGAGCAGCATTGCGTAAACCAAATGGCATGCGCACAAACTCAAATAACCCAAATGGGGCAGTCACAGCTGTCTTGGGGACGTCCTCTGGTGCAACAGGTATCTGGTAGAATGCCTTCACCAAGTCCAGCTTCGTGAACACTGTGCATCCTTCCAGCGATGACGTAATGTCGTGGATATGAGGCACCGGGTATCTGTCCGGAACAGTAGCCTTGTTTAAAGCACGGTAGTCCCCGCATAGTCTCCAATCTCCATTCGGTTTTGGCACCATGTGGAGTGGGGTAGACCATTGCGACGAGGACGGACGAATAATACCGGAGTTTAGCATGTGCTGAAATGCAGCTCTGGCTGTGCGAAGGCGGTCAGGTGCCAGGCGACGTGGCTTAGCATGCACTGGCCGGCCAGAAGTCACGATAGGATGCGTCACCTGATGCTGAACAGGACGGTCAGGCTGAGTGCACGGTCGCGTGACATCGGAAAATTCAGCGAGAATTGCGGCAAAGTCCGCATTGTCAGCAGTAGGCAGGACACATGTCGGATCGCTGGATGCTGTGGCTATGGCTGATATTGTTAAACTGGTACTGTCATCCATTAGACGGTTGCCATTCAAGTCGACCAAAAGGTTGAAATGTGCCAAGAAATCGGCACCAATGATTGGACGTTGAACATCTGCAACAATAAATACCCATTGGAACTGACGCCGAAGACCTAGATCCACCGTCATGGAATGCTGACCATATGTGGCTATTCCACTGCCATTAGCTGTTTGGAGCCGGTATTCTGACTGGCGGTGCCTTTCAAGCGGTGTTGGTGGCACAACACTCACCTCCGCACCAGTGTCGATTAGATTGGCAGATTGGGACAGGCGATCCTTGACATGTAGGCGGCGACCAGTTGAGCAGCCAGCAACACTAATCGCCTCTAGTTGCTGGCGGGGGCGTTTCCCTGAAGATACGAGCAGGGAGCAAAGCATCTGTTGGCCCGCGTGCCAAACTTCCTGTGGTAACGGCGGAGCTGATTATTCGGTGTGCCAAGTTTGTCTTTAGTGCCAATTTTGCCAGTAGGCGGTGAGCTGGAACGAGAGGAGCGCTGACCATGTTGACGGAATTGCGGGCGACCACGTTGGGTCAAGGCATGGACGGTGCCAGACAATTCAGCCACTTGAGCGGAGAGGCTTTCCACGGCAGCATACAATTCCATACTGGGCTCAACAGAGCTAACTGCAGGTGGACGGGCAACTTCAACAGCCCGATCAGCCATCTCGGCTACAGCTTCCAAATCCAAACCTCCAGGCGCAGAGACAAGCACCATTTGCACATTGGATGGCAACCGCTGCACAAGTAGCTCTTTAAGAAAAGACGGATCAATGGGGAATCCCCACGGAGCTGGCAAAGGCGGCGGAGGAGTTGCGATGGCTTTTATCGCCAAGCTCTTCCTCAGTGAGCAATTGTCGCAAGCGCCATTGCTCTGAGGACTGCGTCCACTTTATCAACTCAGAACGCAGAGCAGTGTACGGATTTGTTGGCGGCCGGTTCATCAGAAGGTCCCGGACCTCAGCAGCAAACTCCGGGGCCAGTGAGGCAATCACGTGATCAAACTTTGTATCCTGCTGTGTTATCCCACGAATACGGAACAGAGATTCCGCTTGGCTAAACCAAACAATTGGTTCATTGGGCCAATACGGTAGTAACTTAAAGCTCACAGCTGAGACAGCAGCAGGAGCTGAAGTTGCATGTGGCAATACCGAGAATCTAGGTTGATGACTGGCAGCTGTGGTAGCAGATGTCGCAGTTGGAGTTGATTGTAAACCCCAGTGGGAGGAGTGCCACTCCACAACTGTTGATTTGAGCGGCCTCTTTCGATAGGAGTTGTCGCCATCTCGACCAATACTGTGGTTAAATAGGTAACTTAATCTAAAAAATAAAAATAAACGGACTATAGTATTCATCAAAGGCAACATGCACTGGATTTCCTCTCATCATATTTTAGCTTCAATGAAAATTGTGCTAGCTGTTGTATCTGTCTTGTTGACATGGCGTATGTGACTTTCTCTCCTCCAGGAAACTGCTTGGCGTCGTGGGAGTGGATGCAGTGCTGGATGATGTTGAGAATACACTACTGGATGACCAGTTTGGCCTTTCCTATGCATTCCTCATTGACACAGAGGGAAGAGCTATCATTCATCCACGCCTAAAGCCAAGTTCAGAGGTATGTCGTACTGCACGCGGTGTGTCCCCTGCATCCAGTGTATCCAGTGCATCCAGTGTGTCCAGTATGTACAGTGTATCCAGTATGTACAGTGTATCCAGTGTGTCCAGTGTATCCAGTGTATCCAGTGTGTCCAGTGTATCCAGTGTGTCCAGTGTGTCCAGTGTATCCAGTGTGTCCAGTGTGTCCAGTGTGTCCAGTGTGTCCAGTGTGTCCAGTGTATCCAGTGTATCCAGTGTGTCCAGTGTATCCAGTGTATCCAGTGTGTCCAGTGTATCCAGTGTGTCCAGTGTATCCAGTGTGTCCAGTGTATCCAGTGTATCCAGTGCATCCAGTGTGTCCAGTGTGTCCAGTGTATCCAGTGTGTCCAGTGTGTCCAGTGTGTCCAGTGTGTCCAGTGTGTCCAGTGTATCCAGTGTGTCCAGTGTGTACAGTGTATCCAGTGTATCCAGTGTGTCCAGTGTATCCAGTGTGTCCAGTGTGTCCAGTGTGTCCAGTGCATCCAGTGTGTCCAGTGTGTCCAGTGTGTCCAGTGTGTCCAGTGTGTCCAGTGTGTCCAGTGTGTACAGTGTATCCAGTGTGTCCAGTGTGTCCAGTGTGTACAGTGTGTCCAGTGTATCCAGTGTGTCCAGTGTGTCCAGTGTGTCCAGTGTATCCAGTGTGTCCAGTGTGTCCAGTGTGTCCAGTGTATCCAGTGTGTCCAGTGTGTACAGTGTATCCAGTGTGTCCAGTGTATCCAGTGTGTCCAGTGTGTCCAGTGTGTCCAGTGCATTCAGTGTGTCCAGTGTGTCCAGTGTGTCCAGTGTATCCAGTGTGTCCAGTGTATCCAGTGTGTCCAGTGTGTACAGTGTGTACAGTGTGTCCAGTGTATCCAGTGTGTCCAGTGTATCCAGTGCTTTCAAGTACATGTACAGTACCTCAAGACATCCTTGACTTCCTGTTTCCTTAGTGACTTCGAAGTAGAGAACACTGGAGTTTGTCTGGGCCAGTTAGAGAACACTGGAGTTTATCTGGGCCAGTTGCATTGAGCTGGTTGGTTTGTTTGATTGATAGCCTTTTCTGAGAGCCTTGAACTCAGTCATGGAATGCTAGGTAATATGTTATAGGCTACTCATACTACGTTACAATACGCGTCACGTTTTGGAATACGACGTACTGGTAGACGTCGTTTCCATGCAGGTGCATTCACACAGGCACGCACACGCTGCTCGTACAGCTGTGTGTACAGGTTCTTTCGGACACAAACTGCTGGGAACGACAGAACGAAACTCGGTACAGGGGTCTGGATACGTCGTCTACGTTTTCGTATCAGGAGTACGATTTTCCCGCCACGTTCCATGTTGTCATGGCTATCCGGACGAAAACGTCACGTACATCACGTTTTGGGCGTAGTGTGAATAGCCCATTACAATGTGAATGTATGCTGCCTAAGTATGTATGTTGTACTTAGTCCGCGTCATCGATATTGTCGCTTATCTTTCAGCTTTGTTTATATGTCGCCATTGCTTACTTGGCAGCCCATTTCATGCCAATTTTGGTTAGTAAGTTAGTTTAGCTAGAGTTCGAGTGGATTTCGAGAGCGACGGGTGGGTGATTCTAATTGATACAGCGCCGCATCAAATATATAATATCTTGTTACGCTGTGCAGGCAAGAGCAGCGCAAGCCACAGGAAAGTAATGCGCTACTCGGAATCAGCTCCATTTTGCTGAACGGCCGAGATGGCTCACCTCAGGGATAGCTCGTCAAGATGAGATCTCAGCTTCCTTACCTCCAACTCAGCGCTCGGAGTATCCAGCGCACCGTGGAGATTTGCAAGTACTGTACACGTCGTCGACGTCGTTCAAAATAAAATCTTGCAAAGAAAGGCGTCTGATTTGAACCACACAGGCTGTCGTACTGCCCATGCAAAGTCCTATAGAGAAGGCGACCATCACGATCGACTTCGGTTTAGATAATAGCCAGGCAGCGGAAAGGTAGAGAGATGAGCTTGCAAAAGCAAGAGAGTCGATGACGAGCAAAACATATTTGTCACCAGCGTCGAGAGCAGCGACGAGGAGGACCGAAAAAAGTAGGAGCCCTTCCTTGGACAATAGATTCCTTACAGCTAGTTGTCATTCTATACCTTACCGTCCATCGTACCAAGTTTTATCACTTCAAGTGCACGCGTTCATGTCCAAAGTCTAAGTTCAAATTGTCGAAAGATAAGCGACAATATTGCTGACGCGGACCAAGTACATGTATGTTGCACGGTGGTACCAGTAGCTTTGCATTGCTATTCTAAGTATTCTTACTCCATTGTGTACTCGTGTGCCTATGTCGATATGTGATCACCAGCTGGTCGATGATCCTGTATACCCGCACATATCCAAATTGGAATTACACAACGGCAAGCCCAGTGCATTCTCTGAAACAAATGGCGTGTTGGCGGTAAGTGTACATTGTCTAGGCAGCGTGTTATGTTAGTCTGGACTGTCCAGTCAAAGACAACAAGGCAGTACATGCACATGTAGTAGAAAGGAACATAACCAGTTCACAGCCACAAAAACGGATTCGTTGTGATAGAAACATATTTCACTTCATCACCGGCCAGATAGAGGCCCAGGCGAGGAGTGATGTCGCTGTAGTAGCTAACTGCCTAAGGTAGGGAGCAACTAGATTGACTTAACCAAATGGTAGCTGACTTGTCGAAAAGCAGTAACTAATTTAGAGAACTATAGCGAATACTAACAAGTGCAAGGAGTTCAGTACCTAAGCTAGTTACCCTGAAAGCCCAACTTGACCAGACAGTTGTTTGTTCGCAGTAGGGGTGAAACGATTAGTTCGAATATTCGAGTATTCGTTTGAAAATTTCAAACGAGCGAGTATTCGAAATTTTGCACTCAATCGGGTTTTTTTTTGGAAGTATTGGCATTCTATTTTTAAAAAGCTTTTGTTGCACTGCTCGTCCACTGGCATGGGTATGCATGCATTATGCATGCATTATGCATGTCTTTGAGTCAGTATTTTATGACTTGGACGATGCGATCACCACGACGAGTAACGGTAGTTAGTTATGAGATATGAAAATACTGATGAAAATCATTACTTTACACTCTGGACAAGACGTTGGCGACTTTTGTTCAATGTTCACAGATAATTTCTTCCGAATTGGTCGAGAACTCACAAATCTAGCTCTTTTGAATTTTAGCAAAATACTCGAAATAATCGGATACTCGATCGAATATTACAAATGAGTGATCGATTGGTCAAAATAGATACTCGTTTCACCCCTAGTTCGCAGCCATACTTGATGACCATGTGGATGATGAGCTTAGACCCGTACTACAGGTGTGGCCAAAGAAATCCAACCCACGTGCCGAAATCAGCGCCAAGGCGTGTGCGACCCTCGAATGGGTTCTGGACCGTGCATGAAATGGAAGCGCAGCGCTAATTTTGACTCGCGGGTCGGATTTCTTCGGCCCTGTGGATTTCTCCTCTTGGAAGTTCACACCAAGACAGGTAGGGGATTCCCGAGCATCCCATCCCAAAGGGACCATTCAAACAGCAGTTCGATTATCTGCAAGCCTAGTTTTGCCTAGAAAGACAGAAAGGGGCTCCATATGCTGGATATCTTTCCTTGACCAAAGGGCTCTCTGCTATTCTCAACTTAGACCCATTGGGCATCTCGCAACATTCGCTCCATTGGAACACCATACCATTCCCTGTTGCTTACCGCCTCGTCTGCTACAGAGCTATGAAGATTGAAAAATCAACAGACGCAATGACAAAGCCATTTGTAATTCCGATGAGTTTGTTTGTGTCATTACGGCTCAAATCATGCAAGAAATGAAGATTTGAGAGAAGTACGCGTCTCTTAGTGGTGCCAAAGGCCTTATCAGAATTACAAGCGGCTTTGCTTCTGCGTGTGTTGATGTCTTCTTCCAGCTAATTCTCTCTCTATTGAAGATTAAGATGCTAAAATAAGACTGTAGAGTACCTTAGATCCGTCTCTGGCTGGTTTTCTAAATGTGAACTGATCTCAGCGAATGTATCAAGAATATGGTGTTGAACTGGTGTATGCACTGCTGTACGTATGCACTCCTGTACGTATGCACTGCTGTACCTAGCACACGTCCCAGTGCACGTGCTCCAGTAAATGGAACTGTGCATATTGCAGCACAGCAAGTCTGACGTTTGTGTGTTTTTGTACATCGTACATCGTACTGTGCTTGACACCCTTGATACAATTCTTGCTGGTTACAAAACAAGTTGGAAGCGACACAGCATGGGGGCGGATCAACAATGCTTTGCGGTATTTGCGTACGCTTCCAGCATACTTTACCTGCTTCCATGATAGCTGCCTTCAATTCCTTCTTGGCAACTAGCACCCTTTAAGAAAGCCATTGAGCTGCTGGGTCCACCTAAGTAAAATAAAATATATATCACAACTGCTAATACCCCCTGGTAAATCGGGAATTTGATTGCAGAGATGTGGCATATACACATCAGTGCTGTTTGTGTGTGTTTGTGTGTTTGTGTGTGTGTGTGTGTGTGTTTGTGTGTGTGTGTTTGTGTTTGTGTTACGCCCTTCACAGAACATGGTTGCTCAGAAAACCGGTCAACGGACAGTGACAGGTCCGCGTGCACAGCAGCGCGGTGCTTTGCAGGATGGTCTTGTGTGGGTTGACAGCGTCCAGTTCACGTATCACTACACCGCAGTCAAATCAACGCAATATTCGTTTGCCTTTGTTGTTACCAAGGACGACGCAAGCCAGGTCACGTTAAACCAGCTGTCCTACACCGCAGGACAAGCCCGCAATTACTACCATGAGGTCAGTAAGTATGACAGCGCCAACAGAACCACCATTGGCTACACGACCAATAGCAACAACTACAATAACCTGGCGGTCGCACTGACAGCGTCAACGTTCAAATTGGCAGGACAAGCCTTCTGCGATCCAACTCGGTATCTGTTGTCGGATGAGCCTAACTCAACTCTTGTTGATAGCTACTACAACAGTGGTGCCATGCTGGCTGCCTGCGATGCTGGTGGAATATTCCAACCAGAGACCAGGTATGGTGCACGTACCATGTGATGTACTTGTCACTGTGTGGGTGTGTGCGCACGCACACATGTGTGCGTGTGTATGTGTGTGTCCGTGTGTGGGTGTACGCATGCGTGTGTGAGTGTGTGTGTGTGCGTGTATGTGCGCACGCATGTGTGTGTGTGTGTATGTGTGTGTGTGTGTGCGCGTGCATGTGTGTGTGTGTGTGTGTGTGTGTGTGTGTGTGTGTGTGTGTGTGTGTGTGTGTGTGTGTGTGTGCCTTCGAAGCGATGACTTCCAGCTTCATCACATGCGCAAGCAGCTGGGGCCTGACGGTCAGTGTGAGAAAGACCAAGGGTATGGCTGTGGGTGAGTCTGCTGATCGCCGTGACGTTGTTGTTGGAGCAGACACGATTGAGGTGGTGGACCAATTCACCTACCTTGGCAGTGTGCTCTCCTCGGATGGTCTTGCCTGTGCTGATGTCCGCTCTCGCCTTGCGAAAGCCTCAGCTGTGTTCGGAGCCCTCAAAGCTCCTGTCTTTGATAACCAGACCCTGTCGCTTCGCAGCAAGAGGCGTGTCTATGAGGCTGTCGTCCTCACGACCCTCTTGTATGGTGCGGAGACGTGGACCACCAAGGCAGGCCACCTCCAGAAGCTAAACACGTTTCACCATCAGTGTGTTCGGTTCATTGTGGGTATCGGTCGTCGTCAACAGTGGGATGATCGGATCTCAACGGCCACATTAGCAGCTACATTCGGTGTTGACCCTGATATCACCCGCATCATCCGTCGCCACCGGCTTCGTTGGCTGGGTCACGTCGGCAGGATGGACGACTCACGCGCACCGAAGCAATTGCTGTTCGGCGAGCTGCCTGCCCCCCGTCCTCGTCACGGCCCGAAGAAGAGGTGGCAAGATGTGGTATCGACTGACCTGGCGGACCTCGGCGTGACCACCTGGCTTGAGAGTTGCCAAGATCGTCCCGGCTGGAGACGAGTTGCGAGTAGCACCCCACCGCCACGGCCCGCTCCTGATCCTCTTCTATGTGTCTGTGGACGCCCATTTCGTCGACCAGGAGACCTGTAACGATATGCCAAGTTCTGCGCTCGTGTTCTCACTTGAACTTTCCGACATTCGCTATCATTGCGTACGCAATGGGCAAGATCAAGGTCAAGGTGTGTGTGTGTGTGTGTGTGTGGAATATGAGTAGTAGAAGTAGTATGTATAGCGTATATCACTGGTTCTGGTATAGGATCATGAACACAATGACAAGTTTGAATTTATCACCTCACTCATCCTGTCTGCTCTTCTTTCAAGATGATCATCCCTCGGACTGTTTGTTTTGGACACCCACTCTTGTGCATGCACTTCAGATCAACAGTCTGGATAACCCAGCCCATCGAAGCCACTTGGAGGGCCCGTTCAGCAGCCGTATCTGATGAGATTGTTTGGACTTACTTTGGCTCTGCGAATGGAGTATGGAGGAGTTTCCCAGGATCTAGGTCTACACGCAACTATGACCCCACCAGGTAAGCGTGTACCTGTTGATAGTTTAGTTGTACTGGTATCACCACAGCACATGAGTCACAAATCAAAGGAAATACGAAGTCCAGAGGATGAATAACCTATAGTCCATTTCAAAAAGATTAGCAATCAGGTTTTGGTCTTAAAAAGTATGAAGATAAGGGAAATTTGGACAACAAAGTACATAGAATGGCTTGTTAGGACACGGCAAATTGTTCTGTGAAGGTTTCGGAACAATTGGACCAACCGTTAAGGAGTTAGAATTTCGGCCAGGTTTCCGGCCTTTCCCCATGGTTTACAATTTGCCCTGGATGTCAGTATCGATATTTTATCAAAACCCACGATTTATCCGTTCCTTTTTGGTCTTGTGGTTATGAATGCTGTCTGCTGACCATGAAGTTGTGAGTTCAAATCCCAAACTATCTTCAAGTCATACTTTTTTTTCATTGTTTTAGTGATCACGCTGGTACAAAAAGTACAAGCCAAAGAAGGTGGCTGCGCCAAACGACTTGGTGTTGTTGGAGCTCGTGTTTCCTGCCGAACTTACTGACACTTAACTGGTTCACGCCATGTGAACACACCCACAACACTGAAACGGTGTGAGTGAACACGGAAGTCATTGCGCTGTAGCTACGTGTTGTTGAATACAACGCCACATCGATCGATCGATTTCTCTTTGAGAATTATTTTAGTATTTCAAGATCGCCAATTTATTTGAATTTAGGAGTCAACGCCGTCTTCTATCAGCTTTCACAGGCGTCTGCTTTTCTCAAAATGTCGTCGAAGTCACACGGATAGCTTTGCCAAATCATGGCCTTGGGAATGAGTCTGTGTCGATGTCGTCGAAGTCACATCGTGAGAGTAAATTGCATCGCAGCTCAAAGAAATTGGGCACGAAACGAATTGGGACCCATCCCGCTCGTCAACATTTACCACACTTTCGACATGTCCTCTCTGACTCCATATCGATACGAGGAAGAACTCGTTTGTTGTAAACCAGACGTACATGTACCGACGTGAGTGAGCTGTCATTTTTCATGCTTTCGTGCGGATTATTTCTTCGAGTTCACAGTGCGTTTTTCCAGCCAGCTCTCGAGCGCGCATACGGTAAGACGGCAAACTCCCCGGGCGATCGCCAGGATTGCTAATCTTTTTGAAACTGACTGTAAGTACAACATTAATGTAGGAACTTAGACCGTGACAAGGACAAGGACTGGACAAGTACATTGTACATTGACCTGCGCGGTGGAAGAAGAGAGAAAGAAAGAACTTTCTCGATTGACTTTTTGTGGACATTTTGTTGTTGTCGTCGTCATTATCGTCGTCGTCATTATTGTTGTTCTTCTTCTTCTCCTTGTTCTTTCTTGTAGGCGTCCCTGGTACCACCGTGCACTGGCAAACCCACCATCTCAGTACGCCACTTCATCTGTGTATTTGGATGCCGGTGGCATTGGCAAAGTAGTGACAGTAGCTCAGACCATATTCCAGACTCGCTCTGTTCCCTCAGGTACTGGCTTGTGTACTGCAGCTACTGGAAGAGCTGGCAACTGTGCGTGCTCAAATCATGCTCAATGCCAGTCTTTGTACTGCTATGGTACACCAAGCATGATGTGTGCCAATCCAACGGTAGGTGTGCTTTTTCTTCGGGATGTGATCAGAATCATTGTATTTGTTTGTAAGCATCAACGCAACTCTCACGCACCAGTAAAGTCTTTCAATTTCAAACATTGCTCACTCAATGATTGACAGTGTTCTCTGTGCTGCAGTATTCTCATCGAACATCAACAACAGTCCAGGTCATGTAGTTTGTAGTGTGGAGGCTTACCAGTGCAATTCATTGATGGTACTGCAGCACAGAGTCCCCACAGAGTCCCCTGGGTGTGCAAATAATGTGTTAGTTAGTTTCCTGGAGTGTTGTTTGATTTTGAGCAATTTCCCTTCAGTTCATCTCTGATTGGCAGGCTGCAACATAGCTCACAATCAGTATAATTATGCTGCTTATGCGTAGCAAGTCAAAAGCAGTTGTGAGGTCTTCACCCACCATTATAACAAGTTTGGTGCCATAACACGTTCGACCTGAATCCACAAATGTTTACTGTGTTCCTGGCTGCCATCATCACAATCATCAGTCATGTGACTCATCTGCTTGCTCTGCTAAACCTAGGTTGCTGGAGTAGGGGCTATTGATTTCCGCTACACTCAGTTTGCTGGCTTCATGGAGACAGCTCTAGATGTCGCTGGCATCAGTGCATCCGACAGCTGTAGTACGGGTACTGGAGTCAGGTGAGGTCAGCTATGGGTTAGCAATGGGGTTACCTCTGGGTTAGCAATGGGGTTACCTCTGGGTTAGCAATGGGTTACCTCTGGGTTAGCAATGGGGTTACCTCTGGGTTAGCAATGGGTTACCTCTGGGTTAGCAATGGGGTTACCTCTGGGTTAGCAATGGGTTACCTCTGGGTTAGCAATGGGTTACCTCTGGGTTAGCAATGGGTTACCTCTGGGTTAGCAATGGGTTACGTCTGGGTTAACTAAAGGTATTCTGTACTGGTGTTAGCTGGGCTGTAGAATTAGACAGTACATGTATATCTATTTGCATTATTCCATATTCAAATTATCCGGATTCCACCAGTACTGCTATCTGTTCAAAGTATATGAACACCAATCCGGAGAACTTCAGTACATCAAGTTAATCTCCGGAGAATAGCCCACTCTCTAACAACCTTCAGATTCAGTTTTACTTTTGGACAAAATTTGAAGATGTTTTTATGAAATATCCGTCAAAAATTCAAATTTTATCTCCATCTTGCCGATGAACTCACCAATGCAGTCAAAAATGCTCCCAAGAAAGTTGTGCTGCCCCAACCACTTTTTAACTTGATTTACTAGTAAGTTCATCGACGTCAGCTCTGTTAACTTGACTTGAGTATGTGGTGTTGCTTGTGGCGTCATTGCTCGGCTGAAGCTAGCTCACTTTTACATGTTCGGCTTAGTACCTTATTCATTCCTACTTTCAAAAAAAATTGGACAATGGCTGCTTGTAAGATTACTTTCACGCCAAGGTCCACTGCACCTTGTCCCTACTGTAGGGCCTAATAGTGTACTAATACTGTACTTTGTCACATTCTGTCATCTCTTTGCTCTGCTGTTCAGCTGTCTATTGGTGAACGATGCAGCCGAGGTGGTCTATGATAAAAGCTTTGCCGCAGCAGCTGATGGTGATCCGCGCAGCTATGAGAATGTACCATTGGGCTACTTGCAGGGTGCTGTCATGCTGGACTTAGTTGATCAAGGTGTGTTCAATCGATTCAGCTTTGCCAACCTACAAGGCACCTGTGGAATTTCTCCATATGCACCACGGGTATGTACAGATAGTTCCTATGCTAGCTACATAGGTAAACATAGTGTTGTGTGCGTCGAACGTCCCTTGCAGGGGTAATCAGGAAGCATGGCATCACTGGCATAACAACTAAAGGGGAAAAATTAAAAAAATGTGTGGCCCACACGCACACACATACACACACACACGCGCACACACACACACACACACACACACACACACACACACACACACACACACACACACACACACACACACACACACACACACAGGTGTTAGTGTTCAGCTTTTTTTACACTGAAGTCCAGTGGAATGTTCTGAGTTTGCCTTGTCCCACGGTTTCTTTCCATGTGTAGTAGAAGCCCGACGGTATACAACTAAACCAGCAGCTTCATTACGTTGACGATATGCATATTTACCACAGACATAGGGCGGTTGGTTTATGACATGCCCGGGAACTAGTAGAGTGTACAGTCAGACCTCGCTTAACCGCACACAACCGTTTTCCACAAAAATATTCGGATAGGCGAGGGAACCGGATAATCGAACACACAAACTGTATGTGTACATGACATATGCTGTAAATCGGTAACCAGCGATTTTCTTCCGGATGGCGAGGGATCCGGATAAAAGAGGACCGGATAAAAGAGGACGGGATAAGCGAGGTCTGACTGTAGTAGAACACGCTACCGGGAACCTAGGCTAAATCCACCAAATTCATCACGAAACAGTATTAAAGGGGAAGTTAAGGCAAAAATTAAAATTTCACCAGTTGTAGTCTTCGGGGTGCTGAGTCGAATGGTCTTGGTCCGAGGAAGCTGAGACGCTCCCTTCCTACGTGAATCCCAATCGAACTCGCGCACTTCCACCGAAACTGGGTGACTGCGCCCTACTAGATGGGGATTTGTATGCAAAATGTCACTAAAAGCGCCATTTCGTTCTTATAAAAGCATGGATGACCGCGATTGGCCCATATGTTGTAGTCTTTTGGACGCTGAGTCGATTGGTTTTGGTCCGAAAAGGCTGCGATGCAGCGTTCCTCCTTTATTCCCAATCGAACATGGTTGAACAAGCGGTCACGTGCTCCTGCGTACGCCAGTCACCTGGTCACCGTGCCTGCAGGGTACAACTTACTAGCCTGTTTGACCTTTTTTGGGTGCAATCCTGTCACTCGAGTTGAACTCGAGTTGAACCTTGGTGTGAAAGTTCTCGCCTGCTGGCGTGGTGACCAGGTGATTTGGGCACCCAGGAGCACGTGACCGCTTGTTCAACCATGTTCGATTGGGAATAAAGGAGGAACGCTGCATCGCAGCCTTTTCGGACCAAAACCAGTCGACTCAGCGTCCAAAAGACTACAACATATGGGCCAGTCGCGGTCATCCGTGCTTTTATAAGAACGAAATGGCGCTTTTACTGACATTTTGCATACAAATCCCCATCTAGTAGGGCGCAGTCACCCAGTTTCGGTGGAAGTGCGCGAGTTCGATTGGGATTCAAGTAGGAAGGGAGCGTCTCAGCTTCCTCGGACCAAGACCATTCGACTCAGCACCCCGAAGACTACAACTGGTTAAATTTTAATTTTTGCCTTAACTTCCCCTTTAAAGGGGAAGTTAAGGCAAAAATTAAAATTTCACCAGTTGTAGTCTTCGGGGTGCTGAGTCGAATGGTCTTGGTCCGAGGAAGCTGAGACGCTCCCTTCCTACTTGAATCCCAATCGAACTCGCGCACTTCCACCGAAACTGGGTGACTGCGCCCTACTAGATGGGGATTTGTATGCAAAATGTCGCTAAAAGCGCCATTTCGTTTTTATAAAAGCACGGATGACCGCGATTGGCCCATATGTTGTAGTCTTTTGGACGCTGAGTCGACTGGTTTTGGTCCGAAAAGGCTGCGATGCAGCGTTCCTCCTTTATTCCCAATCGAACATGGTTGAACAAGCGGTCACGTGCTCCTGGGTGCCCAAATCACCTGGTCACCACGCCAGCAGGCGACAAATTTCACACCAAGGTTCAACTCGAGTTCAACTCGAGTGACAGGACTGCACCCAAAAAAGGTCAAACAGGCTAGTAAGTTGTACCCTGCAGGCACGGTGACCAGGTGACTGGTGTACGCAGGAGCACGTGACCGCTTGTTCAACCATGTTCGATTGGGAATAAAGGAGGAACGCTGCATCGCAGCCTTTTCGGACCAAAACCAATCGACTCAGCGTCCAAAAGAGTACAACATTTGGGCCAATCGCGGTCATCCATGCTTTTATAAGAATGAAATGGCGCTTTTAGTGACATTTTGCATACAAATCCCCATCTAGTAGGGCGCAGTCACCCAGTTTCGGTGGAAGTGCGCGAGTTCGATTGGGATTCAAGTAGGAAGGGAGCGTCTCAGCTTCCTCGGACCACTACCATTCGACTCAGCACCCCGAAGACTACAACTGGTGAAATTTTAATTTTTGCCTTAACTTCCCCTTTAAACTACTGTAAGCCGGTCCCTGCTGGTATGGAGGACCTAGGTATCTGGAAACCACTGCTCAAACTGACCCAGGGCTATGCCCCTGTTTACTGGCTTGGGCAGAATTGTACCAGGTATGTGGAGCTGCGTTCCTGTGTGCATAAAATGTTCTTCATGCATCTACATGTTGTTGTTAATGCTTCTCCTGCAGGCATCTGACCGTGACCTCATCCTGTCTGCCGAGCAAGTAGACAACTACTTTAAGAATCAAGGTCCCACTCCTCGCTTTAAGAATGAGTATGGCTGTCCAAAAGATCAGGTAAATTTACTTGCACACCTGCTGGTAACATGTCCGTGCAAAGTATAGACCGCGGTGCCATGCTCCACAGCCCTCTTCATGATGGGCAGCAAAAATCATGTCGCAACAGCCCCTGCCCTTTCGAAAACCGCGCTGGAAATCAGGAAGGATGTCCTCTGCCACCTTCTGGAGTCTATTCTCTCTCTCTCTCTCTCTCTCTCTCTCTCTCTCTCTCTCTCTCTCTCTCTCTCTCACACACACACACACACACACACATGCATACGCACACACTCACACTCGCACACACACACACACACCATTGACCATTTGACGCCCATCGTCGGAGGCGATGATAGCGATGCTACGGCAGAAGCCATAGCAACTTGTTCTGGGATTGCACCATTCAACAGCTTGCAAGGCTGAAAAATTGACCGCCACACATGCGCGCGCGCACACACACACACACACACACACACACACACACACACAAGCATTCACAGAGGGGGTTCATTCTATAGACTTTGTCCCTAATCATTAGTTCATATTATGTATGTTCTACCTTTTTACTTGTTCCCACTGTCTTTCCTAAATTAGATACAGTATCAGCGTAACATGACATCTGTGGACTTTACAAATAGTCTGACCAGAAATTTCCAGGGCCCGTGCGATGATGGAAGCTATCGTATCCTCCCCGTTTCGGACACAAACCTTCTTCTACTTGTCATTCAGACCACGACCAACAAGACAGGCAACCTATTTAACTTCAACTGCCACATCTTCAACAAGTAAGTTGGCAGTGAGGTATTGTATGGCACACTGACCCGGCCTTGCCATGTCACCGTGTATCATTCATCATACAAACAACCACTGTACTTCTTGAAGTACATGTACGTAGTAGCTATACACAGTGTACACTCTATATGTACAGTGTACCGTAAAGCCCGCTGCAAAAGCCCATCCTCCCTTTTTCAAGATGTACAGGCCTGCATGCACTGACCGCATGCACTGTCACCAGTACGGTACGTGATGAACTTGAAAGTGCATCTTACATGCTTGAATGGTGCGCCGAGTGGAGGAAATCAGCAAAAAGACTCGAAAAACTGCCATTTTTGTCCAGCCCGAACAGGCGATCTGGATAATCGATCATCCGGATAGTTGACGTCCAGAAAATCGGCGTTCTACTTGTAGACCCATTCATCGAATGAATAGAAATGTTCACCGTATTATTCTTTAACCCTTTGGTGCCTGACTGAATTTTAGATTTTTCGTAGTTTTGGCTCAATTTTTTGGAAAGCCTATATCTCCGCAACCGTTTAGATAATGTAGCGACAAAAGTATGTATTCTGAATGGCAAGACACAGCAAAAGCCGATTTTTGAATTTTCAAGTCAGTTAACGCATGCTCCGTACGCGGAGGCATACACGACCCACACACAGACACAGCAGTAGTTGGTTGGCACCACAGGGTAACTGGGCGAAGGAGCTGGCAGTGTGTAACCATGGAGGCGGCCGACCCGACAGAGGCGGGGACCGAGAGTGAGACCGAAATGGCGGCTGACCTGCCAAGGGCAGTAACCGAATAGAGTGATTCGGGAGAGTAGAGAGAATGCTGCCAGCTACTGAGAGTTCAGTGCCCAATCCCTGCTTGTTTTTGTTTAGCAGAGTGAGTTTGGAAGACGAATGAGGTTAGTAGTATAAGCGGGGTGCTACAGAATGAGAATTGTAACACAATGAAGTCGGTGTGGGTGGGTGGGTGAAAACACGGAGCAAGAGTCATGCGAGCCAATGCAACTAACAAAGAGAGCCAGGCACGAAGGCTGCTGAAGGGTGTACGTATGCAAAGCGAGCTGCTGGGAGAGTTTGCGCATGCGCACAACGGCGCATCCGTGAGCTGGCGCGAACACGCGCGTGATAGACATCAGCATACAGTGAAAACATTACGTCACCGCGTTAACATACTTTAGCTACGCAAAACTTGCAAAAAATCTACAATAGGGTCAGTGTACTGCGCTGGTCCAAGAACATCTTGGTCGCCAACACCACTCAGCACGCCGAATCCACTACCTCGTCCACGGCCTCCGCCACGGCCTCCGCCACACGCGCCACGCGCGCCACGATCAGCTGTTCCATCAGCTGGCTAAGCTCGACCAGCGCCGCGAGCAATTCCTCCGCGCAGCGCGAGCGGAGCACGTCCACGAACTGGCTGCGCTTGCCCTCGCCTTACAGCTCCTTGAAGCTCATCGTCGGAAATTTTGTCCTCATCTGAAGAGCTGCCGTTCTCAAGAAATTCACCGAAAACCAAATCATCGTTGAGTCAGTCTTCCTCATCTGATGACGGCAGGTTTCCGTCAGAGAAAAGAGCGTCAGATTATTCATCATCGTCGTCTTCTGATTCTTCTTCTACAGGGGCATCATCGGCCTCCAGCTCTTCAAACAACTCAAGCGCTCCTGCAGCATCCATGACGGAGGTCAGCTGCAGTAGCCATGAACTGTACAAGTCGAAAACGAAGCGAAACAGCAACGTTTTGTTCGTGTTGCGGGACGCGTGCGTAGGCATGCCACGCTCGATTGACTTCCACCGATCTGCGCGATCGTCGTTGATCACGACTCGACTTTTTCAAATGCAAACCCCCTACTTTCTCTATTGCTATCTACACGCCAGCTACTGAAGGGTCTCTCTACAAAAATCAGGCACCTGCGATGTACGTGACTGGCTCTGTGCTCGATTTTAGTATGCACTGTCAGCATAGGTCGAAATCGACCTACCGGCACCTAAGGGTTAATGCAGGATACTGACAATGGCTTGTGCAGGGCCTCCTGGTAAGACATAGGCAGTTTGTAGGCAGTACAGTCGTTCTCGCACGAATTCAGCCTTGTTTTTTAATTCTTTCATTCCGCGATGGCGAGACGCTAATAAGGAAGATTGAGTATGATAGTATGGCTACTAGTCAGAAACAGCTACTTGAAGTAGATGGGAATTAGCCCGGGAAGGCAATGAACAATGGATCATGAAAACATGCAGGGACAATAACAGGTGTGGTCGAGATAGTTGAATGTGTGTGACATGTTTGAGATTTCAGAAACCAGGAGGATGCATAGAGTAGGAACAGGTACTGCTCAGAACAAGACTGAATGCATGTTGTCGGAAAGAATTTCCACCAGGTTAGGTTGTGATGTTGATAGGCAGTAAGTTACTAAGTTGTAATGGGCACTGTTGATGGGGGAATCCCGGTGCCTGTTGGTGTGTGCAAGTCCGATGGAGTAAGTCCTTCAGTCCTTTCCCAAACGACCAATCCCGATATAACAGATTTCGAGGGTTTTTTTGCCGGGAAACGTTCTCAAGCTTGAGAAATTTCGAATTTGTCTAGTTTTGGGGTATGTATGAAATAGGGTTATCGGCCTGGTCGAGCAGTGAAGGCTTCTTCCACATCCCTTGAATTATTTCACATGAAAGGTTATCAGATTGGCAATGCCCTGCCGCCAGGAGAATGCAAACAACGCGATAGAATGCGTCCCGGGTGGTAGGGATCATTTTCTAAGTGCTAGAAAATAGCCGACATCGATGCGAAACTCGGCCTCAAAGTCGACATAGACGTCTTGAACAGGTGAGATCTTTCAATATATCAATGGGGAACACCCTAAAGAATAGATGTATAGTGTTTCTAAGCTTCTAACCCTTGTGTGCTCAAGTGAAAATTGAACATATTCGGACGTGAATATATCACCAGACAAAACCTGATACTGTAGTACATTTATCATTCAATGGGTATACAGTATACAACCACCATACAAACACGAGCAGGAGAATGAATGGACAGGAGAAGAGTTGGTTACCCATTGCTGTTCAACAAAGAGAAGCACACACTAAAAGTTGAATTGGATTAAAAGTATTTACAATTCACAATTACATGTATCACTTTCTGCGATATAACACTTGCGGCGAGGAAATGCCTGTCGCGCACTGTCGCAAGCAGTTGTAGGGCCACTGTCCCAGAAGTTGGCAAAAGCATAATTCTTGCCAAGCGCGTTGTACACGAATGGAGTTCAGTTCACTAGGCTGGGTGCACGTGAGGGTATTACGCACTGCACTTAGATGCCGCAGAAACAAAACAGATTGTGAATCGTCTGTCGCAGTTGCAGCTCATCGCAGGTGTTGCATGTTGCGCATTGTGGAAAGCAGTTCATGTATTAGGAATTGAGCTTCAGTTATAACAGAAAGAGGATCCCAGAGGATGACCGACACCACTGACAAACACTCTTCTGTGCAAAGTTTTGATGACGATGCTTGATTGAGACGTTAACCTGCAGTGGAAATAAACAGCAGATGATACTGATTATATATTAGGTACGGATTATACCATGAATATGACGGGTATACGGCGAATATTTTCGAGAGTGCGTTAGGACGAGGGACAATTGGGGGATTCGGTATACACAGAGTACGAATGGTATAATCCATTCGCATGGTACTTTCCTAAATACAGAGCGTGACCAACACGAAAGCTAAGCTCACATTCGACGGGGCGCAACGGGACGCGACGTAAGGATTGACGGGAACCGACGGAACGGTTATGACGCCGACAGACAGCGTCCAATGTGAACACCAGGAACGGGAACGCAACCGTTCTACCCTACAGATTGGGAAGCGAGGGGAAGAGTTGGATCAGTTCAACTTTTCAGACCGTAGACGGGAACGCAAGCGTACAAAACAACTGTATTCGAGTGTGAACAGGAGATGTGTCGTGCGCTGATCCCTCCCGATGCGCACTACAGCACACTTAGGTTTCTTAACATTTCGAACATGGTCAACACTACGCTTCCCATGATAACTCGTCGAATGGCTAGCACAACTGATTCAAATTTTAGGAAGAGAAGATTTCGTGTCCCTTCTTGAAAATCTCAATAGCTGCTACCGTATTTTACCGGTTGTAAGTCGACCCTGGTTATAGGTCGACCCCCGTATCCGGAGGTCTCAATTCTGCGTTTTAAAGTTTTCACCCAAAGAAGCACCACTAACCACCTCCTGCTACTAACACATCAACAAATTATAAACATTCCTTATTGGAGGGTATAACGTCCCTATCCTTGAAAAATGCCAATAAACTGGCAACAATGTGTACACATGGTGCACTCGCGCATGCAGTCCAGGTCATTTGAAGTAAGATACTGATAGTTCCCGGTTATAAGTCGAATCCCGGTTGTAAATCGACCCCCACCCTTTCTCCGTCTATTTTAAGTCGTAAAAGGTCGACTTACAACCGGAAAAATACGGTACATGTCGTGTCATACTACATGTTGTGTCTTACGAATCGTACAAGATTTTACAGCTCACCCCGGCCGTCCCAACAGACCCCTACGTCCCATACCGTCAGCGTTACGTCGAATGTGAACTAGGCTTAAAGTTTCCTTATTCTCGAAGTGACCCATGTGAACCGAGCGGGATATATCGCTGAATATATCCCGCTTAGAACGGCCGCTGATTGGCAAATGGTGTTATATTTGAGACGAGTTCTATATCACTCAACTTCATATCACAAATGCTGGCGCACTTACATGAGGAAGGGACGGATCCATACACGTGCACACATCAAATACTCTGCCAACAGCCAGTTAGCGATGATTACAAATATACAGTGCAGCAACCCTGGACAGCAAGAGAGAATGTACACACCAGAGAGCCTGAAAATGAAGTTATACTCTGAACGATTCGCATACAAGAATATTGGTGTCCAAGTGAGAACAAGTCTAGATCACTCAATTAGACAGAACAATTTTGAGTGTACACTTACACGAGAAAAGGACGAATCCATAGACGTGCATACAATGCGTACATGTCATGTTGAATACGCCGCCAGCATCAAGGCGGCGGGAACTACAACTGCATGCATACAGTGCAGCAGCCCTAGGCAACATCTCATCAGAAGATATGGCGGGCAGATGATTACGGTTATAGAACAGATGTCATTTTATGGTGCATGCCATTACAAGAACCAGCATTTTTATGGAACGGATGGTACCAATACGGCGAAATGTCTACGGATTCAAGATAAATCACAACAGACTTAGGCAAGAACATGGTAAAACTGAGCAATGGACTGGCACATTCAAGACTGATTCATACTTCATTTCATGAACGCAATGTGCACAGGCGAAGGTCGCGCGATGGACCAAACAAGTAACTCAACTCAAGATCAAGTCAACTTTCTCGCCGCAAACGGCCGTTGTGACGTGTTTCCCTTACGCAAAGCGAAGTGTGAATGAGGCTTTACTCTACATATCTAAAACTGTAAATCAGTGAAGACTACAGCTTAGAAGACGGCATTATAATGTTGTGCATTGTACTTGCCAAATATGTGTGATACTCTATGTAACATACATGTAGATAGGGCCAAGCAAGCACAGCAAGTTCCGAATTTTAGGTATTTGGAGGTCGTGAACAGATCAGATTTGTCTTGTAAGTGATAGGTATTGCTTACCTCTATATGTTGCCGCCTTCGTGCTGGCCGAAAACGCTGCGTGCTCTGGCGATAATTCGGCTTGAAATTAGGTGCATAAAAATGCCAATTTCAGCTTCGTTCACAACATTTTCGATATATGTCTCCGCTACGAAACTTCACTAAAAATATATCTGCCGAAAGAGCGTCCCGTCAAGAATACATAGTGTGAAATCAAACGAGGTGGTGCAAAGTAAAACGACGTAGGCCATGTAAAACGGCTTCCATCTCTCAGAACCAATTTAGGACAGTTCTCAAATTTGAGAACATTTTTTCGCTTTCGCGGCCAAAATCAGTCAAGAATCTGTTATATCGGGATTAGTGGGAGAGGTCTTTTTTTTGCGCGTCTGGGGAAGGACTGCTTGTCTTCTAAAAGGGTATATGGTTGGTGTTGATATTGGGGCGCAAGATGAGGTTGTTGCATATATGGTGGGTGTCCCATGCTAGTAGAGTTTGCTCAAGCTCTGCTATAATATAATATTATATACAACAGTAACAGCATACTGAGTACATCCGACTTGTTCTCGAATATGGCAACCTTACCCTATCCAACACCACACACAGCAACAGCAACAGCAGGATACACTGGAGAGAATACATCGCCGAACAAGTCGGATGTGTGTTGTACATATTGGTTTCAGGCCTGGAAGTGCTCATTGTGCTGCCACGTGTCTTGTGGAGTTGGTGCAGTAATTTCTTGGCTTTGTTGGTAGTTTGTATGATGTGTTGGGCCCACCGCATATCGTCTTGGGGTGTTACGTCAAAGTGCCTGTGTTGGTGGACTTGTAGCGGGGTCGAGTGGAGTGTGACGTGGATGATGTGTTGGGGTTGGAAGAAAAGGACTGGCCCGCAAAAACTGTTGCTGGTTACAGGTACCTTCCTCCATGGTCCGCAGCTAGCTCTGGGGGCTCCATGTACAGTGCAGTAGCCCCCCTCCGACACACTGGAGGGCTTGAAGTATCAACTACAGGGCGGAGCTGAAAAACTGCCTACCGTTCTCTACTGAAAATTGTCTGAGAAGGACAAACAAATTACCTGCCTTGTGGAAATAGTACAGACCAGCTGGGGTGGGTGTTTGCTGCAACATGAGCGTTTGCAGTGGACTTTAACGGTGGGTGTTTGCTGCAACATGAGCGTTTGCAGTGGACTTTACGGTACTAAAAACTTACCGGTCATTGCTTAGAGATGAAAGACAATGAAAGAGGAAAGAAAGAGGAGAGAGAAATGTCACGGGCTTGTCAGCACCCAAACCTTGAGGGAACATTGCTAAGGGAACATCTGCTGGTTTGTTTTTGTGGTTTGCATTGGCCACGCATACTCATCCGGCGGATATTTGTGAATAATAATGATACGAGCTCGTACATGTAATTACAGCATTCATTAGTTTGAGGGAGTACATTGTTTTAGCACCTTGATGTGCTGCGCTGACTTTTGGTTGCGGATGTAGAAGGCCTCAAATGTATGACGGGTTTGCTGCTTTCGAACTGATGTAATACCACTGAAGCGGTCACTGCGCTGTTCCAGGATGCTCATTGGACTGTCCTTTTTCGAAATGGTTTGACAGTTTTAAAATTAACCAATAAATGAAATCACCGGTAACAACATTGTTGCTATGCATGCTAACACTTTTGTCTCCTAACTCTCTGTTCCTGTGTTGTGTTCAGTATTGCTCGCTCTGGTGGCTTTGAAGCCAAAGAAGTTGCATGCGGTAGTGATTCTAGCGATGTCAACGTAACTTGCCCAACCCCGGTGAAATATGTGCCACCATGTGAGTTTGACAGTGCCGGTGGACTCTCTCACTCGCCGACATTGATTGCCTTGCTTGCCATTGCTGTCACCGTCTGGCCCTTGATCAAGAGTGAGTAAACGTAGTGTGTTGCTGCCAAACATACGCGTACACGGTTGCAGACTGTTATTGGAATTGAGTGAAGCTTCTTACGTGAATTTACTGTTGAGAAAATCAATTGGGTGATATGTGCATTAGTGTGTTGACAACCTTCCCTTGTCTGGTGAGATTGGTTATATTTTGATCATCCCATGTCCTGCCTTCACCTACCATAGCAACAATCTCATTGTCACATGTTGTATTTAGTTGTGTTTGCTGTCTCTCAGTTGTGTCTCTTCATTCATTCATTCATTCATTCATTCATGTCTAAGGGAACATATCATGCTGGTTTGTATTTATAACTTCATATACTGCGTAGGCTAGGTGTACCTACTTAGTGGGTGGATATATAAAAAATACTTGTAGTAATCATCCCATGTTTGGGGGCTTCTATAATTTTTGTTGTGCTTCCTGATAGGCCCAAAGTTTTTCCGAGTTTTTATTTCTTTTTTTATTCATATGTAGTTTTATAGACGTGACAAAACCAGCACCCAACCCGTGCTGATTGGTCAGGCGAATTCAAAGCTTTTCATTTTTCCCCTGGCAGTGCCAGTTTAACCCTTGATCCTAACCTTGATGATACAATGTACTTCTAGCGTGGTGTACTTCGAATAGTTTTGGCTCATTGATTGACTACCGGTAGCTCAACTCGAAGAATGACTTACATCTTGCAATTTGGAAGCTGTGAGAACTGGCTCTGAAGTTCATTGTATGGCAGTTGAGTAGCTAGTGAGACAACACAAGACCATCGTACATGTACCCGCTGTAATGTGTGCTTGAAACCCGAATAGAGAACCTCTACATGATCTGTGGTGTCTGCAACACGCTAGTATTGCGGTCGAGGCCATGACCTGCAGACCCCGAGCATAGCCCAGATCAGTAGGCAATGATGTAATACATGTATGAGATACACAACGTCAAGTGTGCACAAATCAACTCTACCCAAGGGTGTTTGGAATGGATATCCAGGCGCGTAGCACCGCCGTTGGCGGTGGTCCGGCCGGGGGGGGGGGGGGGGGGAGGGTTCGGGGAGATCGCCCCCCTGAATTTTTTTGAAATTAGGGTACAAAATCCTGCATTCTGGGCACTTTTGGCATTGTTTTACTATGGTGGTCGTGGTCGGGCGAAAAAGTGGTCCGGCCAAAGCCGGACCGGCCGGAGCGGCTGCTACACCCCTGATATCCCCAGAGCAACACCCACATCGCTCCACAGACATGTGTCATGTTGCCCTGACTTCAGTATCATCAAAGTTAGTGGCACATCCTGTCTCCTTGGACTCAAATCCACCAGACCTTGCTACACTGTGTGGTACAGGACAAGTCAAACAACCATACTTGAAGTACACGTTCGGATGGACATTTGAACACATACATCGCTATGTCTGTCTCACTTCTCACCTCTTTCTCTCTTTCCCCATTTTCTTATCTCCCCAGGCCCTTGTGCATAAATTCTTCCCTAAATTGATCACCTACAGGCTAGTTGTAATGGTCACCACCCTTGTGATGCTACTTATCCCTATGCTTCATTGGTTCTGGTTGCTTGTATTTCATTTGAAGAGAATGCCCGAAAACTGGTTCATGAATTTCGGAGTCCTTATTGATGATGATGATGATTAAATGCTTGAGATTTGTAGTTTTTCTTTCCCTGATAGGCTTCCTGTCTCCAAGAAAGTTATTTTAACATCGCTATGTGCTATACATTAAGTTATTGCAAACGCATGATCATTGCCGCACCACACCAGGAAGTACTGAAGTAGTAAAACACTTTACTACTCCTTGTTGCACACAGTACAAGCAGTACAGTGACCTGGAGAACCGCTAATGGTGATAAACTATCCTTCAATTTTATTATACATGTAAGGCCAAACGTTTTTATTTATGTTTCTCGTCACCTGAAAATCTAAAAACGTATGCGAGAGGTGGAAAAAAATAAAAAATGACCGAAGAATAAAACAAGTTTATTAGACCTTTGTTCACACTAAAATCCACCAATGCACAATGCAAAATAGCATCCATAGTTAGCAACTAGTATGTGATAGGAGCTTCTGTCACAATCCGTGCATGTGCAGCTAGATTGCGCACAACAAATGCCGCCCTCGCATCATGTGTCGCACAGGCCAGGCCACATTATGTACATGTGCATGAGTGTGCTGGTCCCCACATGCACAGTCAGTGCAGCACAGTTTTTTTCTTTTTTTTCTTCCAGACTACTGAATCGTATGCGCGCGGGTGACGAGAAACATAGAAATAAAAACGTGTGGCCTATTATTAAACTCAGCTAATGGCAGTTAATCTCAAGTTCACTCCCTTTCCGATCCGTGTATTTGATACAACAGACCCGTGCTACATAACACAGCAGCCAATGTAAACTGGGTTATGACCTGGGTGCATTCTTGCCCTGCCGGCCTCATGCACTTTTCTTCGTGGGTGTGTTTTACAACCGTGTCCTTTGCTCGCTACCATGTACAACGATGGCACCGCATCATGGCAGTGATTATGGTGCAGTGTTTTTGTCGACAAAAACACTGCACCACATCATTGCCATGATGCGGTGCTGTCACGGTTTGCCATCATAGTAAACTGGGTATACAATAACAGTGTTCTAGCCAGGTCAAAATAGTAGGGGGGCGGGCATGGGAAAAAGTTACCCCATGACCCATTTTTTCCATTGTCCAAAATTGTCTCGCCATGCAAAATGTAACATACAGGGTGAACCCCCGACTTCACCCCTCACAAATGTGCCTTTATGAACCCCCTAGTAGTGACTATCGACTGTATTTTCGTTGAATGGCGTCAAAAAACACAAAAATCGGAAAATGAGTAGGGGGCGGCACTATTTCACAGGGGGCGCGCAAACGGAGTAGGGGGGGGGGGGGGGCGCTGCGCCCCTACCCCCCTTTGGCTAGAACCCTGCAATGAGCCCATGCAGAGCACTTCACATTCTGGGAAGCTTCTTGGACAACTACATGACTGTACAGTAGTTACAGAGAGGTTCTGCGAAAGAAGTAGGTCACAGAAACAATCCATCATGTCAGCAGCAGCAAAATATACAATGTGAAACCAGGGGCATCGGAAGGTATTCGACATTAGTGCAGCCGCATGAGTAGGTGGGGGTCCGAGGTCCCCCCCCCCCCCCCCAGCGGGAAAGTGGGCCCAAATAGCCCATATTTCATTGCTTCAAAAGTCACAAGATGAAATGATTGGTGCAGCTTTGGCCGGACCTGCCGCCCCTGGAAACTTTCCCCGAAATTGCACCTTTTTTCTTCACACACTCTCCCAAAGGCAGAGAGTGGCAGAATCGTCCACTCTACAGTAGAATCTCATTTCTAACCCTATGGAGTGACCTTATTTACCAGGCTGAGCATTTTCAAGTAATTAGTTGCCTTCCATAGGCCGGCTCAACATGCTCTTCGACATGTGACTCTTCTCTAGTACGTCATTATCGTCAAGTTTTGGCCACCTTGCCAAGAAAGCTCTTGCTGCAGGCAGCCCTTCCTTTTGTTGTTTCAGGGCTGTAGCGCGGGGATTTCAGTTTTTTTCCTTTTCTTTTCTTGCCATGGTTGGCTATTATCCCTCTCTCACACTTTGTGCGCCAATTGAAAAACCTTGTTTTGCACATTTTTTTGAAATATGGCCATGACCGGGCCGGGTGCTATACCCACCCTTGCACCATACCCAGTGGTCTCCTACATCAGAACTTAGCCAAGCACTGGTGAGTACAGCCCGGGTACTGTCATCGATGAATTCAGGAGGAAATAATCCAGCGCCTGTTGATAGTTTCTTTCCTTATAGTACATGTATAGTGAACATTCATACGATGTACTGGTACATCCAAGGGGTGTAAATATCAGTACAGTCAACTTCGCTAACGACTGCGGATATAACGACAATTCGCGAATAACGACAGCATTTCCATGCCCAGAGCAAAGTCCTTTCCAACTGTAATACATATAATGAGACTTCAGGTATAACGACACTTTTCTGATGCCCCGCCGAGTGTCGTTATACGCGAAGTTGATTGTAGATCTACTTTATACTGCCAATGCACTCTATATCCAGGTAAACTTTGATGATGCAGAGGTACGAAATCTCCCTGCCAGAATTGAAAACCTACATACTCAGCATGGATTATGCGGAAAGTGCCGTATTTTCCGGGGCATTAGCCGCACTGGGGTCTAAGCCACACCCCCGTTGTCGGGCCCAAAATTCGCTTATTGCCCATTATCACCCCGCATACTGCGAGGGCAGGCAACATCCCTACTGGCAGTCCACTGACTGAAGAGCTCTCCCTATCACAAAGCCGGCGAAGTTGGCAGGTCTGCAAGTGACTGGAAAGGGAAACCCGGTTAGGTCAGCCACTCAGGGTCCTAAAAAGCACTTACAAGTACATCAAAGAGAAAAAGTATGTTACACTGACTGTACTTGTTAGACAAACGGGAAAAGTCTGAAGAAAAAATTGACTGTCACCACCACTGTACTTGTACTTGTACTGGACTTGTCTTTACAGTACAGTAATTATTTCATAATACGTTTACAATGTAAAATGTAAAAGTGGGGAGGCTTCCTGCAGTTTCATAAACAGTCCAGAGTAGAGCCTACACGCTCTCTTCCATTAACACTGCAATAGTTCAACTCATTTCACAATAATCATTCCAACGTTTCCTAAACGAAGTAAAAATTACTGTATTATTACCGTAAAGTACCGCCAGAGCGCCCCACCATCTCGTCCTTTCGTGGTCGTATAGGGCTTGAAAGTGATGACGTCAAAACGGCCAGGGAGTAGTAAGTTGACATCAGATTTCTATTTTTGGATCCACTAAGGTGTGACTTTGCTATTGCCTAAGTATGTGGGTGCATAGCAACCCACTCATGTCGCATGCAGGTGTGACTTTTATTTCGCCACCAGTTGTAACCCCGCCCCCAGTAGCCAAATCAGTCAGTTTCACTGGCTACATCACCATGCTGTGGGTAAGACCGCTTGAAATGTGCTTGGATCCATACAAAAACTGGATCCAAGTGGATCCAGTTTTTGAATTTTTGAAATTGTTGCTATGCTGTGACGTAGCACTTTCAAGCCCTATTGTGGAGGTGGTCTGCTGTCTGTAGGTCATACGACATGAACCTTGTACACATATTGCACGTTTTGCAGTCAATCCGTACCTTGGAGCGAACACAAGCTCCACACAAAACCCTGCCAAGTGTGACCTTAGTACACTAAGATTCTCACATCGTACAAACTTCGTTGCACTCTGCCATACGATTTTCCTTTCTCTGCCTGTAAAATCAAGGTGGGGCGCTCTCGCGAGACGGGGCGCTCTGGCGGTACTTTACGGTATTAATAAACTCGGATACTGAGCTAGTAATAAAAATTTAATGATTGTAAAAAAGAGAAGAAACACATGAGAACGAGTTATGCAGCAACTAAGTCCTATCCAGGACTGTAACAAGATGATAAACAGCCATCTTACCTGATACAACCATGAGTCCATGGACCTCCTGATAGGCAACGTTCAAAGACTGCCAAGTGCTTCAAGTATTATTCAAGCTTGCTGTCCATCTTCAGGAGCTTTGGTGGAAGAAAAGATACCTACAGTGATGTTGGGGTAAATTCTGAACGTCTCGTACCCGTATTATCGTCGCAAGCAGAATTTCAACCAACTACATGTAAAATGAATGTCTCGGTTTCCTCAGTACAGCTCAGATCCGTAAACTCCAATTTCTTTTGTTTCATCTGGACTGGAGGCATGCATGAACTCTTGTCAGAACATAAATTCCAAAACTCTTGTCAGATTGATAGAGCCCTCGAGAGATAGGGCGGGATCGATCGCGGAGATCGAGACGACGAGAGCTACAGCGCATGCAGTACGGAAGCAACAGTGACTGCCAACAGCAACACAAGAGTCAAGAGCTTTTGAAATTCAAAATTTTTGAAGCAAAACGCTTTTCAGACTGTAGTAATTGCGCATGCGCGCGCTGAGATCTTTCTTTCGGCAGCGTCCATCTCGAGGTAAGATGGGCTGTTCGTCTTTAGCTGAAGTTGAAAATTGTCATTGCACGTCGCATTGTTAGTGTTGAATAGATCTACATGTTGAATGTGAGCTGACTGAGGATATCCACTATTATTATCTTGGTTTCAGGGGAGAGCGCTGTATCTAACATCATGGTAAGCTTTCGTGTGTTTTTACTCTTCTTTTTTTATTGCAAATTCATTGATTTCGTACCATGAAGCGGTCATATCAATATGGGCTTTTTGAGAATAGCACTTTCAGCAAGTTAACCTTTAGTCCAGCGGTCTCTAGGCTTCCAGTTTCATCATTGTATCCATACTACACACAGGGAATTGCAATTGGAAACAGGAGAATACAAGTTGCATCAAGGCAATTGGAGTCCAATAACTAACATTTCCTCATTTATAGAAACTCTCCGCGAGAACTGAGGAGGGCCAATTGATGTTGTACAATGCCCTTGCATTGCAATGTAGACACACAACGTATCCCGGGCAGTAGTATGATCATCATTATTGGAAACAATGAAAAATTCTCAATACTAGTAGATTTGACAGTTTAAAGAATTTCATACTACGGCATACACATTCATCCTGTGACCGCCATTGATGCTGAGCATGCAGCAGTCCACTCTTCCGGGTACGTTTAGTTTAGAATGTAGAGTTCAGAGGTATTAGAAAAGAGCTTGAAAATTACTGTCTCCCGTTCAGTTGAAACCGCCCCCTGTGGATTACGTATCTGCACCATTTGTCGCGTTTCTGCGTTGCGTCGCATATTCCTCGATTATTTAGTGACTATCTGTCCGCGGCAAAGAACGTCAGCACAATCACCGGCGTGCTTCATTTTTGGTTGCAGTCCGTGTGTAGAACCGGCCGGTGCACGTTCTGTGAAGAGTAGATTGTACTCGTACATGTAATGGGTTCACGGCTACATGATTGCACGATGATCATACGGTTGCCAGTACGCGTATGGTAATGTTGAGGCCTAGCTGGTGTGCCGAGACTGTAATGGAATAGCAGAGACTTCGTCGCTGTAGAACAGTAGTCGCTCATCCAAGAACATTGTTTCCAAAGGGTTAGCCTAGGGCGTCCTTATTTTTCTGCAATTTGGCTATGTTCTTATAGCATGTTCTTAGAAAGAATTCGTACTGGATCATATGTATCCCAAAGGCTGCTAGAAAACCAACACTGCCGTTCTTAACTTTAGACTGTGGCGTTCTTAGCATTTCAGGCTGGACGTTCTTCGGCTCGACTTTCTTTGGCGCATGGCTCTCCTGTAGTAGCACCGTAAAGTACCGTCGATCCGCTCCCCCACGCCATGTCGCTTCCCAGCCGGTTTTTCGGCAGGGGGCGGGAATTAGATCAAGGCTGCAAGTGCAGTATGATGTACAACTTGGAGGATCAGACTCAATGTGCTAAATTGTGCACATTTTCATCCTGGATTGGCACACATTGTGTACAGCAGTGCAAGCGTCGGTTCAACATCGTATTTAGTTGTATATGCCGAAATCGCTTCACAGGTAGAAAATCGACAGGGGGCGGGAATTAGAGAGAGGGGCAGATCAACGGTACTTTACGGTAGTAGTAGTAGTAGTACGAGCCCATGAATTGCTACTCAGCTTGGCGTAAATGAATGTAGTTTCAGTCACAGTGAACAGTGAGACCTGCGCCGTTCTTCATCACTTGCCAACCTGTTCTCTGGCAATGCATTTGTCTTGAGCAAGACTGAGTGTCGGGGTGGTTAGTAGTCACCATAGCACTGTATGCAGGTCTGTAACAAAAAGATATTCAACTAAGAGCGCAGTAGGCCACCGTTCTGGTTACTGCACCCACCCACTAGGACTGTAATCGCTAGCACTGATACCACATTTTCAGCGGCGATCGTCCTGCACGCCCATTTCCATTTCTTGAACGTGGCATTTGCACGTAACGTGGATGCTGCGTCTTATAACCCAGTGCGGCTTTGACCCTGGAAAACACGGCGTTGAAGAGATCATGTAGTGTTCAAAGACCACTGTCGATTAGGGTGCTGTATGCGAGCCAACTCGGGGGAAGTCCGTTCGGCATCTTTGTACTAGCACATGGCGCACATGTGCCTCGGATTTTTAATTTCAATGCAGACTGTGCTGCTTGATTCTTCAATATGTAGCTAAGGTTGTGCACCGGCTACGGAGTTACTGTCGGCGAATTTTCCTGTGCATAGTGTGGATTCATTTCCCAGTATGGTTCAGGGTACACTTTCGTGGCCATTTTCTATTAGCTCTGTGTTGTCAGTGGCATACTCTGCCTTGGTTGATCTTGTATCCACAGAGATATAATGGACATTGTGCTTGCTGTTTATGTTTCTGCAGCCGAAGCAAGTCAACGAAATTAAGGACTTTCTCCTCACTGCGAGGAGAAAGGACGCTAAGGGTAAGATCACTGCAGTGCTTGCTTATTTTACTCTTCCTTTTTTTCGATTTCAGGTTCGAAAATGGTTTTTGCGCAAGAGAAATTTGCAACAGCAAATCATACTTGACACGCGATTTACAGAAGTCTACTTTGGCATACGGCTGAGTAGTGGTTGTATAGTTTTCTATGATAAGCTTCTCTATTTTTTCTGGCTGATACTCTGTGGTAGCCTGCCCAGTGTTGGTGGCACCAGTACGATACAAGTCTGCAGGGATGAATTTATCCTGTATTGCATCGCAATTTGCGATGCAACATCGATCTACTGCTACCCAAAAGTCACCGTGACTCGCAGAAAATTGCGATACATACAAGCTATCCATGCCTAGCCCGTGCTGTCAAGTAACATGCATACAGTGCAGTGTATGTGGTGCAGGTACTCTCAATCTGCGTGCACATGTATGCTTCAGTCGGGTTTTTTTGCAAATGGGCTTTCAGGAATCACTCTCAAGAAGGACAATGTGGTAAACATCCAACCTTAACCCTCTCAGTGCCACGGGCGACTTTAGTCGCCCAAAATGAGTATGTGTGTACAAATAAATTCGTATCTCCACTTCTACACACAGGAGAGTTACAAACGACCACTCTACGTGTTCAGGAAGACCTTGGCTATCGACTCATCACATCGTTTTGTGTCCGTGAGGATAGATATCGCCAGGGGCGAAGCTTGAAGCGCGCGCTCGGACAAACAATTGTCGCCCGTAGAAAACATGACGTATGCGCATCGCGGGTTTCTCTATTTCTTTCGCGGCAACCCATGCGTATTGGGTATCAAAACATCGAGATTTTCAGCGGCTTTCAGGCCAACTTTGTCCGAATTCCGTGCGTTGAAAGTTGACTGCACTGCGATTGCTCGCGCGCGTGAGAAAGTGCAGATGCTACGAAAATGCGGAAAACGGACTTCGCTCAGGCGCCCTCGCGAGGAAGACTATTTTCGCTGCATATTCTCTTCACAGCTGTCTGCCTGGCTATGATATCTTTCCAGAGAGCCATCGTTTGTAAAGATCCGTGGATATACAGCTGAGCTATGAAAAATTTGAGTTCAGCTCAACTCAGAAAAATTTGAATTTTTCTGACCCCCTTGGCACTGAAAGGGTTAAAGAAAAGGTGCTAATCAAAATCAAAGCCTGCTACACAATTGTGATTTCGCATAGCAATATGACAGTAAATTCATCCCCGCGTCTGGGATTATTAATATTATATTTATGAGCTCAGGTTGGTTTTCATGTTCAGCACCTACACTATGTACATACTGCTCTTGATAAGGTGCACATTCATGCAGAGGAAATGTTGACTTTTTCCTAGTGCATCGCTTATGTATACTACATATACCCAGGTCTATTGTCCAGATTGCAAAGTTCATGACTGTAGATGTCAAATGACTGCAGTGTCTGCGGCACTCATCCATATACAACATTGTGTAATTAGTCTCTGTGGAGATAGTGTGTATGGGTTTTCATGTGATGTCAAATTCTCAAGTCAAAGACCCCATACTATAGACCGTCTGCTTCCAAGAAGGGCATGGCCCCGTACCTCTCATTTCTCCATCTCCGGGCTTACTGATTGTTTTTGCAAGACAAAAAGTTTTGGTATTGGTATCCACCATAATATTGATTTTGATCTTCGGCACCCAGAAGTAACAGGTCATTCTCCATGTACATTCAATAATTATTTTCAAAACAAAGTCCTAAAAACCCACCCCCGAACGAAAACATTTCATATCGGTAACCATAGACTTTCGCATGCGTGCTCTTAATAATGATGTAGTGTATAAAGCATTTTTGGACATCCTGTTTTTCGGTGTGCTTTTGGTTGATTTCATGCTGTAGCTGTCAAGATCAAGAAGCTGAAGGACCGCACGAAGTTCAAGGTCCGATGCAGTCGCTATCTGTACACCTTGGTTGTGACCGACAAAGAAAAGGCAGATAAACTCAAGCAGTCTCTCCCTCCGGGTAAGAACGTTGATACAGTCTTTTTTGTGTTGTGGAGAGCCATTGCCTAGCCACAGCAGACATACTAATACGAGTATACTGTGCTTGGTATGATCCCAGCCTGTATGTTCTGTGGAAACCGTTCTTCAGCGGCCGATAGTACTGGGAAAGTTCGAATGTGGCCCGTGATACCTGGTGCATGTTTACAGCGCCCATAGTGTTTCAGCTCTCTCTCCTCTTTCGTCTTCCCTATACATGGTTCCAAGTTTTATTGTAACAACTATACTTGATAGGCCACCCAGAATTAATTCGTTGTTTCGGGTCACACGACCGCAAAAAAATTGTTTATAGTACATGACTACAACCAGACTATATACACACGCGACCCTAATAATTAGTAGTAGTCCAGACATCGACCTCAGAAGCAGCCAAATGACAGGATGCAACACTTGGTGACGACGTTGTCTTCTATCTCCGATTCGCAATCGGTCCTGAAACAGCATCAGCTCCGCCACCTTGTCGCTCATTGACAGAAGTTTTCAAGCTGCTCGTCAGACTCGTTTGCCAGCGTGGCCAAGATCTGGTCCTGGAGGGGACCTGAATCTGATGGGACAATGGCTGCGCTGGATCATCTACAGTCAGATTTGATCGACTGGCTTGATGGACAAAAGCTATTCGATGTGCACAATTGTACATGTATGCACATGGCCGTAACCAAAATAAAAAATTTAATTAAAAAAACCCGACCGACCCTGGTACGGATGAGTGAAGTGACCTGAAACAACGAATTAATTCTAGGTGGCCTTATTTGTAAATTTAATTAAGGTACATTGGCGTCACATCTTGCATTTGCATCGTGTCGTCTTTCTATCCAACCTTTTTATCTCTGATTGTTCTGTGCAACTGATACTCGCCCATTCTGTGCTGGCTTTACTTGTTTGCTTTGTTCAGGTCTTTCTGTAAAGGAGCTCAAGTGAACTTTACGTATGGACTAATAAATACCAGTCGACTTGGTCAACTACTATGTATTTTATGTGTGGATCTGGGTGTGGGGTGTTGAGCTGATTTCGTCATACGTCCACTGCTTGTCACAACCATCCATCTGCACAGTTGTGGACATCTTGAAATTGAAGAGGGGTGGCTGGAAAAGGTTGTGCATGGTTGTATAAATCTGCATTGCTCCGAACATGGAATTCTGCATGACAAAGTAGCCCCATTGCCATTTCTGAGGTGTGAGTGGAGCACTGACATGACTGTAGGTCTTCTACCACTTTCTTCGATTTGTCCCCCAAGACGAAGCCTACAGTCTATTTCAAAACTATAGACGCGTAGCGTTTGTGAAATATTTCAAATTTGGCTGGACCTTTTTGAGAATAGTTTTCGGAATATTGCTCAGGTCCGCTCCACAATTACTCTCCTATAGTTTCTAAACGATTGGATAACAGACGCCCAATTTGGAAAAAAATTAAGTTATGCGGGCGAAAACAAGTCATTATGTATATGTAGCAAATACGCGAGATTACCGTGAAGTACCGTTGATCTCCTCCCCTCCCTCCGTCGATTTCTACCTCTGAAGCGACTTGGCGTAGACAGCGAAATAATGTTGAACCGACCCATGCACTACTGTACACAATTTGTGCCGATCCAGGATGAAAATGTGCACAATCCAGCACATCGAGTCTGATCCTCCAACTTAGGGCATGTTCGATTGGTAGGATCGGGATCCCGATCCACCGGATCCACTGGATTCGCACCCTTTCGATTGGTCGAATCCGGATCCAGATCCTTCGGATTTGGATCCGGTCAACCCACCTCGGGGAGCAGGGTTGACCGGATCCAACGGATCCAAATGTGACCTTTGTGCGTATATGGCGGGTAAAAATCATTTTTGTACACATTGTGGTACGCACACGTGGATAGAGATAGAGCTTGTTGACTTTTGGTACGACGCACGCGATGAGTACGACGTTCACCCTTTTGGGTGACTTGTGAGCGCCATTGTCAACATGGCAACAGTCAAGGTCCAAAATAAAGTGTTCAGTTGAATCTGAAGGATCCGAGATCTGGATCCCGATCCCGATCCTTACCAATCGAACATGCCCTTAGTGTACTGCACTTGACAGCCTTGGTCTAATTCCCGCCCCCTGCCGAAAACCCAGCTGGGAAGCGACATGGCGGGGGGGGGGGGGGGGGTCGACGGCACTTTACGGTATAATTTATGCACTTTGTTGGTACGGATTCATGCAAGTTCCTGGCGGCAGACAGATGGAATGCTCTTCCCACTGACTGCCGTCAGGCCCCGTCTCTTAGGGCCGATTCCCACTACGGTACATGCTTACATCCATGTGCATGTACCGGTATACATGTACTCCCTGTAGAGGTGTAAACAATGCTACATAGTTTTGCTCACTTTGTTGGTGTCATTGTTTTTTAGCGATTGCCCAAAATCCATAGGTTCACGAGAGGATACATGTTGCGTGTTGTTGTGCCCAACTCACTACTTCAAAAGTCAAAACCAACACAAACCTCGCTATACATGTAACACGTAAATTGCTTTACGCCAGAGATTACGGTTATAGCGAGGTCTGACCTGCGCTGCAGGCTGTCTTTTGCGCCGTTCCGGTCCGCTGTCATGTGTATTCGTGGGTCTCGGTCTGCATACCATCGTCCAGCTAACGAGCTCAGGGAGCTGGAGGTGGTTGAAAGCCGGATCTACAACCAGTTGTGTTTTAGTGTAAAACTCTCGCCACTCAGGAGACATATTTTCCCGACACCCGTGTAGTTTCTCATCATTGTGTTGCTTTTGCCCGTAAAAGAGGCTGTTCGTACTTGTACTCTGACCTGTAATGTGATTGTGACTTGAGTTTGTGTCAGAGATAATTGTTATGACTTGTCATGCATACCAGGGAGTAGTACATAGGTATCGTACTACTCCCTGATACCATCTAGGCCTTGGCGGATAATGCCGGCAGAAAAATTGGCAGAATTCGGTACATTTTCTGGTAAGTTTCATGCATGTTTGGTATGTGGTTAAAGAAATGGAGCAGAATTCGAGGAATTGCCCGCCATAAGGTTTGTATGGTTCTGCCAATTTCACTGCTTTTCGAGCAGAATATGCCACCTTTTCGAGCATTATCCGCCAAGGCCATCATTATCAATAATAATTATTATAATTATTATCATGTACCACAATGTCATGTACATGTACACCCACCCAATGACTGTTCTGAGATGACACAGACCATTCGATGCATTCGCCTCTTTGTTGCGAGGAGGGGTTGGGGGGGGGGGGGGGGGGAGGCATACATGCCCAAGGCAAGGGCCCTTTCTGGATTTCCGGTCATGCACCTGCATGATTTCCAATCCCGCCCGGGGGGGGGGGGGGGGAGGGCATTTACCCAGGGAGTCGTACAATGTGAATAAAAACGGAGTCAAAAAGCGCATGGTCGATGACCAACAGCTTCGCTTTCGGTTTGCCTTGGCTTTGACTACACGTGTAGTCGACTCTTGAGCTTGAGCTTGAACAGCTGAGGTGAGCACGTTGACTGTCTCATGCCATGGGGTGTTCTTCCCCATATATAGCTTTTTATAGGCTAGGCTATATGGACTGAGTGGTGTTGGATATTCCCATTTGGGAATCGGGACGACCAAGATCATGCATTCAAGAAAATGATGGCCTACGATTACCGGTACGAGTTATTAGAGAGGTTAAGATGCACGTTATTTCCGACGTGACGCGTAATTTCACGTCGAACTTGGCGTAAAACTCCAAATTTCGACGTGAGCAGCAGGTCGCTCGCGTTGATTTTTCGACGTGCGAGCAAATAACGCGAGCTGAACTTTCGCGTCACGTCGGAAATAACGTGCATCTTAACCTCTCTAATAGAGAGGTCGCGCACAACGAAAATTCGTAGCGCCGTAACGAATATTTTAACGAAAAAAGCTAACGAATATTCGTCAACCGTGAGGTTGCGCACAACGCGTGAACGTTTTCGTAGTGGGTCGACACGGCGGCCGCGCGGGTACGAAGAGTCAAGACAAGGAGTTGTAAAATATCAATATTTTAGTACTCCAGGTGACGAAAAATATTTTCGTAGATCTGCTCTGTTTCGGTCACGTTTGGACGGATCTTCGGAGCAACTTTCGTTACTCGAACCCGGACGGTCGAAATCTAACGAATTTTCGTTGTGCGCAACCTCTCTATTGTAATCTCGGCTACACGTTTACTTTCGCTTGCAACTAACTTGTGACTCGTCATGATTCGCAGAAGGTCATAGGCGCGTAGCTGAAGGAAATAAGGTAAGACTATCGGTTCCACACTGACCACAATGCAGATCTTTGCATACCAAGGAAATTTATAAGCGGATCAGGGAGTTGGGCACGATCCAGTACGACTCCCTGGTGCGGGTACAGGGGGGGGGGGGGGGGGATTTCCGCACCAGGGAGTCGTACCCACACTTCGGCATAGTAAACATATAATCAGAACTGTGCAGTTCTACTTCTAGTCACGGTGCGTGCACAGCACTGTATGCCATTGTTGCACGATAGCCCTGCACTGCAGCAATGAAGAACACTTCCAGAGCACAATCATCATGTAGATAATGATAGATACGTGTACTTTGGTGTGCATAGCACCGTGTTTGCGGGAGGGGAGTGATGGTTCAGTTGGCGGAGCTCTATGAATTCCCGCTTCATATGTTGCATTGCGACCCTGAAGAAACAAGGGAACTGTACCAGGGCATCCTTCCATTGGGAGTCGGGATGAACAGCATGAGCTGGTCACCAGTCTCTTTTGCATGGAATGCATAATCACCGGTCTTGAAGATAAGTCTGACCGAGGCCGAGGCGAGCCTTTATTCAACTACCGTATTTCCTCGATTAATAGACCCGGTCTATTGTTTTTTGAAGAGGGTTGGACCCCCGGTCTCTTATTTGGGCATGGTCCATTATTTGAGCACGGTCCACTATATTTTCATCGGCCCATCGCTGGAAATGGTGGATTTTTAACACGTCTTAATATAGAAGTTCTATTATGACGTGTTAAAAATCCACCATTTCTAGCGATGGGCCGATGAAAATATAGTGGACCATGCTCAAATAATGAAAGAAAGCACTAGCCACTACAAAAATTGTAGTTGCGCAACCGAAAATCGCGTCCTTTTTTGATCCACCACGTGCTTTCTTAGTGCACATGCGCAAAGCGATGAACTCAAATAAGAGACCGGGTCTCTTATTCGGGCATGGTCTACTATTTTTCCGTGAGGCCTCTAGGAGGGTCTACTATTTGGGCATGGTCTATTATTCGAGCATGGTCCATTAATCGAGGAAATACGGTATACATTGGTCAATAGTAATATGCAACACGAATGCGAAGGATGACTGGGTCAACCAAGTCAAGCCGTAGAAGGTATCTTCTATGCTGTTATAGGTGTGCAGTGTGCACACAGGTGGTCACAGATGTATGGTGTTCTTTTTTTTAGCTGGCTCTCACAGAATGATGAAAACTTATAGATTAATGATTATGACATTATGACGATAACTAAGGCTGTGTTTACATGAGAAATTTCAACCCGGGTCGAGTTCAGCCCGGGTCGAGTTCAGCCCGGGTCGAGTTCAGCCCGGGTCGAGTTCAGCCCGGGTTGAAAGTCTGTACGATAGACAAAATAGGTGAGCGTTTACATGAAGACAGTTGACCCGGGTCAAATACTGATATGCCGCCAAAATTCCACTTCTAGAGTCCTGACAGTGTATGGTCACGTGAATCCGTTCGCGCGAAATTTGCATGTGCAGTGCTGTTCAAACCTGGCGCGAGATACGCACAGAAGTACGTTCAGTGTTGCGTTGTATTTGTCCGTATTTTTACGGAAAAACGAAGTTTTGTCCGCAGTACGGATTTCAACCGAATATCCCGCAAACGATCATGTATATGATCGATTACTAAAACCATCATAACTCCATCGTTTCATGTGCAAAGTCAACGATCGAAGGGTCTACGCGGTAGCAAAAACTCCAAGCCGCCCAATGCAACAATCGCTGAAGCGACGTCCGACTCCAGAGATATCGCGCGCCGTATTCAGGTATTCTTACCTTGGCAAAAACAAATTTTTCATCGAACTCTTCGCCATTGTTTTTTTTGGGGGGGGCCTTTTTTGCGTGCCCTTTGAGCAATTGAGCACTTTATAATGATGTAGCCGGCTGAAGTTTGAATCGTCTCGAACAATTTTGAGCGTTCTGCGATGAAGGAGAGTCGAATGGTGTTGATGGGATGATTTGCTTGCATATTAGGCTTGGAGACGACTTTGCTGTGTTACGGCGCCTGATTTGTGGCGGCTTCATAATGGTGCTTGGCATCCTGGCGTTGCTCCTGCCTAGAGCTTTCCAACGAGCCCTAGATTGTGAAAATCAAGCGAAGTAGAACAGAGTGAAACCTAGTGAAGTTGAAAATTGTACTGAATTTGTGCGTAGCCTTTACAGTTGAACTAAATCAGTCAAAATGTTGACCTGAAAAACGAGTACGGAAACCTCTGAAAAGTTCTGCAAAATGGCACTGGCCAATACGCATGGGGGTAGAGGCCACTTGGTAACACTGTACGTTAGTACGATTTTCTTGACCCGGGTTGATTTCAACCCGGGTCAAGCGCAATGCGTCATGTAAACGCGCCATTCATTAATTTTTTGTGCACATGGCGGGTTGAAATCTGACCCGGGTTGAAACGCCTCATGTAAACACAGCCTAAGGGTGCGTTCTTAAATCCTCTCGGAAAAGTTGGAGACTCTCCGAAAAGTTCGAGAGCTGTTCTTATATCCTCTCCGACTTTTAGGAGGCTCTCCAAAGCTCTCCGAGCTCTCCAAGCTTCAGAGGTGGTTGAAACTTGGAGATTCCCGCGGTTTGGGATCAGCGCATGCGAACTACGACTAAAAGCCACGTGTTCATCATGAGTGTACGCATTTCCCTTTTCGCATACGCACATACATTCATCACTCAAGATCGCGGCCCCTTTGACGCTTTATTTTGCTTGACATGTGCAAAATTGCCAAAATATCTCCGAATTCTTCGAGACCCGTTCTTGAGTAATCCCAGTTTCTTCGACTTCTCTTTTCTTCTTCTTCTAGAAGCTAGAGAATATAAGAACGCACCCTAAGTAGAGGTACATGTAGAGAAGAACAATTGAAAAAAAATAGTTTTCATACACACAATCATGTCACACAGAACAACAAGGGCAAGCAAGGCTTGTTAGTCGCTACTTAAAGTTTCATGCTTACGCAATCATCAGGCATGCTAGGCAACATGAGGATGGTACTGGCCATGGCGGTATATATGCCAGGAGAGGGCGGGTCTTGTAGCGCTGTGTGGAAAGCTGTGTGTGAATGTGGGGGCTGTATAGGTTTCACGGCTAGCGGTGTTATTCTAGTTCAAAGTGTGGTAGGTGTGCACACATGTAATTAAAAACTCTGCGTGGAGACAGAAACCTCATTTCGATAAAATAAAGATAAAAAAATAAAGTGAGAGCACTCATGCCACAACAATGGAACAATATTTTAGGATTTGAACGTAGTTTTCATGTGATTATTTCAGTATTTCATGTGATTGTCATAAGAAATCGTCATTACACTGAGAGCTGGACTACAAAGGAAATTTCTGATGATAATCACATGAAAACGACGTTCAAATCCCAAAATATTGTTCCATTGTTGTGGTATGAGTGCGCTCACTTTATTTTTATCGATATACACACAATGTCCTGTGCATGACTAAAAATGGGTGGGTGTTGTGACTTATGAAGTGGTTGTACGCATCAATTTGTTCGAGTTAGGAAGTGGAAATACTGAAGTATACAATTACAGCAAGAACATCAAGTCAGGAATTGAGGGCACAAATATCTAGAGACGAGAGAGAGAGAGACGAGAGAGAGAGAGAGAGAGAGAGACGAGAGAGAGTGGACTTAATATAATCCACAGGGTAGGCCACTCTGACATCTGCGAGCAGAGAATTCCGTAGACAGCTGCCATAAAACTGTATTGTGCGTCGGCCAGAGAGGGCCCTGGGAAAAAGGGAATTCGTAATAAACCGAAGGATTGGCCACGCTTGATTGCTCACTGCTCCTCGGAGAGAACACTGCTATCACGTATGGGAATGAAAAAAATGTTGAAAACACGAACTGGCAGATGTATTTAGGCAACGAAAACAAAGACTAAGACTTTCTGGCGGTAAATATGCTCAAGTGGCAAGAGGGACAATCTAGAGAAAAGTGGTGCCGTCGGCTTACGGTAGTGAACCTGGAAGACAGCGCGGATGTCAAACTTGCAGGATCTAGCTAAGATGTGATGGTGGATATTTCGTTCAATGGATAGCCTGCATTATTCTTAACTTTGCCATATCATACGTTCTTTCTTCCAGCCTGCGTAGGTCCTTGACAAGGGACAGCCAGAATAGGGTGACTGGGTCCGAGAAGTCAACCTTGCTGGTGTCTTCCACTTGCTTCTTCTCAGTATTACTTGAAAGGGCAAACATGAAATCCTCTTCTTTCTTGCCGTTTCGCTTTCTCTTTGGTGTGCATCGTGGCACAGTTCAGACTATCGTACCTGTTTCCTTTTGTTTCTTTGCGGACATGTCGGTAAGATAACCACAGCATTTCACTTACTCTTAGCATCTTTTCTCCTCCACGTGAGAAGAAACTCCTTTATCTCATGCACTTGCTTCGGCTGCGCAGAACACACAAGGAAAAACATCCTCCACCAGGACGCCACGTCTCAGGATGGAGACCTTGATGTCATCACTCCTTTTTCACAAAGTTACTAACTTTCTGGTGGAATGAGGGCATGATGATACCGATCAGCTTTCCTTGTGACCAGTAGCCTCTTAGCAGTCCCCCCTCCGTGGAGCAAGTGGCGGACTGGCCCGGCCTCGTGCAGCATGAGGCATCTTGGTTCTGGGAATACTGGAAAGGTTCATTCGACATGAAGTGGCTTCTTTTATACCATACATACACACTCTACATGCAGTTGCTTTCAGTTTTCAAGGATGTCTTCCAGACCGCAGTCGATTGGGCAAGTCAACATTAGAAGGCGTTTACCCCGTCACTGGTATACCAAAGGTCAAGTACCCATGGTGCACTCATCATGAGCTATGAACCGAGCACAACCTAAAATTACATGTTCTGCAGTATATACTTACTTGTACACAATAGGCATACTGCTCAATTGAAGGAGCTCCCGTTGATGGTCTTTATTTCAGGATTTACCCAGCCAGGGGCTATGGCGTCGATGAAAGAAAATCGAGTCAAAATTAAAGGGGGCAGGGGGTTCGTGTGCATGCGTATGCGTGATAGAAATGTACTGATACAACAATTATCTCCTCTACATTGTACGGTGGTGTCAAAACACTGACCGTTGTTCAGTGTGCTGCAGGGTTCTAGCCAAAGGGGGGGGGGCATATTCTATAGACTCAGGTTGATAATCAGTAGTTCATATTATGTTTTTTCTACCTTCTTACTTGTGCCCACTGCCTTTGCTAAATTAGATCCAGTATCAGCGTACGATGACATAGATGGACTTCACAAACAGTTTGCGGCTCAGAAATTTTCAGAGCCCATGCAGTAGTGGAAGCTATCGCATGGGCCACTAGCCCATAATCTTCTACTTGTCATTCAGACCACAACCAAAAAGACAGGCTACTTCATCTGTAACTTCTTCAACAAGTAAGTTGGCAATGCACTCTTGTGCAAGATACTGACCCTGGCTTGTCGTGTCCGTGCATCATTATGCAGCTGAGAACCATTGTACTTCTAGTAGTGTACAGTATTACTACAATCATGTCCTATCTGTTATTCAGGGTGCATTTGTTTGGTCCCCGTACGATCCAGAACAGGTGCAGTCCCAATAGAACACACTGTTTCAACGCGTACTCTTCCAGTGAACATCAATAAAAGACTGCGGCAAGATCTCACCCTGGTGTTCACGAAATATCCTCTTTTGGGAAGAACCCTGCGCTCTCTGTATACACGTGTATGGTCTTGTCGTTCTGACAAACAGTGTAAATTGTGTGCAAGTGCACAGATATCTACAGACATAGATGTAGATGTAGCTCTAGTTCAGTTGTCATGGCACTTGTGACTTCAGATAAATTGCTTCAGTACCTTGATGTGCTGCGCTGGCTTTTGGTTGCGGATGTAGAAGGCTTCAAGTGTATGATGGGTTTGCTGAAACTATCAACATTGTAGCTATGTGTGCTAACATTTTCATGATGGTCTCTCTGTTCCTGTGTTGTGTTCAGTATTGCTCGCTCTGGTGGCTTTGAAACCAAAGAAGTAGTTGCATGCGGTAGTGATTCTAGCGATGTCGGTGTCAACGTAACGTGCCCAACCCCGGTGAAATATGTGCCACCATGTGAGTTTGATAGTGCCGGTGGACTCTCTCACTCGCCGGCATTGATCGCCTTGTTGGCCATTGCTGTCACCGCCTGGCCCTTGATCAAGAGTGAGTAAATGTACTGTGTTGCTGCCCAACATACACAATCATACACAGCTGCAATATGCCTGGGACTCAGGAAGCCGTACTGCGCTAACAGTTCCTGCTTCCTACTTGACCAGATAACTTATGAACAAAATTCTCAGGGAATTTACTGTTGAAGAAATCAATTAGGTGAGGTATGCAATAGTATGTTGACAACCTTACCTTGTCTGATGAGGCTGGCTAGGCTTTGATCGAAACCAATCCCATAGTTTTGGGGCTTCTGTAATAGCCTTTTTTGTGGCACTTGCCAAGTCTCCCGAGTTTTTATTCATATGTAGTTTTATAGACGTGACACAACCAGCACCCACTCCGTGCTGATTGGTCAGGCGAATTCGAAGCGTTTCATTTTTTCCCCTGGCAGTGCCAGTTTAACCCTTGATCCTAACCTTAATGATTAAATGTACTTATAGCGTTGTGAATTTCGAATAGTTTTGGCTCATTGATTGACTTGCTCAACTCGAGGAATGGCATGGCTTACATCTTGCAATTTGGAAGTTGTGAGAACTGGCTCTGAAGTTCATTGTATGTCCAGCAGGCAGTTGAGTAGCTAGTGAGACAACACAAGACCATCGTACCCGTCTACCTAGATGCCACTGCAGTACTGACCAGCCAGTCACACTGAGTAAACTACATACATGTACATGCAGGCTGCGGGCTGGTCAGCAGTAACTCTCTAGCTCTGCCTCTGGTATCATACGTATGCATGATTTGGCAGTAGTAGTCACTGTCATAACAAGCCCGGATTACATTTGAATCCGTTGAGTTCTTTGTCCATTGTTGATCTCACATTTTGCTGATTGTAATAAGTAAAATACCTGTTAGTAGTTGTTACTAACTTACTACTGCCTGGTACTAGCTTACTCCCAGCAACAGGCCTGATGGCCACCGAGCAGAACACAATATCCGCTTTAGAACCCAAGGCTAGGCGGCATTCATCACCAGATGATAGTGATGTCATCAAGGCAACTATAGTATAATTGATGTCATCAAGACACTATTACAGTCCTTGAACTTTCTTGCCTCTGTGCTTATTCGGGACCGATCACAAAGACTGCATAATTGAGAATATAGTCGGAAAGAGATAGTTATGATCAGATCTCTATCCTTAGCTTTACAAACACTAGCAACCCTACACCAACAAGGTTTCTACTATCTGAAATGAAGGCAAGGCCGTGAAACGCTCTCGACGCAGGCCAGCCGCCAAGAGAACACAAGAAAAATCTAGACATTGCAGGCAACAAAATTAATAAAAGAAAAATCTAGACTTTGCGGGCAACAAAGGAAAGAAGGGAACCCGCAGTTGAAAATAAATTCTCACTTTATCAATCCTTTAGGTAAAGAAAGAGGAAATGTTTTAAAAAAAAGAAGAAGAAAAAAAGCAATGTATGTGAAGCACATACGATAAATGAAGAAACACAAGAATACTAGTAGTCACACCCGGTGACAGCTACAAATAATCAAGAAAATATTCGCACGAGGCAAAGCAGCTTGTATGTGACATCTAGCAACATGAATTAACGTCTACCGTTTTGCTGCTACAAGTTTACGCATCTGTTCAAAGCAGGCAAGAAATAGTTGCCAAGAGAGCAACAAGCAATGAGGAGCATGCCAGCAGAGATGCAGAGTTGTAATTGCAAAATGGCTCATAGTTGACGGCGGTGGGACAAGTTGCCCTGACTTCAGTATCATCAAAGTTAGTGGCACATCCTGTCTCCTTGGACTCAAATCCACCAGACCTTGCCACACTGTGTGGTACAGGACAAGTCAAACAACCATACAGATATCAATGCAGAAGTAGTGTATGTCAGTAATGAGTTAGGGCTAACTTGTTAGCTGAGATATGGTAGATACATTGATACCGTGTAATCTCTATTATAAGCACAGTCTCCAATAATAGCACGTCTCCAATAATAGAACACCTTGGGGTGGCATTCAAAAAATAAAGTGCTCAGTCTCCATTATAAGCACACTGTCTATCGGTACCTGGTAAAATGCATGTACCGTATTATCTCTAAAATGCAGTACCCTGAAATGTGTGTGTCTGGCATGAATTTGGCATGGCAACATGCCTCTGAAATGAGGTTGAAATAATAATCAAGAGTACATGAAAACCAGAGTGTGCAGCTTGGAGCTTTTTCTACTATGGGTGTCTGTCACGGCGGAATTCCGTGATTACATCATATTTGGCACAGATCTGAGGCGGGAAATGGCGTAGTGCGTACAACTGAGCTGCAGTTGTGCAGAAAGAGACCTGCTTGAATCCTGCTTGTACGCACTACATCACTAAAATAATGTAATCACGGAATTTCGCCGTGACAGCAACCCATCCGAGCTGCACACTCTGCTTTTCATGTACTCTTGTAGACATGGAACAGTCTCCAATAAATCCAATAAATCCAATAAAGGAACGTTTCCATTAATAGCACGGGGCGAAGGTACATTGAAAAAATAAAGGACCGTGCTTATATTAGAGATAATACGGTAGTGAGACAGACGTTTGGATGGACATTTGAACACATACATTGCAGTGTGCTGAGTGTTTTAAAGTGATTACAAACGCATGATCACTGCACACACCAGAAGCAGGACAGTGGCCTGGGGAAGCACCATTGATGGTGAAAAACTATTCTTATGTAACTCAGCTATTAAATGGCTGTTAATCTCAAGTTCACTCCCTTTGCCTTCTATACTCGATACGACAAGACATGAGCAGCAGCGAATACAGTAGAACTTCCCTTTTCCAGGCAGGTTGAGACTGCGCACTGCCCGGAACTCAGAACATGCATGTATTGTACACAACTTATTGCATGCAAGTAGACATGTTTTACGCCATTCAATAGTTTCTGGGGCCTTTTCACTGAAAAGCCGATATTTGTGATTCGAGAGAGGTCAGAAAGGTGCCCGGATAGGGGTTTTCCCTGTAGATGTAATGGTAGTTCGCTGCATAGCACAGCAGACCATGGGTGCCATGAACTGGGCACATTCTCGTACTGCGTGCCTAAGTCCATACTGAAGGATTTAGCTTGTCATACCTGGTAGCATAGTGTGCATTTGCTACATTATAACCTGGAGTTAGACAGCTCTGATGTCTTCTCTCATGACCCCACAGGCTAGTTTATTGCAACAAAGCAATTGTGTTTGAACAGAGGAGCATCACTGACAACTACCATAACTTACTTGTTGAAGATGTGACAGTTGAAGTTAAAGAAGTTGCCTGTGTTGTTGGTTGTGGTCTGAATGACAAGTAGAAGAAGGTTGGTGTCCCCAACAGGGAAGATACGATAGTCTCCATAAATACATGGGCCCTGGAAGGGTGTGGTCACGCTATTAGTGAAGTCAACCTTCGTCAAGTTGCGTTGATACTGAATCTGTGGTCACAGGCAAGAAACCGAGAGAGGGCAATGTCACTTTTATCATGAAACAGAGTTCTTACCGGTACAAGTTACAATGATAACGAAGTTGGTTGTTCTACTAATACAGTATTACCAAAGTCTACTAATACAGTATTACCAAAGTCGCTACTTCTATTATAACGTTTGTATTGATAATGTTGAATTGCGGCATCGAGACATACACACCGCAGCACTCTTGCATCAACTGGTATTCGCTGGGCAGTAGATAATACCAACAGTCCATAATCCCCCAGAGTGCACAACTGGGATGGGGTTGTGGGACGGCGTAATCCGTGATGTACATCATTTTTTGGGTCGGACTTGCGTCATTCCGGCGACGCAGTCCACCACGGAAACACTTCCCCTGCTCATGATGTCACACTATGACGCGCAACACGGATTTCGCTGTCCCAGATCTGATCAGTGAAGTTACGCACTCTGGGGGATTATGGACTCTTGATGATACCTGATTAAGTGGGCAACCATAGTTATTCTGGAAGCGGGGAATAGGTCCGCGGTTGACGTAGTAGTTGTCTTCCTGTTCTGCCGATAGGATGAGGCCGCGATCAGTGGCCTGCAGAGTTTCGCCGGGACAAAGACAAAAAGAGATGGAGAGACACACACGATCAGTCACAGCACTCTCTGATGGTATTTTTCAGACACCAAAGCTAAGAAAACTGCTGTAGTAAAGTACATGTGGGCGATGACGCTAACGATCTTACAATGATCTCGCAACTTCATCTTCCTGATATGATTCACATTCTCACCAACATGGTGCTCATCCCATTATTAGAGAGGTTCCGCATAGCGTAATTACGTTAGTAAAAAACGTAGTCGATCTACGGAAAGTCTTATGTAAACTGCATGCGGATCTGTGTTCCGCCATACGAAGTTTTCAAATCACGTAGCTGCCCTTGGCAACTCCGAACGCGGCAGTGTACGACCGGATCGACCTGGGGAGAGAGTCATAAATGTGTACCCCAAACCACTTACGGACCAGCTACGTAACCAGTCGTTATCAGAGCTCTATCTACGTACGCTTAGTCTACGTAGACAACTTTCCGTAAGTGGCGTGCAAACTCGCGAATTCACGGGTTTTTCCCACCCACTAACGTAAAGCTGCTCAACTTTACGTAGTGCGGAACCTCTCTATTGCCTCTTGGGTATCATTAGTAATGCTGTGTCAATACAGAATGCTAAAGAACTGGACTTGTAGAGAAAGATCTTGAACGTATTAAAGAAAGCCAATGACGTACTCGAGGTGCATATGGTGAAATTTGACAGGTGCCCTGCAAGTTCCTGAAGGTGAAGCGGTCAAAGACCCCTCGATCCACCAGATCCAGCATGACAGCCCCGTTCAAGTAACCGAGTGGTACACCTTGGTAGTTACGTGGATCGCCGTCAGGTACCGACGCAAAGCTGGCGTGGTACACCACCTCAGCTGCATCATTCACCAGCATACAACTGTACAGCGAACATACATACATACATACATACATACATACATAAACACACGTAATGCACCCCATCATGCTTCCTACTTCAAGTACATGCATGGATATAATGCAAGGCGACTGCTTCAAACCACAACTACACACACGTACCGGTAGTTCCTCGATTCTATTGCTCATTTATTTTGGCCACTGACGGTAAAGAAAACTGAGTGAAAGCTCTATCTATGCGTGTACGTATATACACTTTGGACTTGAAGTTCTGCACCAACCTGACACCGGCTTGACTACATCGATCAGCCGTAACGATACCAGGTATAGCCAATGCAGATTCGATGGTTCCAGCAAACATGTTGTAGCGGAAATCAATTGCACCCACACCAGCAATCTGCACAAACCAAAAACAGCAGCAGCAGCAGCTGTGATATCAACACCTGGACTCTTGATACTACATGTGCCAGAACAGTTTTGTATTAGGTTTTGATAAGTTGTAGTGTGTGTGTGGGGGGGGGGGGGGCAAGGGTTCCGCGACGCGGTCGCCAGGGCAGTGTCTTTTCTGTCACGACCGTTGTCGTCCTCGTCTCTCCATTCGCGGTGGTGTAGCTGACCCCCGAATGGTTTCAAACTGCGAAGCTCGGAGTACAGTGGTGGCAGAGGCATGAGCTGTGAGTGGCGACGGTTGCTGGAGATGGATGGTGATGCGGGGAGAAGAGTTACGCTGCCTGACGACGAGTGGGAAATTGTTTGATCCTGCAATTTCAGTTCGAGCGCGGTGGACTTCTAGACGATGTGTCCTCATGGCTGTTTTTCAACGCTTGGCCTATCGCTGATATCCCTGCGTGGAATGTTCTTCCAGTGGAGTCCAGGTGGGACTTCGGGTGCTCACACTCCATCACCTGGTTGATTATTTTGGAACTGCAATAATACAGGTTCAAATAATTATTGTTTCCTTTTTATGCGTATCTCTTGTCATCTCTCTTTTATAATACTAGGACGTCGCACACCAGATGTACTACTATCGCTGTCTTTCTCCTGCTATCTCTCTCTGCTTGCTGTTTTTTTTTGTTTTTTTTGCCACTGCCCCTCATCATACCCATGCTTGGGTGGAGGGCGGCATGACCCGTTAGGGTAGCTGTCAATACAGTACAGTGTGTGTGTGTGTGTGTGTGTGTGTGTGTGTGTGTGTGTGTGTGTTTGTGTTTGTGTCTGTCTGTCTGTCTGTCTGTACATGTACATGCAGTGATAGACAGCATCCTATGTAGGCTATGATCAAATATGTCTTTGCTCACATATTATCAATGGTCCAGGGACACAGCACCACCTACCGTTGGATTGGCACACATGCTTGGTGTACCATAGCAGTACAAAGACTGGCATTGAGCATGACTTGAGCACGCACAGTTGCCAGCTCTTCCAGTAGCTGCAGTACACAAGCCAGTACCTGAGGGAACAGAGCGGGTCTGGAATACGGTCTGAGCTACTGTCACCACTTTGCCAATACCACCGGCATCCAAATACACAGATGAAGTGGCGTACTGAGATGGTGGGTTTGCCAATGCACGGTGGTACCAGGGACGCCTGCAAGAATGAACAAGGAGAAGAAGAAGAACAACAACAATGACGACGATAATGACGACGACAACAACAAAAATGTCCACAAAAGGTCAATCGAGAAAGCTCTTTCTTTTCTCTCTTTTTCCACCGCGCAGGTCAATGTACATGCACTTGTGCCGTCCTTGTCACGGTCTAAGTTCCTACATTAATGTTGTACTTAGGTTGTTCATCCTTTGGACTTCGTGTTTCCTTTGACGTTGGACTCATGTGCTGTGGTGATAGCAGTACAGCTAAACTATCAACAGGTACACGCTTACCTGGTGGGGTCATAGTTGCGTGTAGACCTAGATCCTGGGAAACTCCTCCATACTCCATTAGCAGAGCCAAAGTAAGTCCAAATAATCTCATCAGATACGGCTGCTGAACGGGCCCTCCAAGCTGCTTCGACTGGCTGGGTTACCCAAACAGTGGACCTGAAGCAGATGTTGGTACATGTACAAATACAGCATGAGTAAGAAAGTAGCAACAGCTGCTGGATTAGTACTTGGTAGGGAGTTCAGTTCTGGTCCGGGTCAGGCCCAAGATGCAGTCACAACTCACCTGTACATTTTAAATGGGGCCCGGTTGACAGCTCTTCGGCCTGACTTCGAGCCCGCTTATATCTGATCCCGTGGCCAGTACTCCCTCGTCGATGCTATTTTTAGGTAGCTGAGGTCATTACCTTTCCATTGATGTCACACATGCCTTGCTTGAACAAAAATGACTGCCGCGCTTTGCGCAGAGGCATAGCGAAGTACTGATCTCGACTAGATGCACACCCGGGCCCCGGGAGGAACACCCAATTTTCGTGTTCAGCGGCCTCGAATTAGTCTAAAACAAGAGGTCAGTTTTGTGCTAGATTGTGCACGTCTGACTGTTCAAAATCTGGTTTAGTTGGTGGACTCGATCGCATAACTTGTGCCCACGATTTCCCATGTTACAAAAACAAGAGGATTCTAGAACATTTAGGCTCTCGCTTTATTGTGGTAGAAGGAAAATGATTGCAGAAACCAGCCAACAGCGATTTCCTGGCGGTGGACGAAGAAATCGAGTGAACTGTGCGCACACTGTAGAAGCGACGGTGAAAATGTGTGAGTTGTGCAAGTAGGCGTGCACGGCATGCATGCGCACATCCTGTATCGCCATGCACTTCAGTTCGCACCTGCATGTACGTACGAGATAGTGCAGTGCTCAGTGGACGGAAACCACACCGTCCACATACATAAGTAACTATAACTTTAGATAGCCTTGGCATATTGGGTTCAAATTTTCACAGGTTGTTTCTCACATCTTCCCGGTTTGGAAAAACTAGCGTTTTTTTGCAAAACTCACAAATTTGATTTTTCGAGTGAACTTCCTATACTTGGTGCGCCAGGCTCAATGCTCTCACACACCTGGAAGGCAAAGCCGCAGAGTGGCAACGACTCTCTCCGAGTAGCAACCTAGTCCTGAGCGGTATTGTCTTCCATGTGTGCACACATCGACGGCAGGGGTAGTGTGTTGAGGCACATCTATGTGTCCTCTGAGATCAGACTGGTGCAGTGCAGTAACCAGGGAGTCGTAAAATAACAATCCACTAGTACACACAGTAATTGAACAATCATGCTGGAAATGCTAGTCCCAAACATGTGCACTGTACCTGGTCTCTGGTTGGAATATTCCACCAGCATCACAGGCAGCCAGCATGGCACCACTGTTGTAGTAGCTATCAACAAGAGTTGAGTTAGGCTCATCCGACAACAGATACTGAGTTGGATCGCAGAAGGCTTGTCCTGCCAATTTGAACGTTGACGCTTTCAGTGCGACCGCCAGGTTATTGTAGTTGTTGCTATTGGTCGTGTAGCCAATGGTGGTTCGAGTGGCGCTGTCATACTTACTGATCTCATGGTAGTAATTGTGGGCTTGTCCCGGCGTATACATGGTGTTACTAAGCATCACCTGGCTTGCATCCGCCTCAGTCAAGACAAAAGCAAACGCATAGTCGGTCGACCGGACAGAAGAGAAATGGTACGTGAAACGGACATTGTTGATCCACTTGACGCCATCTTCCAACCCGCCGAGCTGTTGTGCGCGAGGGCCTGTTACTGTCCGTTGACCAGTTTTCTGGGCCATCAAGTCCTGTACAAGAGTGTAGAATCATGGTTACAACGCTCCACTGGCTCATTTCCGCTACAACAGTTACTACCCGCACAGTCAGAAAGTTACTACCACTGTCAGAAAGTTACTACCACTGTCAGAAAGTTACTACCACTGTCAGAAAGTTACTACCCGCACTGTCAGAAAGTTACTACCACTGTCACTGAAAGACTACAAGTACATAAACCAGAGTGTGCAGCTCCGTATCTATGCGCCATAAACCCAATCAAAGCGAAGCTTTTGTTTAGCCAATAGGTTATCATGAATAATAGACAACCCGTCATGCCGTAGGCTCAGTGCTAAATCACAGTATCACTAAGGTGATCAGGGGAGATTCCCCGTGTGTTTTCACCTTTCGTCTGACAAGCAGCAGCAGAAGTTTCTATTATCTTGGTGGTCCAGTTGGCCGGTAAAATGACCATGTGAACCGGTGTGAGATGCAAGAAAGATGAGTCATCATGGCCTAAACAAACAAAAAAACGTTGCCGTGGACTCTCCCGGAGTTTAACACTCCGTTTCATGTACTCCTACTGTCGGATATGTACTTAAAACGTTGAAATCTGAAGAAAATGTTGAACAGTCGCTGCTGGGATGACCACACCGTAGCTTATAATTATACATTTCCTTTGAAGTAGATTTCTCTCCCGGGAAGCAGCAGCCCTGCTACTACTGGGCTGAAGCTACGCACTAACACTGGGGACATTGCCCACACATCATTAGCTTACCGCTAATATTCCGTTGGTTTGGTCAAACTCTACTGGTAGACCGTCATGAACTTCCAAGCTTGAGATTCGTGGATAAACAGGATCATCAACAAGCTGAATGAACCGACAAACACCAGAAATAGAACAAGGCAATGCTCAGCTGTTTGTAGTTTACCAATGTTTTTCTAAGCACTCGCCTTTACCAATGCTATTACTATTATTCATTTTCTGCCCAAGATGTTGAACAACCCGGCCGTTCAGACCCGCGTGTAACTGACAGTGTCCGTGACACTACCCCGAACACATTGCCGGCTAATATGCCTCTAGTTGTTATCAAGGACTACTCAAAAAACAGTACTCTCTGGTAGCTATAATTATACTACTTGAAGTATGGGTAACACAATGTTTGACACACACAGCACGCTGCGGCTGTGTTGTACGGAACGGCCATGATGATAACAGTTCGCTCAAGATAAAAACTCAAAACCCAGGACACCGACAGTATGATAATTTTCACAGTACATGTAAGGTAGTTATCACGACGGTGGCAAGGAGTACTAGAAAGTACTTCCTAGTATTTGCCCACGGTATGTGACACCAAGTCTTGTTCACATGCTTGCACTGCAGAGAGGTACAGGTAACTGCAGCTGGTACAGCTGGTCGGGCAGGATACTTCGACTCACCTGGACTACTTTCAGGCAAGTTCCAACCAACCCTAGTGCTATTCTCGGCCGGTACTGAAGAAGCGGACACTTATATACAGTCAAACCTCGTTAGGGGCCGTCCGTAAATGTCGATATATTTTACAATCCGTGAAATTTTCGTACCTGGGTGGTGGGTGCAGCCGAAATTCAAAGTAAATAAAATATCGATGACACGCGGACCTGGCGCCCAGTACTGCGTGTGCGTGGGTCTGCGTGCGTCGAACCACACGTACACGTAGATTGTTGTCTCCAAAAAATGTAGTGGAGATCGAAACTCTTGAAGCAAAAGAAAGAGGGAAGTTTGTCAGATATTATTCACAAGTATAATTATTGCACAATTATTCGAAGTATCACAATACCTGATTAAGCCGGGTCAAGTCCAGCTCTTATTTGAACTCCACATCGAAGAATTGCAGCTTGCATTTATGTAGGTACAGTACATGTGTCATCAATACTTTATTCCGTAAAAAGTAGGGGGGTGGGTGGTGGGTCCTGGTTTCTTTGTAAAATTCACGGATTGAAAAAACTATCGATATTTACGGATGGCCCCTTAGGACGAACACTGATAAGGCAAACTTTCCATTCGTACGAACTAGGGCCACTGAATCCTATGGTTGGCCAGATATCATAATCACGTCAAGATTATTCGTTTACGACGAATTCTGCTAAGCGAACTTTCGTGAAGACGAACTAATTCAAGCGTGATTTGAACAAAATCAGCACGGAGTACGAACGTTCAGGTGACATGCGTGCACTAGCTGTAGTTTTTTTTCCGATGGTCGAGGCCTCTTGTAGGGGCAAAACGAATTGACAGCATGGTACAAGGCGGAGGACATGCTGTCATGAATTCATTGCACACGGTACTTACCTGTTGCTGGCTTATGCTATGAATAAAATGCTTCACATGTGCCACAACATGCACCTTCACATAAATACAATCCTTATGATAGGCATACCATTTTTTTGGGCAGATCTGGATAAGAGGAACTCCGGATAAGACAAACAAACTTGTTCAGTCCCTTGAAGTTCGTCCTAACGAGATTTGACTGTACTTGATGGCGCAAATTTATGACTCGGTTGTCAATAACAACTCGCTAGTGACTCGGTTGTCAATAACATCGCGTTAGTGAGTCGGTTGTCAAGAACAACATGCTACTTAATTGGCTGGACGAGTTCTAGTGGCTATGCCACATGCCTGCAAGGTAGACACATACCTCTGAACTTGGCTTCAGGCGTGGATGAACGATAGCTCTTCCCTCTGTGTCAATGAGGAATGCATAGGACAGGCCAAACTGGTCATCCAGTAGTGTATTCTCAAGATCATCCAGCACTGCATCCACTCCCACTACGCCAAGCAGAGTCCTGTGTGGTCACAGGGGAGACATATGATTATGACACAGCAGCAACAGCAGTCGACAATCATGACATGTCAGCAACAATGAATAGGCAAATGCTCTTTTTTCTCTCTCAGTCTATCTGTCTGTCTGCATGTCTGTCTGTCTCTCAGTCTGTCTGTCTGTCTGTCTCACTCTCACTCTCTCTGCCTCTGTCTGTCTGTGTGTCTGTGTGTCTGTCTGTCTGTGTGTGTGTCTCTCTCTCTCTCTCTCTCTCTCTCTCTCTCTCTCTCTCTCTCTCTCTCTCTCTCTCTCTCTCTCTCTCTCTCTCTCTCTCTCTCTCTCTCTCTCTCTCTCTCTCTCTCTCTCTCTCTCTCTCTCTCTCTCTCTCTCTCTCTCTCTCTCTCTCTCTCTCTCTCTCTCTCTCTCTCTCTCTCTCTCTCTCTCTCTCTCTCTCTCTCTCTCTCTCTCTCTCTCTCTCTCTCTCTTTCTCTCTCGCATTTGGTTCAGTGCGCCACAATCTGATACAGTATGCTCTAACCCACTACAGCCTTCCTTTGCAATTCAGGAAATTAATTTTTTCCTACTACGACAGTCTTTGCGCTTTCGTCGTACAACCACACACACCCACCTTTAATTACAACATTGGTGTTTTCCAGGGGTGCCCCTTGTCCCCGGTCCTTTTCAATATTTGTTTCCAGCTTCTGCTGGACTCACTTGCAGCCCCTGAATTAAGTTGCCTCTCCTATGATTTTAAATCTGCCCCTTTGCAAGTGTCCCAAACAGCTTTTGCTGATGACTTAGGCCTCTATAGCAAATCTAGTGCAGGTTGTCAAAAACTCATTGCGGTCACGGAGGACTTTCTCTCGTGGACCCAATGTATGCAGGCGGCGCCGCACAAATGCAAAAGCAGTGCAGCAAAGCTTGTAGATGGCCGGTACAAACCTTACGATCCCTGCCTGACAATGTCAGGGAGGAAGATCGCTTTCATTGACACTGCAGAGTTCAAGTTCCTGGGGCGAAGGCTGCATGCTGATTGCTCTGTCACTGCATCTCTCATGCAAAAAGTAGATGGCTCTTGGCTTCAAGACCACCACAAGCTATGGCTTTACCACCATCTTGTAGTGCCCAAGCTTTCTTGGTCTTTCCAGGTTCTTGAACTCACACAAGGTTTTGTACGTGAACTGCACTTTATGTGTTTACCATTTCTGAAGAAATGGTCAGGCCTACCTCGATGCGCAAACTCTGCCATTCTTTTTATTGGCAGTCGCAAACGCTTTGGCTTACGCCTCCACTACCTTCCTACGGTGTGGAAAAAGTGCCAGTCCATCAAATGGCACATTCTTCGATCGAGTGGGGACGCGCGCATGAGGGCGCTGTACACTCTGCGTCGGAGTAAGGATGCGAAGCTGACAAAGCGATATGCGGCGACAATAGAGCTGGAGTGTGCAGAGGCATCAGTAGGTTCAGGGACTCTCCGTCCACCGTCATCTTCAAGTCATCGTGCAGGGTTGGGTGCTCGTGCTCCGAAGCAGCATTCCAAACCCCCGAGGAAGGATCTCCTTCAAACATTTGAGGAGATCAACGCGCAGGAGCAGATTTTGAGGCTGAAGACTCTTCAGGTGCAAGGCAAGTGGTTGGAGTGGACATCGGTGATGTGGCAGGACCTCTCGTGGAAATCCCTTTTGTACGGTGGTACTGGTAAGGATTTGAAATTTCTTCTCGCATCAACCCTCGACGTGCTACCTTCTCCGACGAACCTACGCCGTTGGGGAAACACCGTAGTGGATCCGTACTGTAGTTTGTGCCGTACCTGGGCCTGTACTACGCGCCACGTGCTTGGCGCTTGTCGCGTAGCGCTGGACCAGGGACGTTACACCTGGAGGCACGACAACGTACTCGGGGTCATCGTCAGGAACATGCGTGAGGAGATTCGAATCCGCACTGCTGCAAACACCGTACAAACCGAAAATTCAAATGAGCTTGACTTCATCTCGTTTTGCAAGGCGGGAGAGAAGCCAGTTCGCGTTCAGCCCAGACGAAAGTTGGTTACGACTGATCTCCTGTCAGCGGCCTCAGACTGGAAACTTCTTGTCGACTCAGTTAGTGCAAAGATTTCTTTCCCTAGCTGTGTTGCACTTACCACCCTAAGACCAGATATAGTTCTGTACTCTACGAGTCGTAGGATTGTATTCTGGATGGAGTTGACAGTTTGTGCTGAGGACAGATTCAGTGTCAGTAACTCGCGGAAGGACAGGCGGTATGCGGATCTGGCCGATCAATGCCGAGCAAACGGGTGGCAGGTCGTTTCTTTTTCGGTTGAGGTAGGTGTGCGTGGTTTCATCCCGGACTCTCTTCGGAGGGCTCTGAAAGCGCTTGGATTTTCTAATCGAAGAATAAAATTTATTTGTAATTTGTGCAGTAAGACGTCTCTGCGAAGCAGCTACATCATCTGGTTGCGGCGTCAACAAAAACACTGGTCGGAAGATCCACTTTTCTGAGGTACTGTATGTGGGGCTCCGTTTATTGAGGTGCGTTGAAATTTATTCTCTTTATCTTATTATTTCTTTTCTATAATTTCCCCATATGAGTTCCTATCAGTTGCTGTGAACACCTTGAGTGGAGAGCGCTTGCTCGAGCGTTGAACCGGGTTCTTAATCCACCATACCCAGTTCGCAAGGCTGGGCGGGGTTGTGAGCAGGCTTTCATTTCATCTTTTCTTATTATTTCTTATTATTTCTGCTTTTCATCTCATTACAAAAATTCTGCGCTTTTTCTCCATCTGCGCATAAAATCTAGACTGACAACCTGCTTGTTAAATCATGCACCTGCTTTCAGGCGTAAAAACCCTGTTGTAGAGGTCTCAGTCCTCATTTGTTAGACTTACCTGTCTTTATAAATGTAACTTACTCTCTCTCTCTCTCTCTCTCTCTCTCTCTCTCTCTCTCTCTCTCTCTCTCTCTCTCTCTCTCTCTCTCTCTCTCTCTCTCTCTCTCTCTCTCTCTCTCTCTCTCTCTCTCTCTCTCTCTCTCTCTCTCTCTCTCTCTCTCTGCCTCTCTCTGCTCTCTCTCTCTCTCTCTCTCTCTCTCTCTCTCTCTCTCTCTCTCTCTCTCTCTCTCTCTCTCTCTCTCTCTCTCTCTCTGCCTCTCTCTCTGCCTCTCTCTCTGCCTCTCTCTCTCTCTCTTTCTCTCTCTCTCTCTCTCTCTCTCTCTCTCTCTCTCTCTCTCTCTCTCTCTCTCTCTCTCTGCCTCTCTCTGCCTCTCTCTGCCCCTCTCTGCCTCTCTCTCTGCCTCTCTCTCTCTCTCTCTCTTTCTCTCTCTCTCTCTCTCTCTCTCTCTCTCTCTCTCTCTCTCTCTCTCTCTCTCTCTCTCTCTCTCTCTCTCACACACACACACACACACACACACACACACACACACACACACACACACACACACACACACACACACACCATGTACCATGTACCATGTATACGCGAGTCGCAAGAGATGAGAAACACGCAAATCTGCAAATGCACTGGATATGCACCCACAGATTTTCTCTTTAGAGCAACGATACTCGCGGCGGATCTGATTCTGAGTGAAACAGATCAAGACAAGCGCCAGATAACTGTCTAATCTACACAACTGGCGAAGCCATGTGAATCTTGGTTGGAGGAGGCTACCAAACGAAAATGAGGAGGTGACCCGCTGGTGGGAGGGTACCTTGTGTCACACATACAGATATACACACAGATATGCAGTGATACATACATTGTAAAAGTACATGTATACCGCCAATGCTTACTGAGCATCTTGTGGGTCGTAAATGGCTCTTGAGAGGGTGATGATTCTTCCCAGGCCAGACACATCGACATAGGGTGCTGTGGGACTAATTTGATCATTGTCCGTGTTAGCCAGTCTGGCCAGGTAACTGTAGTAAGGGCTCATCATTGATCGGATGTTATCGCTAGATCTCAGCTGAATGTACACACCACCATTATCACAGCCTAGCTTGCCTGGTAGAGTTGATCCTTCATCACCCACTTCGATACCCACCACCTTGATCTTGCGACTCTGAAGTACATTATTTGAACAGAACACCAAGACGTACCATCACATTTTGTGATATGGCACACTTTAAATCATCGCACTCCCCCTTCTCCCCCCCCCCCCCCTCTCTCTCTCTCTCTCTCTCTTATTTTCTCTCTTTCCCTCCTTCCCTGCCCCCTTCTTCCTTCTGTCTCCTCACTCCAGCTGGATCTCACCATCTCCCTAGTTCTCAATCTCATCCCACTACACTCTCATTTCCAGCCCTCTCCCTACAAACCGATTAAGGAAAGTCATACACAGTGTCTCCAAGCATGACGGACTATACAGCTGTATCCTTGCTTGTTGGCTGTACTCAAGTACATGCATCCATGGAGTGTATCTCGGAGCATTCTATCAGTGAGTGCAGCGTAGGGACCAGAGACTGTAGTGTTCAACTAACCGAAGTGTGAGCAAAGGAAACCGTGCTGTAAATTTCACTGAATTCCGTGCGCAGCAAGACACAGCCGTATGTTCCACGATTTCGGTCATAGCACACGTGTTTGTAGTTTCGCGGGTCCGTGTCCTTGCCATCTGTGAGCACGATGAGGATCTTCTCACAGCCACCAGTGCCATCTGTAGCTGTCGGGAAGAGGCTTATCAGCGTGTTCAGGGCAGTGCTATGACAAAACAATAGCATATGAATAGCAAGAAATAGAATGAGAGTGCAAATTAGAACAGACTACAGGGGCAGAGGCATACCAAATTCAAAAATGGCAGCAGTTTTCCCTGAAATTACCGTTGGTAACATTTCCACCGCAGTGCTTACATATACACGCCCACACGCATGCACCTTCATGGCTGGTCATGTCCGGTGTGGCGCGGTGTAAAGGATACATTCACCTTGCAAGGTGCACACAGGTGGGTTATTCGGGTGCGATGTAATCATACACGTTTGTGTATGGAGTGGCAAACCCATGCCCGCGATGCCTCTCCATACAAATCATCTGAAACTGATTACTAGTAGCATCTTAAATTAAAGTACATCACGGTACCCTAGTTTGTCTCAGTACCTGTTGTACTCTTCTATGACGTAATGATGCGGTAGTATGGCATACACTGCTTGCGTTGCACTTGGAAACAGAAAGACGAGATACATGTCTTACTTATGTTCCTCGCCACTTCCATAACCTTCCTGAGCATCAATGCTTGAAATTAGCTGAGCACGGTTTGACGGAGTGGCTCTCATAAACTTTTTCTTGTTGCAGCCCAGTACGACTGGGTCATAGGAACGGCGGTTACCACCAGAGTTGATGTAGTTACCACGCGAACAGATGACATTCACCTGGTCATCCCTAGTCAGGGAATTGATGATTTGCTTGGCAGCTGCCTTCGCAATTCCCATTCTGCCCAACAGATCACATCATCAAACACAGCATGACAGCACTCACTCACAAGAGGCCAAGAAACAGAGACGACAGTTGCAGTGTAAAACATGCATTTTCACACCATGCGCTTTGTGCATTGATCAATAATACATGTTTTTTTTCCAATGGGCAGTCAACATACCTGCCGTCGTCATCCATCGAGGCACTGCAGTCCAGAAAGATACCCACAGCCTTGGGACCTGACGTGGCTGCAAGGTACCATGGCCGAACTCGGGGATCGTAGTCTGTTCTGAAGCCGGCAAAGTTACTTTCCCACTCCACAGCAGGAAATGAGCGATACACACCAGTCTCTGCGCCAAAGTAGGCCCACCTGAACAGGTGCCATGCCGGGCACAGCAATCAGCAGCACAAAGGCATACTGTGAGTTACTTGTTAAATGCAGTCTTACCGTGTCTTACGGTGTCTTACCGTGTCTTACTGTGCATCAGCAACCAGCAACAAGTCTAACTTCCCTTGCCTCACAACATCCACCGTGATGCCTGTGTATATACGCTTACTAGGGGTGTACGCAGGATGTGTGTGTGTGTGTGAGGGGGGGGGGGGGAGGTTGTCAGGTGTGGGTGGTGAAAGCAGTGTCCTCTGTCCTCTGATCCCCACCCCTACATGTACACGTATGTGAATATGTCACACTGTGTCAGTAGTCAGGCTAGTACAATGTAAAGCACATTACTTGTACAAGCATTTTATTCCGGGTCAGCCACTGGGAACTGTATTGTTTGCCCCCCCCCCCCCCCCCACACACACACAACGGAAATGGCATGACAATGGATTTTGGGCAATGCTTTCGGTGCCCCATTGTCCATGGCATCTGCATACAAATGGCTCTGCATTCTGATTCCTCAAAAGAAAAAGAGAACGCTGTTGCCCATTTTTTTTAGCTATGCCATGGCATTGGTATATTTTATGAACTTTCTAGGCTTCCCATGCAAAGTACGCCATTATTCATACAAAGCATATCGGATAGAAATGGGGCTAGTAGTGCACAATCTGCCCCTACTGAATTCCATCACAAGCTGCACGCTTGTCCTTAGTTACTGTACATTACTGTACTGGTAGGGTCTCGGTAATGGCAAGTCATGAGTGGGAATTGCTACCTGGCATTGCGGAACTTCATTGTCTGTCTCAGCATTGGGTCGATGCCCGCACTCCACTCCACGGTGTCATACACATCAACAGCATCACGGTTGACAGAGCTGGGAATCTTGACCGAGCTCTGTTGGAAGCTGGCGTACTTGCGAAAAGTGCTACAGGACAACAGGGATAAGAGGCAAGCACAGCAAGGATCATGTACTGAAGTGTATGCTCGTGTACTGATATCACCGCTACCTATAGGTATATTCTTAAACCATTCCAGTACTGCCCTAAACGTCAGAGCTTACTCACTCCATAGACACAGAGGCGTTGAGCAATTCTACCTGAGTCAGTGCTGTGGGTGTACATGTACGTCTGCTATGCTAGACCTGTCTACTTCCCCCGGCGCAAGCTCAGAATTTGTCATGTTTATCAGAAGAAACCCTTGCGCATGCGACTGAGAGCAGAGAGTGTGTGTAAGGTTGCCGGCAATGATCATAATTATTCATGACCATGTGACATGCATCAAAATCACACAACCTTATAAGACGCACTGCACTTTACCTGTTATATTCAATTTCCACTGCACTTTACCTGTTATATTCAACTTCCAGTGCACTTTACCTGTTATATTCAACTTCCACTGCACTTTACCTGTTATATTCAACTTCCAGTGCACTTTACCTGTTATATTCAACTTCCACTGCACTTTACCTGTTATATTCAACTTCCACTGCACTTTACCTGTTATATTCAACTTCCACTGCACTTTCAACTTCCACTGCCCTTTACCTGTTATATTCAACTTCCACTGCACTTTACCTGTTATATTCAACTTCCACTGCACTTTACCTGTTATCATATTCAACTTCCACTGCACTTTACCTGTTATATTCAACTTCCACTGCACTTTACCTGTTATATTCAACTTCCAGTGCACTTTACCTGTTATATTCAACTTCCAGTGCACTTTACCTGTTATATTCAACTTCCACTGCACTTTACCTGTTATATTCAACTTCCACTGCACTTTACCTGTTATATTCAACTTCCAGTGCAGGACTGGTGAACATAGTATCAGCATCCAAAAAGACAGAAGTTGGCAGAGAGGCCAAGCCCGGCGACTTGGTCGGTAGGTTGTTTGCACGAGTGCGGGCCGAAATGACTGCATCCTTCACAGCCTTGCTAGCCATGTCCAAGTCGGCCGTGAGAGCCGTCAGCTTCTGTTCAATCTCAGTGAGAATGTAGGTGACGTTCAGGTCGTTGGATTCACTTGTAGCGTTATCGTAGAGCTCCTGCAGCTGTTCTCGTTGGATGCCATCGTTGGAAATGCTGATCAAAGAAGATTGTATGCTCGTTGCCATGGATTTGATGTTGTTGTCAGTGACTAAAGCTGAACTTGAACTGCAGATCACCAACACTACCACGGCTACCAACAGGAATGATGTCATCCTCTGACCGGCATTACCAGTCATACTGAATGATCCACTCAATACCAAAATCAATGGTAGCAGCAGGACTAACAGAATACTTGGTTTTAACAATGAACTGCTGGCAACCAATGTTCTCTTGCTTTCTTCTAGCGTAAAGCAATTTTCTTTCACGTTGGAAACTTGGAATCGGCGGTCAGCGCAGTAAGCACTTCCATTAGTGCCATAACGTGTTCCCAAACGTACTCCTTGTAATCTAGCATCTTGGCATGCACTCAGTAGATCATTGCAGAAATCTTCACACACAGTCAGACGTTCCTGTGCATAGAAGTTACTTTGCCTGGGATCGCACACGTAACACATCAAGTAGGTGATGTAATTGCGACAATGTCCGTTGGAATTAGCTGGCACTTGTACTTGATTAAATAGTGAGTTGATCTCCTCATTCACACAGCATGAACTGTCCCTATACCACGTACAGTTCTGCAATCCGGGTTGCGGAGAAGGTGATTTATTTCCAAAGAACGAACAGAAAGATCCTTGTCCCTCGACCAAAGTCCACTGAACCAGCACGAACGCCAGTAACAGCGCCTGGCCACGAAATGCCTTCATAGCTGCCGCGCCCAAGCCAAGGCACTAGCCACGGGTGCCTGTGTTACGACCAAGACCAGAAGACGGTCACCGCAAAATCGTCGATAACAGCAGCTGAGAGTGAGACCACTGCCAGCTCAGCTCCGAGTTCTTCGATCTGCTCTCGCCTTCGCTAGCAAGTGCAGCTTGGTTTGGTGGGATTCACTGGGATTCAGATGGGCTGGAACGCGTTCAGGAAATCCCCGAAAGTGCTGGCTATTTTACACTTTCGCCATGCATTCACCATGTTCACGCACACTCCACAGCATGCGCATGCACGAGACTACCGACCGCGTAGATCTACCGTGGCTAACACGGACGTCGACGATGTGCTGCAGTCTTTGGTGTAGCGCTATCCTTGACCCTACACTACACTCTACAGGCTACACATCGTCAGTTTGTGGGCTACAGCCTACCGTAACACAATGATTATGACAATGTAGCTCGCCACTGCTCGTGAAAAGCCAAAGGCAAAGCTCTGGACGAGGCGATGCCGATGAGATTCTTCAGTTTACGCCCATGACTAACCTGTCATGCAAGTCTAGTCATGATGGTTGACCATGTCAAAACTGCCTGGGAGTTAGTTGAAGGTGACCGTGATCTCATCTCATCTCTCATTTTTATGAGTTCATTTTACTCTCGCCAAGTCTTGATATCAGTACACTGTACTGATAATTAGACTGATAATATAAGCAGTCAATATAGCCCTATTAGTGAAATATGCAGGAATATTTGACTGCTTGGGTATGGCAAAAATCTATGCCAGTCAATACTAAGAGAGTGATAAAGCTAAGTATTAGTTTCCCAACTCCGAGTCTTATAATTTTGTTTGGTACTACGCTGACTGTAGTAATGCCATGATGTTACGCGTGTAGACCGAGGTAACAGACAACACCACCTCTACATCATACTCTTCATGTGCATGTCATCTGTTCTTGCAAAGCCTCATGACGGCAGCAGAACAATCGGTCGGAATGGCACAATCCCGTAATTCAGTTTCTTTCTTCGGCTACTAGTACTAGTGTAATGTATTCTTGCTACTAGTACTAGCAGCGCTGCGATATGAAGTCGTTCCGCTCCATACGCTCCCTTGCACAGTCAGCACTTCCTTCCTTCCGCACATTGAATCCCTCATGCAGCCACGATCGCCGTGTTTCGCTCCACTCGTTACCGGTACCGTGTCACTATGCCACGGTCATGAGCTGATCGCGGTGAGCGTGCTCAGTCATGGTCACCTCATCTGAGTGCTCAGTGACCTGCACCAATGTCCGGTCAACCGGAGCATCAAACAAACATACAGTTACAGTACTTCATGCTTGCTTCGTCTTTGTTCACATGTCCGGGCCGTCGTGGTCAGCCTATAGCCTGTATAGTATAGGCGTTATGAACTTATGTCCGTGCACACCTGGTTAGCTAATTACAACTTTTTGTAGTGTCTGTCTCTCTGAGTCTCTCAGCGGCCTTTCTGCTCCTGTGCTTGAAAGCCGGCCTGCTATCCTGTTATGTGAGCATTTATACCAGACTGTACTACATGTACGTGCTTTCCACTAATGGTAGTCTACCAGGCCACGTGACAGTACCATTACTACTAATACTAGGCATTATTAGTAGAAAACAAACCAACTGTTCTACATGGCACTACTTGATCTAAGAAGATACCCCTCCCACCCAGCCTCTGGAAAATTTCTCTCCTAAATGTTTGCCCGTCTGTATTAGACTTAGAGCTCCCATTGTCCATCTCGGACCTGACTCCACCTCCCCCCATTACTGTATCTAATACTGTAGAACGGGTAATTTTAGCGACGTAAAAACCCTAGCGAATTTAGCGATCGACTCCTTTTCGCTAAAGTTTCAAGTCGCTAATCCGTTGAGACATTAGTAGTGCACTGGTGACCCGTGAGTAAAATCGCTGCAAATCGCTAAAATAAAACGTTGCTAACCAGTTGACAATGGGAAAACGCTAAAATTAATAGTCGCTAAAATTACCCGTTCTACAGTATTGTCTGCTTGAGTCCCCCCGTACTCCTTGTCACCTTCATTCGCTTCCTTGTTATTGAACACCTTTGCTTCTTAATTCTTTGGTAACTGAGAATTAAAATCAAATCAAACAACAACAACCAAGTGAGAATAAAGATTTGAACAACAACAACAACAACAACAACAACAACAACAACAACAACAACAACAACAACAACAACAACAACAGAAGAAGTAGCGACGACCCGGCCATTATGGAATCCAATACACCACACCACCACATTGCGCTCTTGGCCGATCCAAACTCTGCACTCACATCACCATCACCACAGCGAGGACAATTCCGGTATATAGATTGATATTGACAATGACCCTCCAGACAGCTGTTTCGCTCCTCCTGAGCGCATCAGTGGAGGCATATGATGTTGAATGAAAGAATAACAAGAATAGACTGATCTTTATTGGGCTAAATTGGCGCGCAATTGCGCTCATTCTCCATAGAAACGTGGCATACCCTAAGTGACAAAAGTGACAAAAGTGAAAACAAGGTCAGGTGATAACGACACGCGCTCATGGCTGGGACAGGAACATGTAGCACATGTGTCAATATCAATCTATATACTGGAATTGTCCCCGCTGTGGTGATGGTGATGTGAGTGCAGAGTTTGGATCGGCCAAGAGCACAATGTGGTGGTGTGATCTATTGGATTCCAACAACAACAACAACAACAACTTTCTCTTATTGGCCACAGGCCATCGTGGGAATAAAGATTTCAAACAAAAACAACAACAACATACTAGTACATGCCAGGGGAAGGGACATACATGTACATCTATACCATGTACAAGGTCTGTGCTCTGTCTGTGCTTTGCCTGTGCTTTGTTACGTGAAGTCTCATCACCACCAGGTTACAAGAAGGCTGGACGTTCAGTGACTTCGTTTAGGCCTTCTCTGCTTCCATTCTTCTTCCTTCATGTATGTCCCCCCCCCCCCGGGGGCCACGTACTTCCGGTAACATCTACATGTATGTGAAGGGTAAAATCCATGATATCTCTACTCCCTGGTCTTCATTGGCTGCACTGCAGTGGAGCATCCGAATATTGAATATCCCTGGTCTTACTTTCAGTCTTTTCACACATAGCATGTAAACCCAGGAAACCTAAGCGTACTCAGTGCAGCGCTGTGGGGTCAACCAATTTCGATTGCATTGTGTACACGCAGGCGGTGGGACAATTCAGAGCTGTAGTTTGTTGCAACTCCCGAGTGTCTTGCTCAGTGCTCCACAGTTGTACTGTGTATCACGCAGGGCCGTCGGAACCGGTCCGGTTGTCACCGGACCAACTCTGGCTCAGGTCACCCCTGGGATTCGTCTAAAACCAGAGAGAAAAAATCCTGGGTACATGACTACATGTACATGATTGTAGTCTGTACATGTATTATCGATCATGCATACATACATGTATGTACATTCACCCACAGTAGACCATACATGTACATTGTACATTGATATCCATGCAAAATTATTCCCTGTAGTGGGCTCTGAAAACTTGTGAAAGGGCCCAATTCTGCTATTTCTGACCGGGTTTTTCAAAAAACGTCCGGGGAGATCCCCCAGGATCCCCTCAAACCGGACCAACTTAGCCCACCATCCGGCGGACCTGCTACGAATCCGAGTCTTGTATTACTTGCATTACATTCTTCCTTTAATGCAATTGTTTTCAGTATTTGTCTATTATTCGAATTGTGTTCTACTCCTCCACCATGGCAAATTGTGTTTTGTTTGCCCGTAAGACCTCGGTCACACTATGGCAAGTTTAAAGCTGCACGCAGCGTCAAACCACAGCACTTGACGCTAGCGTGGAGTCACACTACATGTTTTGCTTTTGCCGTCGCGGCCTGATGCACTTCACAAAACCCCTGTGCGACGAGTCAAATCCTTGTGAAAGAGTACGGTACACTATTTTTCATGCAAGTGCATGCAGCGGCAACGCAGCCGATTTGCTCGCGTCTGACACTCAAATTTCCCGCGCTTTCATCAGTTGCCATGGAAAACTCATGATTCTGACGCTGACGCAGCATTTTTGATGTAGTGTGACCGAGGCCTAAAAGAGGCTTCTGATTCTGAGTGAAATATAACTTTCCAAAATCCGTAGCACTGCCCTCAAAGTCTGACATGCAGTGCATTGCACATTGCACAGCAAGCACAAAAACAAGCACTCCACCTCTAAACTATTCTTTCGATGGAAACAATTTGTAAAATATTTAAAAAGTGCCCCCTAAAGCAACCTTGAACCAGCAAGTACTGCTTGGACACTGGGAGAATAGAAGTCTTTCCTAAAAGTACGCATGCCTCATGTCATGTTTCGCTGTCAGCAGGTGTTGTCATCCAGGATAAACTCTTTCTCAAGTGGTTCCGCACTGCCTGGCAATTTGCAAACTAAAGACACCTTCAGAAAGCGATTGTGCTTACCACATGGTGATAGAGTGAGAGAACCTTCAACAATGTCATCCTGGACAACGTTGGTAGGGGCGTTGAGAAACAGAACGCACTGTCTCCAGTGCGTCGATACAGCATACGGCGAGGTAGAGAGAAGAACGGGTGGTTTACCAGGAAAGGTGACTACAAACCAGACACCGAGGCCATGCAGCGGCGCACTGCAATGGCATTGGCATTTGAACGTGCCCACTAGTTTCTCCAAGTCGGACTGAGTTGTGCTTTTCAGATCCAACGACAGCACACACGTGCTATCGCCGATGATATCTTCGCCATCTAACTGAACAACCTGCACTGATCGCAATGTTGTACGCATGACAACATCAGTTAAACAGCTCATGTCCACGCCGTATGCATCCTTCATGCGAGACCAGCAGTTTACACGGTCCTCCCAGAAGTTGTCTGCTCGGACAGGTGCGACAAATATGGATGCATGGGAGGGCAGCATCACGCCATCAGGTTTCAGCCATTGCTCTCTGGCATACAGTACACTACTCAACATTGACTCGTACATCAAAAAGTAGCCCATCCATTCACTAACGATCACATCAACCTTTTCCGGCAACTGGCACTCTTCAACCATACCGTGAATGACCGTAATGCAGTCTTCCAAATTATTACTTTGAACTACACGCCGTGCATGCTCTGCTGCATCACTGCCTTCGATGGCATAGACCTTCTTAGCTCCTGCTTGAGCACAAAAGCAACTCAAAATACCAGTGCCAGCACCAATATCAGCTACTACTTTGCCATTGAGTAGATGACTGTTTTCCATTATGGCACTGCGGTACTTTGACGTTCGCTCGAAGTCCCGCAGCATCTCCTCGTGAACGTATAGATCACTGTACGTTTTGAAATAGTGCTTTTCATCTGCCTCTCCATCACGATTCGAATAACTTGCCAAGTGTTCACCACTGAAATTTTGACGCTTTGCCTGGGGTTCCTGACCCTCCATACTCCTTCAGGTAAAAAGTTCTTACCAGTACAATCTCAAGCAGCATGGAATGACTGAGCAAACACTACCTCAGGACCTGTAGCTAGCTGTGTGTGTAGACTTCAGCATTGCAAACAAGAAGAGTAAACGCCAAAATGCAAACTCTTCATTGCATTCGCTTTTTCGGATTTATTGCGTTTGAAATAATTCGAAATGCACACATGTACGTGTGCACGTGCGCTTGATCGTCGTACTCGTAGATTTCGGAATCTGGTCATCTGGTCATTAGGCTGTCATCACACCATGGTACAAAGCGCTGCGTCTACGTCCACGTAAGGAGTTTTTGGTCGGTTGTCATGATGATCCGTATACGGGGTGAAAACGGGAGCAGAGGAAACGGGAGACGTAGACGTGGTATGGAGAGGGGGGGTATACGACTTTTTGTATGAACGTGCGTATCTCCCCCAGCCTTTTTCCGAGCGACCCTGTACTTCGATGTACGTGGGTTCAAATTTCTCCAAAAACCTGACTGCGTGTACGCGTCAAGAACTGTGCCTGTCTGATGACACGACCACCCGTTTTGGTTTTTCACCATAGACGTAGACGTAAACGGGAGTCGGAGAACGTGGTGTGATGACGGCCTTACATCGACATCAGACTCCGATTACTGACAATAGGGAGGTTCCGGAGTACGATTTTTCGTGCCAAAATCCGTGGAGGCTCTACGGATTTTTTATACGTTGTTTTCGAGCAGTGAAAAGTTCCGGGGTACGGAACTTATGTGTTTGCCGTCATTGCCTAGGTTACGATCGCAAACACGTCACATTCCCGCGCTATGCCTTTTTATTTTGAAAATTTGTACCGAAATCAAAACTTCCCGCGAAAAATCGATGTTTCTCGTACCAAATTTGTACGCGAAAAATCTTTCTGCACCCGATGACGCAAAATCTCCATACGAAGCATGGTTCGTATGAAAGCCAGTCCACACGGATTCTCGTGCCGAAAAATCGTATGGAGCACGCCTGGAAAAAATCCGTAGCGCCCATACGGATTTTGGCACGGAAAATCGTACCCCGGAACCTCTCTTTTAAATAGTGTCATGTGTCTGCGTGGGGCTCGCCGAGTTTGGCAGCCTCCAATGCCAATGGATGGCTGTGCCTCCCTGGCTGTCGTGGAGGCTAGGGTGTCCCGTTGAGCCTTGCCCCGTGATTGTGCGAACTATGCTATGCTTCTCTTGCTGTCTGATCACATGCGACGTCATCATTATGATTGTGATTTGTTTTCAATCCTCCGCCATGGAAAATTGTGTTTTGTTCGCCCGTAAAAGAGGCTTTTACTACTAAAAAAAAAAAAAAAAAAAAAAAGATTACTGACAATACGACTCGTAGATCTACTGTACGAGTATCATGATTATTCAGAGGATCTAGGAAGTGCTACATACCGGTAACCATTGACATTGTAGCCTAGCGACTATGTCAGTACTGTCGATGAGTTCCTGCTTGCTTGTAAATCTAAAACGTAAAAGTCTGTACTCGTAGACCATGTAGACTGTAGTTGGACCAAGACTGGTAGATCTACTCTTGGTTGTAGTTGTAGGCGTCAAGATCGGAGAAGTGACGAGATCATCGTCAATGAAATACATGACTCAGGTAGAGGAAGGGGAGCGAGGAATGGGAATTCTTTCCCGACACCGTGATTCGTGGTCGCTGGGTGACTGCAGGATCAGAGGTGGTCCTGGTCCACTGACAAGCGGTTAGCCGTGAGAGTGACTAGCGTTGTTGCGACTCGGCGACGGACTATCGACTGTCAATGAATCTCTCTGGCGCTGATACAGTGATAGTGGTCGATGCGGAGTGAATAATTATGAGCGCATAATGGCGTAGACCTCGGTTATCGGCTATCGGTCTGCGGTGCCAGCGCTCATGGCAACTTCTCAGAATAGCAGCAGACCTTCAACGAATAAACAATCATGGACTTGTAGTAGCATCTTCTTCGAGGGGAGTAATCATGGTAATGGAAACCCCTTTGTGGATTCATCTCCGCGGAGGACCTTCTATCATCCATCATCCGGTGTACAAGAAACACAGGTGAAAAAACGACGGGTAAGTGACTAAAATTAATGGGCTGCAAACGAAAACTAATGAGGCTCATTAAAATAATAATAAAAAGTTCATCTCTAAATCAGGGGAAACGTAGGCCCTTGAAAAAAGAAGAGTATTGTTGTGGGCATCATAGTCAGCTTGATAGTCATGTCATAATAATACAGTCAACTTTGCGTATAGCGACACACGGCCGAGCATCAGAAAAGTGTTCTTTTTCTCGAAGTGTTGTTATACCCGAAGTCTCAGTACATGCATACAGGTCGAATGGACTTTGCTATGGGCATGAACATTCTGTCGTTAGTCGCGAATTGTCGTTATATCCGCAGTCGTTATTAGCGAAGTTGACTGTAGTTTCAGGTCGCCCTGCAACTGCATGCCGGAACATAGCACTTTGAAGTACAATTACACAAACGTAACTGTCTCCGATCTATAGTATGTGTAGTAACAATGTCATGTTTTAAATCAATGCTGGACAGTTCTGCACGGAATACAACATGTGCATTGTCCTTGCAGCATCGCTCAGCAGGCAGGCGCACAGTGCGACTAGCATTTACGCCGACACTGCCAAACAATGTGACCTTCAGCGGAGAAGGTAGACATTGTCGACATGACGGAAGAGCCTCTGTTAGTGATTACTGGCAACCGACAATGCAAGAGAATACTAGTGCAGAGCTATCAACGCCTGCAGCACATACAGCAGCCAAGAACCAAGCATTGAATAGCCATGAGCATCCTGCTACTAGTACCAGCCTGACTAGCAGCAGCACAGAGCCTGTGTTGGCAAGGTAAGCCACACATGGATGGAGCTATCAATGTTTGTGTGCAATATGTATTGCAAGTATACTCAACTACATGTATATATTGTGCTGTATAATTTACTTGGGCATTCCTAACAAGCCATAGTGTCTTCTTGCATGGCACAATGATGCATCTTCCTTTCTGCTCTGTTTTACCTATCTCTTTTCGTTCGTCCCTCTTGCACGAAGTACAAATTATACAAATGATTTGCACTCTGTACCGTTGAGGCAACGAACTGAACATTTAATAATAAAAACCAAACCAAACCAATGACTGGTGTAGCTACACATTATTACAAGTTCCAATGGAAGAGTCTGGACAAATGTGCTATGATAAGGCTTGACTGTGCGTGTTTGTGGTTTGGCATCTTCGCATGCAGCTACGTTCAGAGGTTCAGAGAAGCTGATGGAGTAACGACTGCTAGTAGGGATGGGTCAATGGAGGAGTCTGAGTTCTGGTGGCACAATGAAGACAACTTTTCCAATGCTTTGACTTCATCTCGGTCTACAGCTACATCAGATGAAGAGGCTGGTTCTGGTAGATCATCGGAGCCGGGCGCATGTACATCATGTGCTGTGAGATCACCGCAATCATCTGGGACAAGCAGTGCTGGTGGTGATGGTTCAAGTATCGGTGCTTGTTGTAGTGGATCATCTATCAGTTCAGCTCTCAACCTGCCACTGCCTCATGTGCTAGATAAGCAGTTTGCGCAGGATGGAACTTCCGAATCAACATCCGAGTAAGTACGAATGTGAATCTGTCATGATGTGTGGCATACACGACCTTGGAGGCTTGCACTGCTGCACAACACTCAGTGAATATCATACTGAACAGTGACTGGGTGCAGTGTGACCCAAGGAGTCTACAGTGCCGAGGCTGGGCCCGGATTACGGTTATGCCAAACCGAGTCACTACATGCTACCATACTTGTAGTTGCTTAGGCTTAGCATCACAATCCTGACTGCCAGAAGCATGGCATCAAGCAAGAGTACGAGTGTGAGATCGCCTAATCACAGCCCGCCGCGCGAAGCGCAAAGGGCTGTGATGTAGGCTGATCGAACACGAGTATGAGTGTTTTGATTACAATTCTGACATACACCCACGCTTGAAACTCATATCCAACTTACTTGTAAATACTTCGCGAAGGGCTGTGATTGGCTGATAGAACATGAACAAGACGGTTTTGATTGGATTTCTGACATGACTCGCACTTCGATCTTCCTATCGCGCTTGAAAGCACGACTCAACCTTCTGGAGACCGAGTCGAGTAAAAAAAAAAGCGAGCTTGATCAGTAAATCAAAGCCCTAGTGGAGCGGGCTTTGATCGTAAAATCAAAGCCCGCTCCACTAAATATGGAGTTCTACTTCTTGTAGCATGCTTTGATCGCCTCATCTAGGCCCTGCTAGATGCAATGCGATTGGTCATCTCCGTGCCTACAGTCTTGTGACATGTCAGAATACTGTATCATAGAGGCAGTGACTGTACGGTGCACTGCTTACTGCCATAGCATGCCCAGACCCCATACTCTGGTTCTCGTTTCCTGCACACTATGCGTGTTCTTTTACTGTCCTCCATCACAATCTTTTTTGTCATGGTAAACTTGGCATGATTACAAGAAAGTTGATTGATTAACAAGGTCAGCCGCGGTTTGGCCCGCACGGTCGACAGGTGGGTGGGTGTGGGGGTTCAGTGATCGAATGCCACATAATGACTATGCCATAATTATAGTCTTTCATGTCATTTTTCCTTTACCTGTTCAACCTAGACGAGAAGGTGTACGTCAGCAGCTTGTGTTAGAGCACACATGTCTTGGCCACGGGACCCAGCCAACTCCTGGTGATCAGATACAGAGCGAGCAAGGCCGAACTAAGCATATAGGCAACAGGAGTACGCTAGAAGCTCCAATCAAGGATGAGGTCCAGACGCAGGGCAATGCTGGAAATGACAAAGACGATCATTGTACTGATGTTCTGGAGAGATGGAGACGTCGGCATCGCTATTATCGTGCAATGGGTCATCCTGCAACCTTAGAGTCAGGGTTACATCATGCTCACATGCCATATCTAAACAGGGATGTGGGAGTCACACATTGTCAGCACAACCACTATGACCAAGCTGCACCCTTCCGTAGCCGCCATTCATCCACATTGAGAGTCCAAGGAAAGCACACAGCCAGTCCATACACTAGTAGTCATGTACCGGTGTATTCACAACATCCAGCACCTCCGGTTTGGGGCCGGAGACAGTGTTGTACATGCACGACTTCCAGAAGTGCGAGTTTGCCGCAACAATCAGCCACGGAGCTTACCATTCCACGCGGTGGCGACCGACTTGAAGAAACACGGCGACTTATCAGACGCCTGCGCATGCAGTTGAGGTAGAGCTGAACAGACGAGTTGAATACACCAATGATGATGCCACGTTGTTTTGTATGTGCCTGGAAGCTGATTGTTGACTACTTGCTTGAGAGGCATACACCGTTGTACATACACCGTTGGCTACTGAATGCTCTTAAAGGGAAACTGAACGCCAAAAATAAGTATGGCTTATCCGAAGGGGAATTGGGCACTGATTCCGATGAGCTATGTCTCGAGCCGATCAGAGAAGAGGAACTGTGTCAAATTCCATAAATAACACCTCCCATATTTGGAAATTGGCCTTGATGACGTGCGTACTGCTTAGCTGTCACCATGCTGTGCATGTTCAGCAGTGTAATTGAATGGAAGAAAACAATTACTTTGGTGTTTTGCAGCTCTGTTTCGTTCCCTGACGGTAACCAAATCTAGATGTAGGAATCTGTTGAGCAGGAGAGTGACACATGTCTTCCCAAAGGCTGTCCAGGCTGCAGTGGTGATGAAGAAGACACGATCATCACCCCGAGATCGATCGTAGCGAATTGGAAAACTCATGGTGAATTTGCTTCCACTCCAAGGCAATGTCGAGGTATGAATGGTGCTTGTACTGCCTTCCAAAGTGAAGAGGAGATGAACATGGCTTTGCATAGCTGTTGTTCTATGCCAACTTACCTACTCTTGCTGGTACCGTAGTGGCATATTGCAAATTTCGTGGACGAACAACTCTAGTCACTAGTGGCTAGTGAGCAACACTAACAGGTGAGATTTTTCAATTCGACAAAAATTGTTTTTGTTTGAGAACTGACAGTGGCAGTCATTAGACTCAGTACGTGTCTCTCTGCTGCTTCTTTCCCTTCATTCGTAGGGTTGTGCTTGAATAGTACAAGTGCTTGAAGTAAAATAAAATAAATAGAACATGTGGAACATAAATCTAATCAAGCATCAGTACATGTATTGCGAAGTTCAACTTCAAAGCACATGAAATCACAATGATCACGAAGTTTATGTAATCAGGAGTACACCCTGTGTTCAACGAACACTTACACATGCTGTATTGCGCACACACATGTACACATGTGCGTGCACCCCCACCCCATCCCACAGACACACGCATGCAGCGCGCACATCCATACACATGTGCGTGTACCCCCCCCCCCCCCCACACACACACACATTCCTACCCATACACATGTGCGCCCCCCCCCCCCCCCCACACACACGTGTGCACATACAGATACACAAACACACACGCACGAACACACACACACAAGATACGTGTAAGTGTACATGGTCTTCCTGGTGCAGATGCTGAGCCAGCACAATGGAAAATACCTCCATCAAGATGCTTGATCAAGTGTTGTGATACTGGCACTGTTTGTTCGTTTTACAAAGAAGTGTGGGAAAGATTACAATGCATTATAATTCGTAATTGTTCTTTGCCTTGTACTGTGCAGACCAGAATGCTTCGCTATCAACTCCTGGCTTTCCATCGGCATGGTGTTCAGGTGCAGCGGCATCTGGTCCGGGGAGTTCAAGTTGCTGGATGGCTGCACTGACACCGGATGGGTTTGCGTTGGCAATGCGATACGGCAGTCATCCCACATCACGAGCTACATGTTTATGTAATTTATATTGTCGCTCGTCCAGCAACGTCAAGGCTCTGCATGTAAACACAGGAGAACACCATAATACTACTCAGGGGATAATAATTTTGGATATCAATTTCGTGACAATTATTAGATTCACACAATATTCACAACGTATGCAACACGATGCTGTCTATTGACACTACTTCAAATTGAAGTGCTCACTACTCCTCTCCCGTTTTTATCTCCCTCTACCTTATGAATACTCTGCATTACTGGTTTCATTTCTACCCTTTCCATTGCTGCCAGCTCCCAGTCTTTTTCAATGCACAGCACCACCTTGACAGTCATTTTTGTGATTTGATGTACACATACTTTGAAGTTCAAATTCGAATTACATGATCAGATTTTTGTTCCACATTTTCTATTTATTTTTACTTCAAGCACAACCCTACCGATGAAGGGAAAGAAGCAGCAGAGAGACACGTACTGAGTCTAATGACTGCCACTGTCAGTTCTCAAACAAAAACAATTTTTGTCGAATTGAAAAATCTCACCTGTTAGTGTTGCTCACTAGCCACTAGTGACTAGAGTTGTTCGTCCACGAAATTTGCAATATGCCACTACGGTACCAGCAAGAGTAGGTAAGTTGGCATAGAACAACAGCTATGCAAAGCCATGTTCATCTCCTCTTCACTTTGGAAGGCAGTACAAGCACCATTCATACCTCGACATTGCCTTGGAGTGGAAGCAAATTCACCATGAGTTTTCCAATTCGCTACGATCGATCTCGGGGTGATGATCGTGTCTTCTTCATCACCACTGCAGCCTGGACAGCCTTCGGGAAGACATGTGTCACTCTCCTGCTCAACAGATTCCTACATCTAGATTTGGTTACCGTCAGGGAACGAAACAGAGCTGCAAAACACCAAAGTAATAATTATTGTTTTCTTCCATTCAATTACACTGCTGAACATGCACAGCATGGTGACAGCTAAGCAGTACGCACGTCATCAAGGCCAATTTCCAAATATGGGAGGTGTTATTTATGGAATTTGACACAGTTCCTCTTCTCTGATCGGCTCGAGACATAGCTCATCGGAATCAGTGCCCAATTCTCCTTCGGATAAGCCATACTTATTTTTGGCGTTCAGTTTCCCTTTAAATCATGATATAGCTGGCAGAATTATCAAGAGATTATCCGATCATAATTTGATATACTGCAAGTCAACAAGTATCCGGTGCGTATTTATTCTCTGCTATATTTTTGGCGACAGCCTTTGAGCCTTTGAGGTCTAGAATTTGACGCAGCTAAAATTTTGTTTCCAAGGTACAGCATGACAGTACAGGCTGAAACTGTAACGCTCCGATCATTTGTAAACTTGAATCCAGTACCTGCATGCGTCAAATAATATTATTGCAATCAAAAAGCCCCTATGCTTTCACACCGATCTTCATGGATTTAATGTTCACTGACTCATTGGACAGCCACTGCATGGCAAGTGTGATGTAGTACTGCCAGATCGTCTGTTCTATCTAAATTCACTGGCTTGTCAGTTTGAGCACTCTGGCAAGGTACGTTCGGGCCTGATTGGAAATTTTTATTTCCATTGCTATCAGGTTCGGCCTCATTTCCTCCTCTGTGCTGCGCTGATGAGTCCACAAAGGACGAAACAGTTCTGTCCGCAGATTGAGTATTTCGCTCCTGCTCTTGTAGCAGTTGAGCACTCTTGCGTGGGGTAGTGCCTTTGCTGTTTGCTTTATGCAGAGCTCACTGACTTGTCAGTTTGAGCACTCTGGCAAGGTACGTTCGGGCCTGATTGGAAATTTTTATTTCCATTGCTATCAGGTTCGGCCTCATTTCCTCTGTGCTGCGCTGATGAGTCCACAAAGGACGAAACAGTTCTGTCCGCAGATTGAGTATTTCGCTCCTGCTCTTGTAGCAGTTGAGCACTCTTGCGTGGGGTAGTGCCTTTGCTGTTTGCTTTATGCAGAGCTCACTGACTTGTCAGTTTGAGCACTCTGGCAAGGTACGTTCGGGCCTGATTGGAAATTTTTATTTCCATTGCTATCAGGTTCGGCCTCATTTCCTCTGTGCTGCGCTGATGAGTCCACAAAGGACGAAACAGTTCTGTCCGCAGATTGAGTATTTCGCTCCTGCTCTTGTAGCAGTTGAGCACTCTTGCGTGGGGTAGTGCCTTTGCTGTTTGCTTTATGCAGAGCTCACTGACTTGTCAGTTTGAGCACTCTGGCAAGGTACGTTCGGGCCTGATTGGAAATTTTTATTTCCATTGCTATCAGGTTCGGCCTCATTTCCTCTGTGCTGCGCTGATGAGTCCACAAAGGACGAAACAGTTCTGTCCGCAGATTGAGTAAATTTACGTGTATGTGGGTATCTTGTCTCGCTACCCGTCTACATACGCCACCAATGACCATTCATTTACCAGTGTATTCTATTTTACTCATGCACTGGTGCATTGGGCCCTGCTGGCATTGCAGAACACACGTTTGTATTGTTCTGTGGCCCTAATCATACTTTCAAGGAGCGTTCGCATAATCTCTTGCGCTATGATACACGCCGCCTATGATACCCCTCAGAATTTCCCACCTTGCTCCCCCTTATGTTCTGGCTGCCCGTTTTGGAGCCATCAGTTGCCTGATGATCGTAGTAATACGTGAAACTCAGAGTTGTAACACAGCTTCCAATCTCTCTTGTGTAATGTGAATGACCCTATAAAAGAGATGGCATCGCGAAATTCACTGGGCCCTTGGTGAGAGCGAACCAATCACAGGCGACGTAGCGAATGACAAGTTATCCAGCGAGTAGCCATCATTCTAAGGACAGCCTCTTGAAGGAACGGACGTAGTGAAGGTAACGGCATGAGTCCCGATTGCATCCTGGGCAACAGATTCTACTTCGTACTTTGCTTTACGGATTAGGGGAACAGCAATGCCCGGACTGTGCTTTTACCGCAATATGCGATGAAAAATTTCATAGAATATGGTGACTGATGATGAACACTGGGTGCCATAATATAGGAGCATGCATGGAAGCCACCCCACAGGCATGACGAGGACACCATCATTACAGGGTAATTTACGGTCGATTGCATTGGTCGTTGGCGGCTTCATCCAAAGGAGGAAGCAGGCATTGTGCTGCATTAGGCATAACACAACTCAGAAATGTCCCTTCCTCGAAGACTCTGGACAAAAGCTGCATATGCTGATTGTGGTTGTGCTGCTGTGATCTCACTGAGCTGTGCCTCCCAGGTGGCGACCATCTCAGGGAGCCAGTGGTCCCACAAAGACATCAAGCTGATCCGGCCGACTCATCATCCAGGGGTGGTTCCGAGGTATAGCACTCCATCCGATTTGAGATGTTTACCCCAGTACATGTATATGATAAAGGTGATAGCGGTTGCGGATAGACTTCAATGGGTTAGAGGTGTATCCAAACTTCGGGCCGAAGCGAGCGAAGCTATCCCACCACGCTCGGAATCGCTCAAGTAACTAGTTTCCCTCCAGATTTGGCACTACTAGCTTGTAGGCCCTCGGCCCTGCTGTTGAGACGACTCTGCCTCTGGCGAGTGGGATGATGCCGGTAGCATACATTGGCATGGCAATAGGGTGGCTTTGCATCGTTAGATGCACTGCATGCCTCCAGACCAGTGATTTCGCGTCAACAGATCATGTTGCCAATCTTTGCAATGGGATAGATCTACAGCTTATGTGTCGCATCATAACTTCATAAGTCGATCGGATGCGTCAGTGAAACTGGTGTGGCACTGACCTCCACGAATTAAAGGGGAAGTGCATCGATTTTTCAAGTAGGGCTCAGATGAAAGACAATAGACCGATCCCCTTATTATACTGGGTTCGAGCACGGGGGCAACCTCACTCGCGATCGAGCTAGTTTTTGAACGTGACAGCATCTTTGACAGTGTGTTTCAGGTTTGTTATGGAATGTCTTCTGCTTAGTTCAAGTGGTTTGCGATGGCTTCGAGCGGTGCTGAACCTCCTGCTGGTAGGAGCAGAGTCTTCGAGAGAGACATGGACTGTGATGCAGCTGCAGGATTTTTTCAAGGCGCGGGAGAGAACGATCTCGGGCCACAAACAGGAGTTACTCCAGAGGTGAGTTTTTTTGTTGTTGGTATTATTCGAATCGCGAATCGTGTTGTGAGATTTATTTTGTGCCTAGGCTACAGCAGACCGTATTTCTTTCTCCTTGAGATCGGTGCTGAAGATAATAGTAACCTTTTTCTGGTCTGCCTTTTCCTCTCCAGAGCCATCTTCTATGAAGGTAACCGTGGTGCTGCGAAGTCACCAAGTCGCGATCGCGATCAGCAGCCCTGAAGTGGAAAAATCGATTTTCCAACGATCTGGTTGGACATCAGCCACTAAAGTACTTCTGATTTGCCTGTAGTGACAACAGCAGCCATCCTTGGACACCTTGCAAAGACAGGAAAAGCCACTGGTGGAAGCGACTGCTATGAGGTGACGATAGCAGTGGTGATCGCTGTTTTGTCAAGTCGAAGGGCTAGCCAACCCAGAGGAAGCATAAAAAAAAAAACGATGAGCAGTGCGTGGTATTTGTTGAGCGTGAAGAGCTAGAGGAGGACAGTGCAAACACATGGAAGGAGTGGATGGTGTTTGAAGTGCTGTGTGCCGGCTGGTGGTGATGGTGGTCTTTGTAAGCATGTATTCGTGCTGCTTCTTGTGCTGGAACACTTCTCGCCCAGGAAGGCAGATTGCGTGCTCCCTGGCCCGCAGTCGGCAATGGGGCATTTGTTCCAGGAACATTACCCCAGAGCCAGTGATGAGTCATACCTTTGAAAGATCGAAGCTTGCTGTTAATCGCAAGCGTAGCGCAGTGGATTGCTCCCTCTTCGAAGTACGATGGCCAAAGCTTGCCGCTGTCTGCAACAAAGTGTGTGTGCGGTTCTTTCGAACCTATGAGTATGAATATACCCCCCCCCCCCCTCTCTCTCTCTCTTAGGAAGACTGCATGTTCAGAGTGAACTATTTTCTAGTATATTTAATGTGAGACGGGCTGTTTACGCCCAAGATCAAGATACAGTTTTTTTCTGTTTCTATACCTTCCTAATAAAATACATTGTGACAGAGCTTTCGGTCATACTCCGCTGTACTACATCCTCAACCCGCCACCACCATGCGCTCTTGGCCGAACTAATGCACGAAGCATAAACACACCAGCACAGCAAGGACACTTCCGTTGACAGATATTGTTTACGCCTCAAGACAGCTGTTTCGTTTCTTCGAGCTCATCGTTAGAGGAGGATAGTAGCAGGATATAATATAAGATGATAGACGGTTTATGGTCCGATATTGATGATTGGAGATCTAAGAAAGCAATGACAGTGATTGCGAAATGGATAATATCATGATTATATGCCAGTCTGGTAATGCGTTGTACTGGTGGACAGTATTGAAATCATCACTGCATTCGATGCAAATATTGGTATACCTTGGTTTCAGTATTGGAAAAAAAGAGTAAGAGAACCTGGTTGATTTGGTTGCATCTGCGACTGGCTACTGGGTGTTGTGATCAGCAATGTTACCATGGGAGAAAATACGAGCGCAAGGATCTGTTGGGTCTTGTTGTGCAGTGCCGGTGCGAGAACCCTAAGTGCATGGCAAAATAGAACTGTTTCATCCACAATGCAGAATGTCTTGCGGTGCATGGCATTGATGACTGAACATCTCGCCAGCTCGCCCAAATGGGGATCATGCCCAAACGGAGGAACAAGACATCTTTCCAGCTCAGCTAGCTATATACCGTGAAACGGATGATAAACTTGTGCCACGCATGCCAGCTTCTGTTCCATTCGGCCCAGGCTTAGACACATCAATGCCAATAGCAGCTGATCCTCCATTACATGCTCATTGGCGATTTACGGCCACCTCCAACTGTATCCGCCGTCCCTCAGTTTCCGTCTTCGCAGATCTGGCGCGGCGCAGTACATTTTCTCGGCTAGGCTCAAAGAAGTCCCACAGAGCAGTCCAAACACCTGAAGGCAAACCAGTCAGAAACTGGAGCGGCTCAGAGTCTTTCTTTATGTTACTGTACGTAAGCTGTTTTTCGGCTTTCTTCACCCCAGTCCTCACATCGTCCAACTGCTCCAGGAGACTCTGTACACGAGCTCTACTTGCTGCCAGCTCCTGATGCAGATGCTGCACTTCCATTACAGGACCAAACTGCACTAAGCCAGCTTCCTTTCCAACTCAAAGTACCGTTGCCTCTCAGCAAAATACTGGTTTGGGAGCATGGGGAGCTCGTGATGCAGACGCTGCACTTCCATGACCGAACTGCACTAGGCTCAGCAAATACTGTTTTGCGAGCATGGGGAGCAGGGCGTCCAGACTCCACTCTCTTGCGAAAAGCAAACCTGGTACCGTAGGACAGCTGTTCGGGTTCCTGGAATCATCCTGCCCTTGTAGAGCTGGGCAAAACGATTTCGATTTCGGGATCGAAATGATCGCTGCAACTATTCAGAGTGACCCTAAAACTACGCCCTTCCTCACGGGGCATAGCCTGGATCCGCTGCTCCAGGCCGCTGTGGCTCCACACGAGGAAAGGAGTGAAATGACTTGTTTGCATCGTCCTCCTGTTCTGACAGTGAGGAACGCAGCAATGATCCTGAGAAGGCATCCTGAAGTCGTAAAAAGGAAGACGTCTGAACAAAAACGAAACAGCTCAAATCAAAAGTCCTTGTGACATTTTTTGTAGACAGGCTTGCACTGCATGTAGATTTCGCGTGCTCTGCACTTCGCATATAGCAATAAAAACTGCTTTATGGCAGTTTTCTAAAAAAAAGTTATTGTGTTCTAGTCCATGGACCCCGTCTAAAAAGTAAGAAATTACCGAAATGTGATAGCTGAAAATTAAAATTTCACACAAAACCTCACAATAATCACAACAATTGAAATGCTGCTTTCAACTTTAACTTGCACTAAGACAGCAACGTCTGTAGGGCCTTCCCTATCAAAATAATAAATTCTACTACTACTACTACTACTAATACTACTGCACCAACAATTGGCAACATGCACGCATAGGAAAGAGGATCACGAGGGGAAAAGGTCTTCTACATGTAGCCTTTAATTCTGTGTGTGATTATTGTGAGGTTTTGTGTGAAATTTTAATTTTCAGCTATCACATTTCGGTAATTTCTTACTTTTTAGACGGGGTCCATGGACTAGAACACAATAACTTTTTTTTAGAAAACTGCCATAAAGCAGTTTTTATTGCTATAATTTCTTTTGTTTTTCTGTCACCAATCAACAGTGATCAATGGAATGCCCTATCAATAATTATGTAAACGATGGCCTTCACATCATATCAAGAGGTTTATGTACTCTTGATCATAGCAATACCGTATTATACGCATTGAAGTGCAAGCCTTTTCTTGCAGAAAATGGCACTAGCATAATGCATGTTCTTCTGCGGGGAAACATGTGAGTAGTGGTGGTTTTTATACGGAGGTCATTCTGTGCATGTTGCTGTCGCAGAATTTCATGACTGTCATAAATTTGTCTTGCCTTTCAGATATTTCAGATTTCCCCACCCTCGATCAGATTTATTTGAGAAATGTAGCCATGCGCCAGGTGCGTGTCGCAGATGTTTTTGTTGATTCTGTGTTTATAATGGTTTATAATCATGGGTTATCGTGATAAGGTCATCCAGCATCATATTGCACTGAAATCGTAATCCTGTTGATGTCGATACAACTTTTGGAAGTAGTTCAATGACTTCAAACTGTTAGTCCACGATTTTCTAAAACAACACAGCAAAGGAGGAACAATAAACATGTATTAAAATGTAAACAAATACATTGCTGAGTCCGACACCTCGTTCCAACAACTACACTGATTCTGAGGATAAAAGGGTCAAGGCTATGGTTGGAGGTACTGATACTGAGAGATAAACAAGGCACTCCATGATAATAAAATCTTACACATCTTTTGGTGAGTATGAATGATATCCAGTCGAACCTCTTTAGGACGAACACCAAGGGACCGATGGTATTTATTCTGTGAGTTTGTCTTAACCTATTTTATAACCAGTGAATACAATTATTTCTCCAGTAGACATACGAATAGATTTCTTCTACAGCGAAAGATTCTAAGCCACACCGACTCTGAACCTTTCTTTAGCAACATGACGGCAACTGAAACAGCAACAGAGAAAGTACGATACATGTACTGCACATTCTTGCAGGTACTACAAACAGATCATTGCAGATCGTAATTCTTGCTTTGGCGGCACGAAACTTTATTTGGGGCAGTGCAATCTCGGCGGTACTCACAAATCAAACAGCCCAGACTCGAGTAAACAAATCCAATCATACAAGTACGAGATTTTCACGAGACGAGACTGCACCCATTGGCTTGTTTCGTATGAAGCAAACAAGTTACTGAACCTCTCCACAATGGAGATTTTCCCTGATACGCGAATTTATTTTGGCAAACTCGGTCAATGAGTCCTTGAACCTTTCCCTCCAGATTGGGAAATGCCAACGATAGTATGCCACTGACCAGTGCCTTACTTGTAACGTACTAATGTGCAATGAATATGAGTAATTCGACAACACATCTAACATAAGCCTTACCGTCAAGAAGGTGAACTCGCGTTCTTCGCACACTGTAGGCAAGGGCAAAGAGATAAAAATGGATCTAAATCCGAATAAAATCAGCACACGTTTCCGTAAATGAAAGGGTGAGCATAAGCAAATGAATCGAAGGAAACTGGTCAACTCAGAGATCAACTGTCATTGAGTATTCCGTAAAAGGAGGCCTCGGCAGCGGAAAAGCTAAATTTAGAAAGGAGATCCTGTCAGCTTTTCCATTATTTATTGCATTCCGCCCAAAATCAGCACACTTTTCGTAAATGAAAGAGTCAACACAAGCAAATGAATCAAAGGGAACTGGTCAACTCACCTGTCATTGAGTAATATTCCGCGAAAGGAGGTCTCAGCAGCGCCGAAACGAAATAAGCCAGGCCAGGAGACGAAATATCCGAAACAGCTCATGCAAGAAGCAGTTCCAAGGAAGGAAGTTCCTCGTGCATGCACATCCGAAAAGGCAACAACAAAAAGTCTGCAATGCCCACGCATGCGGCCAGCCGGCCGCGCGATGGTAGGATCTAGGAGCCATGGAGTAGCTCCCTGGTTCAGGACCAGGTACCGAGCATCTTACGTAGAAACTTACGTAGCTACGTAGACAACGTGTCTGAATAGCGGTGTCGTTAGGTAGCGCCATGTGAACACAATAATGGGGCTGTTAAGTGATGACGTCACAGTTCCTTCGATACGCATAACAACGATCCCACTGGGGACAAACAAAAGTAGCGTCGTCTCCACCGACCCAGTTGTCAGTGGCAACATATAGGAATCGTGTACATTTCTTCGTTTCTTCTTTGCTGTTTTCAGTGAGTGTTTTGTTTTCTCTTTGTCCTTGATCTCGACGATGTTGTCGTGCTCATTACCTTACTGAGACGTCTCTTGTGACTGTAGCAAGTGTCACGGAGGATTTTATTGGCGTGACAAGGTAGTTCGCCGAGATCGAGCGTGAAAAACGCTCTGCATTAGTAGCTCCTGTAGAATGTTTTCTGGGTTGGCGTATCCATGGTCAACAAAACCAAGGTGCAAGACAGCATGAGAGATCGTGTAAACGATGTGAACTCCAAAAGGTAAGCTCCTGAACAAGTGGAAAGATATGGGTATTTACAAACTCTCTCTTCATCCATCGATTGGCGCTATGCATTGCATTTTGTCTTCACAGATAATCTGGCCAAATTTATTGTAACTAGAGAGTGCAATCGTGCACTGCTTGGGGCCCATCCCAATGTCATCACATGGCTGTGGTGACAAGTGTATATCTGGGAGAATTTTTCCTCGACTGATACGGAGTGCAGGTGGATCGATTATGAGAAATGCGAACATGTGAAGTAAGTAATTAGTTGTGTCGAAGAAATGTGCAATAAAATAAAATTTACTTTACACTCAAACATACACTGTAGACGTACATGTAACATCATGATAATGATTCCATCTTCATTGTCCCGCAACTGGTACACCATACGCACCGAATACATGGTGTGTGTGTGTGCGCGCGCGCGCAAGCGCGCGCATGTACATGCACACACTCTCATGCGTGGCCGAGTCGGCCAGATGAACAGACCATGCATTTACACGAGGTGTCCGTAATGTCATTGGAACGCTGTACTTTATGACTTTATTCCAAAAGAGTATGTCTTGCCCCTGACGAATGGAGTTGTGTCTGTGCTCAGCGGGTATCGGGCTACGACGCAACACTGCAATCAGCGCTGCAATTAAAAGAGCACTGCATGGATTATTTTGACTAACTTCCTTTGCGTTTACTTGGTTGAGCCCGTGGTTTCATTTCTGTGTTCTGTCATGATTGGCCTCTGGAAATAATCAGAGTGGATGTCATTTTGCCATATATGTGTGCCTTGTGCGACAGGTTCAAGGCTAGACGAACTTCACATTCGGCGTGCGATCTCAGCGTCTGGGACCTGATGAAGTCTTGGTTGGATGATTATTCAAGCCTGATACTACTCGACACACCAATGTTCATGTCAATGTAATTTTTTCAGAGCTGCACTATTTACGTGTTGATGCTTACTTCGGTGTTAGCGTGTTTCCCCCGGATTGTTTCTATCATCATGATCGTGTGTTCTTGGGCTGAGCGAGCACATGCACAAGTGTGCAGCTATAACCCTGTGTATCTTTGGTTACACTTTGTTCTGCAATGCATGTACCTTGTAACATTATGTGCTTGCACTGCTTTGTCTGGCCTGCGTATTTCAGGACTATTCAGTGCATTAGACCCAGGTTTGTTTGGTTGCCGGATGACCTCTTGTTGCGTCGCTCAGTATTTGTATTCATCAATTTTTGGGCTTGAGAATTGAGCTGTTGTATGGTTCCCAATATGAAAACATCATGCTGGTGCTCTGTGTTTCGATTATCGACTGTCGGAGCAGTCATGCATTTATTAGCAGAACGGTCAATACTGTAGTCTTTTCACGTGTTTGTCTTTTTTGTGTTTTCGCCGGGGGTATTAGCGGTAACGTTGCACACAGAACGGCAGTGTTGCATCACTGGACGACCCTGCCTCTGCATCTGACTTAATTTCCCCAGGATCTGGTGCAGTTACACCAGACAGCCACTTCCTGTAAACACGCAAACAGCAAAAGAAGAGATCCCGCAAATCAGGAAAAGCCATTATGGAAAATATAGAGTAGATCATACAACATTCAATAATCTGGAGTAATTACAGTGAGACAAACGCTTCAAACAGTGCTCTCTCTCTCTCTGTCTCCATCCTTCCAAAAATACCCTATGACAATTCCCTAGAATTATTTTATTTTATATTCTTAGGACATCATTCTGAACATAATAAATTCTTCCATGGGTCTTCAATCACCACGGAGGGCGAAAATATATCTAAGTCATGCAGTTTACGGGAGGTACGAGCTGTCATGGATATAGAGGCTGATATTGTGCCAGCGTGAGGGCAGAGACAGAAAGAAGACACTGATTTCTTGAACAACTCACCTATATATAATCGAATCCACAAGGAGCGCTCATACTTTGATCCATCAGGACGCGAAACATCTTCAAAGCACTCTCAAACACGGAGTTTTACTGTGGGCAGCCAATTTCACAGCCATCATGAAGGCACTCGACGACTACAGGAGTTTTGTAGAGGAAAAAACAATGAGTAAAGAGCGACAACAATCGCTTGAAGAAAAAGCAAAGAAAAACAACTGTCTCTCCAGTCATTTAGATGCTGTTGCCCTTGACATCTGGTTCCATCCAGAGGACGCGACTTTTGTTTGTCCCCAGTGCTCTCCGTTGCTATGCGTATCGAAGGAGCCGTGACGTCACACTTAACAGCCCCATAGTAGGCACTTCAGTCACGTGACACGACCTGTCAAAAAGTGCTAACGCTGAATCGCGTACATGCGTGGCACCACGGAAAGGCGCATGCATAGATCGATCTGTAGCTGCACGGAAGCTGCGCATGGCCTTCTCGTGTGGCGCAGCGTGTAGCTAGCTGAGGCCCTCAGCTTTCGTTTGAGCCCACATACGTCATGATGCGGCAATTTTTTGAACTCACGTACAGTTCGAGTAAAATCGGCAAGGATTTTTCGGGCATTTCACTTGATTGCACGCATTTGCCATGTAGCTCATCGTCTTCAGCGTCGTATTTCCTTTCGGAATCAGTTGTCCTCGTTTGTCCAACACTTTGCGCATTGCTGCGCAAGAAGAAATAATGCGAGGTGTTATTGAAAGCGAGCCGCGACAGGCATCCTCCCGGCAGTAGTCCTTGTTCGTCGGAGCCCATGCGCATGGCTGCGCAAGAAGAAATATTGCCAGGTGTTATAATTATATTGGAGTCGCATCGGAGCAGTCGTCCTCTCCTGCAGGCGACGAGTAGGACAGTATATACTTCGGCGACTGGACCAAGAGAGCTGACATCAAAACGGCCTGCTTGGAACAAATCGTCAGCTGATCAGCAGGTGGCTTCCAGCGACCAAGAAAAGCATTGACGGTGATATTATACCAAGAATCCAGCACACACTCTATGCACAAAATCTCTCATGCTGGAGTTGCTGAAGTTTCAGTAGTCCCAAACATTTGCAAACGATGTTCTACATGTAATAGTTTGTCATTTCTTTCCGTCAAATACGCGGTAAAATTCTAGTTTGCTCAGTCTTCGGCTCATTGTTCCTCCGTATACGTCACCACATCAGTACTGTACATGTAGCAACAATGTGTTCTGGCACTGAATTATTGTAGTTACTTTATCTTACCTCAAAGTCTCATCTTATGCTTTTCCAAAGGCTTCTCTGCACTGTTTTCATGCTGTTGCGATGGAGTTGCTATGGAGTTGCCATGGTGACCACACCCGATATCTTCGTCTGAGCTGCCGGACGGATGAAAAATACGAAGTTTTTCCAAACCATGCTGTTTCTGCATTCATCTGGTTATTTTGACCTGCTTCCAGCGAGCCTGGTATTTTGCCACTATAGACACTGAAGCAAGTCCTACCAATTTCTGATATGCTGCTGGTGCCGTCGAAATACTGAAATTGCCGTTATTCAATTCTCCGACTTTGGATGGCTATATCTCTGTGCCAAGTTATTCTTTTTGCTTCAAATTTTCTGTGGAGTCTTCCTAAACCTATCTGAATCGGATACAAGAAAGAAATACGAGTATTTCTGGTTTTGAAAAAACCGCCTGAAGTGCCTAATAATAGAAAAGCTGACAGGATCGCTTTTCTAAATGCGAGAAGTCGCGCACGGCCGAGGTGAGGTTGGTCGCGTGTGTGCAGCAGGATCTCACGCGACTGCGGAGTTGCCCCCTTGCTCGAACCCAGACAATAATAAGGGGATCGGTCTAATATCGGTTCCGATGGTATATCTCTCGCTTGCGTACGGCAAGGGAAACTTGCCATATTGCCGATTTCCTGATCCCGTTTCCATGGCGACTACAGGTGATGACGCACATTCTGCTTAGCTCCGTGAGAGAGAAGGTCGATCAGTGAAGAATTGTGTCATTTTCAGTTGTCTTCTTGTATTCACGAAGTGGAAGAAGTACTGTGTTCAAGGCTGTTAGTGCCGTGAACTGTTTATCAGTAGTCCTCTCCGTTGTGTACTGGGACGTGACACCGACAGAGGAAAGCTGGAGTGCGGAGACGTTAGCTGGCAAGCGAAAATCGTGACAAACCAAGTGCTGAAATCTTGGTTGGGACAAATCAAACGTTCAGCATTTACCTCAACCAAGGACCATGCCGTTTGCTCTTTCCACTTCCTGAAGGTGGATGCGCTGCCTGCTGGAGACTCTCCTATCTCTCGTAACATCTTCTGAAGCCAGGTGAGACGACGAGTAGCGGAGATTAGCGAACGAAATAATGTCGTATGTTTTGAAATTTTTGCTGAACATATCTCAGGAGAGATGGCATGTATGAACTTAGTCCATGTGAACTCAATCAGCCCATGAACTAACCCATGAACAAATGCTTTCCTTGCAGACGTGCATGTGTCTATCCAATCTACACGTAGAGATCATTCCATGCCCTCGGTGAATGGCCTATTTATATATTATTTGTCCATACACATCATCTGCATGTTGTCTCTATGGGGAAGGGTATTGTTCATTTCAAATGAAGAAGTTCGGGCAATAGATGCTTTCCTCTGGTACAATTCTGTTGACCTGATGTTCTTTCTAGCTTCATGGGTAGCTTACATGAGGTACCATCACCATCATGTTTACATGAGGGTCAAACACTGCACCGTTCTTTGTTGTGACATGACGTAAGTTATTGTAAGTGCTCGCAGACCCCATACGTTCCAGCAACACCTAGCATGGTTTTCCGTGAACGTTGTGGGTGAACAAATTCTGTCCAACATATTTATACAGACATGCCAGCACACAAAATGCACCATACACACACTTGCCCTGTCGAGTCACTGCCACGTGGGCCCGGAGGGGCAGTGGAGAGAGAATGGGAGAACGCCGCCCCATGGCGCCCGGGACACAAAAACAAGAGTTTGTCTACGTAGGGAGCAACACACATACATAAACATACACCACACACACACACACACACACACACACACACACACACACACAAAATGAGAGTTCGGGTCATCTGCCACGAGACTGACGTACGGCCGGGGAGAGCTTCAGCAGCGGTGTCTATTCCTGCCCTGGACCGAACGGAAGCAGCGGTCGCAGGACACACAGTATTCACCACAACACGGCTCCACTGTCGTTGGGGGCTGAGCCACACACTTGTGACGAGCAAGAACGCCACAGCTAAGAAAGCAACGGCCACAGCGATCACACTGGCATGCTCCACGCTGCTCCTGCACACACTCTCTCTCTCTATCTCTCTCTCTCTCTCTCTCTCTCTCTCTCTCTCTCTCTCTCTCTCACACACACACACACACACACACACACACACACACACACACACACACGTGCGCACATACTGCAAGAAATAAAGAGAGCATGAGTGTCAGATTCTTGCATAGGAAGTGTTTATCAGCACACACTTATACATGCACATGCAGGCACTCAACGACCAACTATGCACCATGCCGTATGTTCGTCAAACATAAGATTGCAATACCAAAGAACAACAAACAAGATCACTTACTTCGGTCTCCTCCAAGTGTGTCCTCCCCAGCCAGGCCATCTCCTGCATTTCCCTAGGCGGAATGTAGCCTACGAAATGGTTTCTCTAGACTTGGAGAAGATGCTTGGTATTCGCCATCTCTCCTGAGAAATGTTCAGCAAAAATTTCAAAACATACGACATTATTTCGTTCGCTAATCTCCGCTACTCGTCGTCTCACCTGGCTTCAGAAGATGTTACGAGAGATAGGAGAGTCTCCAGCAGGCAGCGCATCCACCTTCAGGAAGTGGAAAGAGCAAACGGCATGGTCCTTGGTTGAGGTAAATGCTGAACGTTTGATTTGTCCCAACCAAGATTTCAGCATTTGGTTCGTCACGATTTTCGCTTGCCAGCTAACGTCTCCGCACTCCAGCTTTCCTCTGTCGGTGTCACGTCCCAGTACACAACGGAGAGGACTACTAATAAACAGTTCACGGCACTAACAGCCTTGAACACAGTACTTCTTTCACTTCGTGAATACAACAAGACAACTGAAAATGACACCATTCTTCACTGATCGACCTTCTCTCTCACGGAGCTAAGCAGAATGTGCGTCATCACCTGTAGTCGCCATGGAAACGGGATCAGGAAATCGGCGATATGGCAAGTTTCCCTTGCCGTACGCAAGCGAGAGATATACCATCGGAACCGACATCCAATTGTCTTTCATCTGAGCCCTACTTGAAAAATCGATGCACTTCCCCTTTAATGCCAATAATGCCATCCACTCCAGACATGCCCGCTGCTCCAAAGGTGTTGTGTGTGCCTCTCCGGATCTCTCCCCTGGTAAGGCACATTCACACCTGACCGGGTAAGAGGGGGGGGGGGCATGCAAGGGG